TATAAATACAAAACAATAAATAATGAAATATTCGCAACAGAAGAATTCTTAAAAAATGTGTACATTTATTTTAATTCAAATGCAATAAATATTGAAATGAATGGCGGCGCTAAAATTGTTATAAAGTGCAGCATTGGAATTTTTGTAAAGTATGGAAATTTGGTATAAGTACAATACAATAAATAATGAAATATTCGCACCAGAATTGTTAAAAAATGTGTACATTTATTTTAAATAAAATACAACAAAGTGCGGCGCTAAAATTGTTATAAAGTGCGGCACTTGAATACTTATAAAGTGTGAACATTTGGTATAAATAAAATACGATAAATAATAATACAAAAAATATCTGCACCAGAATTGTTATAAAATGTGTACATTTATTTTAAATAAAATACCTTGAATAAAGTAATGGCAGCGCTAAAATTGTTATAAAGTGCTTGAATATAAAATAACATTTGGTATAAATAAAATAATAAATAATAATACAAAAAATATCTGCACCAGAATTGTTATAAAATGTGTACATTTATTTTAAATAAAATACCTTGAATAAAGTAATGGCAGCGCTAAAATTGTTATAAAGTGCGGCACTTGAATACTTATAAAGTGTGAACATTTGGTATAAATAAAATACGATAAATAATAATACAAAAAATATCTGCACCAGAATTGTTATAAAATGTGTACATTTATTCTAAATAAAATACATTGAATAAAGTAATGGCAGCGCTAAAATTGTTATAAAGTGCGGCACTTGAATACTTATAAAGTGTGAACATTTGGTATAAATTCAATACAATAAATAATGAAATATCGGCACCGCAATTGTTATAAAATAATAACATTTACATAAAATAAAATACAATAAATAATGAAACAGCATCGCTAAAATGCTATAAAATGTGAACATTTCAATTTGTTATTAGTGTTAAACAAAACAATATTAAACCTATTCGGTTGTTATGAACAGAGAAAATAAAATTTTCGACTCAATTAAATTCATTGGAATTTGCTATTCATTTACGTCGTATTATAACTTTTAATTAATAAACTTATTATGGATATAATAAATGCTATATTTAGACAAACGGATCCTTGAAGAGTGCAGTTGTATTGTTTTATTCCTTGTTATTATGATGTAAGTGTATATGTTTTACTTTAGTATATATTTTTTTTGTGATTGCAAATAGGTGTGTTTTTCTTTCAAATTGCAATAAGTTACTTTGAAAGAATTTGTAGAATGCAGTTTCTTGTTCTCTAGATAGACTTCTTGAGCAGATAGATCGGACACCTAAGACAGTGCAGAGAAAAGTAAAAGACAGTTATAAAAGTGTCAATGAAGCAAAAAATATAATAGTGTAGGAGGAATCTGGAATTTAATTTTCTGTGTGTAGATATTAAACCATTGGGTAAAAAGATGCATAAATTTTTTTATCATAAAAACATCAAATGTTTGATAAAGTATTGAAGCATTTTCTTGTTTTCTATAAAACTTTTATAATATACTTAATTTGTAAAAGTAAGTTCAGAATTAACAAACTTATCGCTTTAAATATCATATTAGGTATCATGGACTAAACAGTATACTCTGTTATGTCCATGGTACTGCTCATGTCTATAGGCGACGGTTACCACTTTCCATCAGGTGGACCGTCAGCTTGTTTGCCATTCTATGTTGTATAAAAAAAAAACTGTTCAATTAGAACTTTCCTTCTTATGAGGTAAACTGCAAGAGCCCAAAATAAACATAATGAAAATTAATATCGAAAGAAATAACGAACAAGAGGTTCCTTTGAACTAAACGATGTTATTTATGTGTTTAATTAATTAAACTAATGAAACGACGAAGCCAATTTCGCTGGTTCTAAAAAATATGTCTAATAAAGAAAATAATATAAAATACCATATTTTAATATTCCAGAGACGTTTCTTTTGATTATATTTCCAGACACGTTACGATTAGTCCGATAGTCGAGTTGTGCACGCCATATTCAAATTTGTTTACTCAACTAGGGGTTTTTAATAATGTTAGTTATTCATTCGATTTTAAAACGAGGTTCTCGACCTTTACCAAGTCGACCGTTCCTCATGGACGTATCTAGGAGGAAAAAACGACCTTTCCTTGTCCAATAATAAATAGTGATACTCTATAAAAAAAAGTACATCAGAATTAGAGTATTAGTATATTAATATGTATTATAATAAGGCGAAATATATGAGAAATAAATTCAATATTTATTTAGGAATTATAATTAAAAAAAAAGTACAGAGAAACGAGAGTCTATGTCACTTAGAGATGGGCAGTGGGAAAATACCCAACGGGAATATACCCAGATTTTTTCCTATTTGGGAAAAAACCGGGTATTTATATGGGAAAAAACCCAATAGACGGGTATTTTCATTATTTAACGTAATTATCACGATCTTAAAAAAATTTATATATTTTTTTATTTTTAAAACAAATGCAGCGAAAAATAGGTACTTTGCGATGCGCACATACTTTGCACCAGCGTATATAGGGCACTAGCTAACGCCTGTTGTTCGAAACGTCAAAATGTGTAGCTTAATTCAGGAAATAGAATAAAACCAGCAGTTTATTATACCAACAAAAAGACGTCTTGTTTTATCATAAGATTTTTTTGCGCATTGTGATGAAATGTTATTTAATTGCAGAAAGAATCTCTATTGAAGCTTTTAATAATATTTGACCAAAAAAAAAAAAGAGAGATCCTACTTACTAACAAATAATTGTTAGTAAGTATCTATCGTTTTTACACTTTACAAAAGTTACAACACTTTTTTAAAGCTTTTTACAATTGAAAATTTTTAGTAACTGTCGCTATTGTCATGGTCATTAAATATATTATTAATATTGCAAAATTGTATTTCTTGTGTATTTCCACGAGATGTTGAAGGTCGTTCTTCATTTATTGGGCTACCCAACGGACTTGACAATTGCCTGGGCGTAGATAACGACTCGTTATCATCGTCATTGTCATCATCTTTATGTATGTATAACAGGTTCCAATGGTTACATATCCTAATATGAAAAAACCCGAATATTATCCCATTCGGTAATTTTCCCCGGATTATTTTCCCTATTTTTTCCCACGCTGGGGTTTTTTCCGGGTAAAATCACATTGTCACTGTAGTTATTGTCGCAATCATATACCAATAACAAAAAAGTTGCGTTCAACATCTGTGCTCTTAAACCAAATCTCAACAATATATTTTATTCAAACAAAGTTAATTATGAGCATTTTTTAATAGTCTTTTTTTATGTTTCCACCGCCCATTCGAAATGCATCGTAAACTGTTGTTCTTGTCTTTATGGTTACAAGTTAACTGTCAAATTACGTATCTCATAAATAGTATTTTTTTTTATACAACTTAGAATGGCAAACAAGCTGACGGCCCGCCTGATGGAAAGTAGTAACCGTCGCCTATAGACATGAGCAGTACCATGTACATAACAGAGTACACTGTTTCGCCCATGATACCCCCCATGCGTTGCCATTCCTGAGGACTCGGATGTTATTCCTCTGTACCCAGTAAATTCACGCCATATCCCACCCTTCAAACCGAAACACAGCCATGCAAACACAACTGCTTCACGATTGAAACACGAATGGGAGAGAGGTACCCAAGTAATCGACTTTTGTACAAAGTCTCCCTCTAGTAAATATATAAACTATATGTTTCATGGATACCTAACATTGAATATTTACGCAGAATTTCGCATTTAAGTTTTTTGCTCCATAATCTAAAACGGCAGCATCAATAACTACAAAATGAATATGAAATCAATATGGGAGCAAACTCTATTGATTGCAAAAAGAGAATCGTGAAAATCGGTTCAGAATTAAAAACGTAATCGCTCAATATAATCATAAAAAAAGACAATGGGCAAAGCGCTCGCTGTGGTTTGCCTTGCGCCTTGTCTTCTAACAAGTTGATAAAATTTTAACCTTTTCTCAAGTGTACTTTAGTGTTCAAAAGTTCTCGGCCTTCTGCCGCCGACAAAGAGTAAATATTTAACTTGAATAGCTACTATAAAGTTGGCTTTACTTACTCAAAAAAGAACATTACATTACTTTTCTTGAACCTACGATTTCGATAATTGGTAATTGCAACTTGTGTTTATACTTTTTATGTAACTTGGTATGGTAACACTTGAGGTCCCAATCATGTAAATCATCATGATCATTATATCAGCCTTTAACTGTCCACTGCTGGACATAAACTCTGGACACAACTCCCCCTTTGAGTTGCCAATAGTTGCTACGCTTGCCAGGCGGATTGGCAACCACAGGCTTTGGAGATGTTTTAAGAGGGACGCTGCTGCCCATCGCTCGCCATCCCTTATCTTACGACACCCACGGGAAAGGAAGGGGTGGCCTGTTCTATGCCGGGACCACTCGGCTCATATAAACGTGCATCCACAATTCAGTCAGAATAATATTTGAAATTTATGGTATTTACGACTCGGTGGACTACGAAAGGGAACCCGGGTTCCTAACATTATGGCGCGGCGAGGGATGCCGTGGTGGTTTTAGCCGGTAGGAGTCCGGCAGTACCCATACGCCTCCCCCGGGGTGTTTGGGTCTGCATAATGCATTTCCCTACGAATAAAAAAAAATGGTATTTACGAGTAGTAACGAATTTTCTGGAGCGTTCCACAAAACGTACACTACCCAGTGTACTATAATGTAACTCTACGGCAGAGAAAAGAAAAACAGTATGTTCTATCTAAACTTCTAAACTAATATTATAAAAGAAAACCTTTGATTTTTGTTTATAATGGAGAAATTAAAAAAAAAAATCTTATCCTATATAATAACTTCTTTCACCTGTACAAAATTACATTATTAACTTGTAACAATGAATTTTACAAAAAAAAAAAAAACCGTGAGAATTCGTGGCGGGTGGTAGAGCAATATAACAAATAGGAGACAACATATTTCCCAGTGGTAATTACAATATTGTTCCAATTTCAGATGACATCAGGCCTCCACGGCCATGGCCACCAGATCTCTCAACCCGCCCACCACCTCGACTCGAACGTGCTAGCACCCAAGGAGAAGACCGTCCACGGCAAAGAGAAGACATTCAAAGTATGTTTTCGGTATATCTTTTTTTTATACAACTTAGAATGGCAAACAAGCTGACGGCCCACCTGATGGAAAGTGGTAACCATGCCTATAGACATGAGCAGTACCATGCACATAACAGAGTATACTGTTTCGCCCATGATACCCCCCATGCATTGCCATTCCTGAGACTTGACCATGGGATCTTCAGGTCACATCGATACATTGCTCATCTGGATTGTCACCGCTCAGAGTTCTAATTGGATTTGATGTTAATGTTACTCCTATCTCATCGGCAGGTAGTGGTGGGGAGCGAGGTGGGCGTGATGAAGACCCCGGTGCTGGGCCCGCGGCCATACAACGCGCTGGCCATCATACACACGCAGCAGAGCAACACCTTCGAGATGCTCAACTCGCTCACCACCAGCGTCGTAAGTGCTATATACCTTATTTGACCCAATTTGAAATTTTGATCATCACCTTCCTACTCTCATCTTAATTATTAACATATTACGCCGACCCCGTATTATAAAGGTATAATAATACATATTGTATTTGAAATCTTAATATTTATATAAAAATTCGTATCACCATGTTCGTTCCCGCTGATCTCTGAAACAGCTCAATCAAATTTAATGAAAATGTGATAGGATATATTTATCAGGTTTTTTTTTAATGTAATATAATGGAATGGCAACTCCGCCCGCGCTAACGGTATATACTGGCGGGGCACCAGTGACAGATGATAGGTGAGAATGAAAAGGCAGGTCAGGTTCTACAGCAGTTCAGTCCAATTCAGCAAGTAAAGTATTGTTTCAAACTTATGAAAATATATTGCTAACTCTGTCTGCATTATTGATAGGAAAAACTTTGAATCTTATTTTGTTTAACTCGAAATGTGAAATGAGAATGGGACTCTATTTTCCGTGCTTAGCCTCTCATTTGGGCCGTTGTGCGTATGAATCGTGGCTAGTACAGCCAACCTAGCTCCGCCCAGAAGCGTAGAAACTTCCTGGGATCTTCACAGGCCTCACGGAGCGACCTCACCGTTCCGAGGATTTCTAAACGTTGATGGGCCACAGCCTCACATTCCAGGATTACGTGAGCAGCCGTCTCTTCGGCGTTTGTTTAACTTAAAAACCATCAAACCATAAAAATACTGATTACAGAACATTTGTTAAAAGCGAGCACCAATGGCTCAACAAATTTTTCTACGCAATGCAATTCCTAAATATTATATGGGAAGCAATTTAAAATAAGAAACACAATTTTTTTTAACTGTGTATAGGTTTCAAATGCTACGTTATTTCTCTAGCAATTGAGTCGCTAATCCTTATTACTGACTCTCCCTTCCCCCCTAAATCATTTTGTAATACCGTTGCAGGCAAGCCAGCCAGTTGTGGGTGTAGGCGTGGGGGTGGGCGTAGGCGTGGGCGGCTACCGGCGCCGCAGCTCCGGCACGGGTGCGCTGTGCGACCCCGAGCTCGACGACAGTGGCAACAAGCTCGTCGCGCGGCTCGAGGACGACGCCTTCATATCGGAGCAGGACCTGGTAAGCTATACAACCTCCCTTTTCCACATTTAGCCTCTTAAACCTGTGTCACTACAACCTACCTGTGATGGCTCATTTCTAGAGTTCGCTAGGAATTCCTGCTAGTGACAGGAATTATAGAAAGATTTTGGTAGCGATAGTTCTTTATCACTTCAAGATGAAAAATGTATTTTTCAAAGGGTCATTTGTGCTTGAGTAGGTTATCATTGCGAAAAATGTTCTGTAGCGTTTTCTCTCAGTTTTGATTCTCAAACTCGACAGGCTAAGACCTAGTTTTCACTTTTTTTGGTTGTAATTGTTTGGAAATTAACCCTTTGAGTGCCGACGAGCGCCATCGCGCTCGTGCGCATTGCAACTAAAAGTGCCACGAGCGTCATAGCGCTCGTGAAATCAGTCGCTGTTTAGCTCGCTGTAAAAAAAATATTAAAATTGGATAATTTTTGGTTGAGATACAGTTTTTTTAGAGACAAGGGTAAATGACATCAACACGACAAAGATTTCTTTGGTATTTTTATTTTTAATGACACTAAAAGGGTTAAAAATAAGGGGGAAAATAACCGGTACTACTAGCAGGCAAGACCAACTTTTTTTTTAATTGGATAGGATATGTATGTAGCCTTAGTGATGATATTTATATTAGCAAAATATCAACAAAATCTGGCATAATTCACTTGCAGGAGGAGAATATCGAGATAGAGACTGCCACACAGCAACGTCTTCCACACCCCACCACCGACCCCACCGGTGAGGTGCAGCAGGAGGAACAGCAGAATGGTATGCACATATTCAGTAAATACCTAGATATCACTTAGACGTATATATATATACATCAACAGTATTATGGGCATAACATAATACATTATGATATTGTCCCAATAAAGGACATATTAAATACTGGTTCTCCAATATATAATATAGAAATAAAACAACTAAATAAATACACTCTATAGAAATAGATAGATACCGGATAAATATCAGATTGGTATAGTCGCAATATACAAATGAGTAAAGACCTCTTTTTCCACCATCAATATTCAGAGGAACCCAATATATAAATATTGGAGCGTTACTGATATTACATGCATTCCGATTTTTATGGACTACGGTGAAGTTTCACTGTCGAAACATGACTAAAACAAGTACCTATGCGAACGACTTTTGTTCCAAGTTCTATTAGACTCAAAGTACTTAACGACTAGGCAGTATCGCGGCGAAGCATAAAAATTTTGTTTTTATACTCTTGTGATGGCATTGACTTATTTGATAATAAGTGGTTATTGTAAAATATGACCAGCAATATCAAAGGCATTGCATGCACGTCGATGACCCTGAAGAAGTCTCTTTATTTCTTTTTTGAAGAAGCCCGTGCTCTTCCGTCCGTCTCTTAAACAAACCTCAAATGGAGAACTCGTTCCATAACCTGAGCGAGGAAAAAGGAAGGAGACGAAGTATCTTTGAAAAATAGTGCCAAATCACTTTTCAATGTTAACATAATCGATATCATTCAGGTTATCTCACAATGTCTTGATCATCGCGTCAAGATATTATCCTTTGTTTACATTTGCACTCGATACAAATGATGTCATACGTCATTCGGAATTAACCTGAATTTCATTTAATGCCTCGATAATGACTCAAATATTGTTTTGTCGCAATATTGCTATTTATATGTCATAGAATTCTCATAAGTACGTCACTAGTGCAACAGGTAAAGTGAGTAACGATTACCGATATTCGACGTACCTATATTTTTTTTTATTTATTCATTTATTGTTTACGAGTGTAACAGGTTGTGGAGAGGTGTGAAAAGCTCAATAAAAAAAAAACATTGGAAGTTGTTAAAAATAATACGTTAAAATACTGTTAATGTTGTCAAGGTTTTGTTGTAATGTAAGTTTCTATCATAATTTATTGTTTCTTACTTTAGTATTTTTTTTTATGCAACTTAGAATGACAAACAAGCTGACGGCCCACCTGATGGAAAGTGGTAACCGTCGCCTATAGACATGAGCAGTACCATGGACATAACAGAGTGTATTGTTTAGCCCATGTATGCGTTGCCATTTCTGAGGACTCAGGTGTTATTTCTCTGTACCCTGTAAATTTACTGCCATATCCCACCCTTCACATCGAAACACAGCCATGCAAACAATTAATTGCTTTACGGTTGAAACACGAATGGGACAGAGGTGCCCAAGCAAACGATTTTTGTACAGTTTTCTACTGGTAATAAGTTACATAAGTTTAATTTTAATTATTTTAATTCCGTTTTTATTTCCAATGAGTTTGTTAATAAGTCGTTTAATTGGATAATTAATATTAATGTTATATTAACGTCTTTAAAATTTATAATTAATCGACATATTTCTATGTTGACTAATATGCATTTTACATTCGAACGTGTATATGACGTAAATGGACATGTTGTAGTATTTTAGTGACTGCTTTTCACAGACCTTATTTTGTTATACATTAGGTTGTTTTTCGTTTGCAGGTCTGGTATATAGCCCTATATACAAGCTGGATAAATTGGAGTTGGAGAAGGAAAAGAAGGAAGACAAAGAAGATGAGGAGGAGCCCATTGGGGTATCGCCATGTGGCAGGTATGTCTACAGAACTGCTAATATTTTATGTAACTTTATTCATTTTGTTTTTTAAACCGACTTCAGAAAGAAGGAGGTTCTGAATACGGTTGTATTTCTTTTTGTTTTTTTTTTTTAGTTTTATTTATTTATTCATTAGTACATATATGTGTACATGGCGGACTTAATGCTAAAAGCATTCTTTCCCAGTCAACCATAGGCAAGTGTCAAAATACTCGAACGCGGTACTAGTAATTATTGATATACATACATACAAAAATTACATATATTCGACGAATAAATATATATAAATAACAAATATACTTACACATATATGATATATACTATATTATACACGAAATTGAGAATAATATAAAGCACTTACTGCCCAGATAAAGTAAAGAAGTGAGCGTGAACGTTTTTTTTTTAAAGATGGTTTAGTCGGTAGTCTCTTTAATGGCATCAGGAAACGCATTCCAGAGTCGTGAAGAATGTTTGTTACTATTATATATCAAATAAGGAATAACACCAAATAATCATGACTTTTTATTGTGAATCAAGTATTACAACTGATGACAGACTATGTGTTAGTACCCTACATAATAATAGCTTATTCCATAAAAAAGTAATAACAATGAGGGTAGTTCTAGAAAAATACTGACATATAATTATTGATATACAACAGTTACCTTTACACCTTGTAAAGGTAACTGTTGATAATTTTGTTAGTTGTAAACTAATTAGAATTTTTTTTTTTTAATTCGAAAGGATATACATACAGATTGGTCGCATAGAAATTTTATCAAAATCGGTTCAGTAGCTTAGTTTTTAAATCAAAAACGGTTTTGTTACAATTGAACACGGTTTTTTTGTGGACACAGTTTTAATTATTCTTTCGTACTATTTTCTTAATTTAAATAATAGTGTGAAATCCGCCGCTCAATTATAAGGTTTGGAAAAAATATTAGTTTCTCTCTATTAAAAAGACACAGTATCCAAGGACTGGTAGAAAGATTTACAGACAGAGACTGAGAGCTGGCCAATCCATTGGCCTCATCATATAAAAAGAAACTTCAAACCTGATATCCAAACAGCATATTGGATTATTGTTCAATAAGGAATAAATTGCCAATGAGCAGATTAGTAAAAGAATAAAAGAAAAAGATTGAAATCACTAATATTTTGTTTTATACAACTTAGAATGGCAAACAAGCTTACGGCCTACCTGATGGAAAGTGGTAATCGTCGCCTATAGATATGAGCAGTACCATGGACATAACAGAGTATACTGTTACGCCCATGATACCCTCCATCCGTTGCCATTCCTGAGGACTCAGGTGTTATTCCTTTGTACCCAGTAAATTCACACCATATCCCACCCTTCAAACCGAAACACAACTATGCAAATACAACAGCTTCACGGTTGAAACGCGAACGGGACAGAGGTACCCAAGCAATCGACTTTTGTACAAAGTTTCCCTCTGTTAAATAGTAATAATAGTTAGTTTCTAGGTTTTATTGTTTATAAATAAGGGGGTACATATGCCTAGTACTTATTGTGCAGGTTCTTCAAGTACGACAAGGAGGTGGGACGCGGTTCGTTCAAGACAGTGTACCACGGGCTCGACACGCAGACCGGCGTCGCTGTCGCTTGGTGCGAGCTGCTGGTACGTCTCACTCACTCATTCACTCCATAACCATTTAATATCTACAAAATTAGGTTTTAATCTATGTGACCAGAATAATGTTTTTATTGATAGGCATAAAAATTGTGATATTCTATCCAAATCTACATGTCAAAATTTCTTAATTAGAATCGTTGGACCGTCAAAGTATTTACAGAATTTGATTTTTCTTTGTAATGGATAAGGTAAAAAAATACATAAACAATTTGAAAAATCCTGTCATCTATAGAGAGCTACATTATTGTTGTGTATGTAGTCGTAGCTATACGTATACGTGTGTGGCTACGTCGTCGTTCTGAAGGAACGCGTCTACAACTTCGACCCGGTGACCCGCGTGAAGTTAACCGCCGATCAATTGATGCCGAACTTCATCATGAAGGAAGTTGCAGACGCGTTCCTTTAGGAGAACGAGTGGGCGTAGCCACACACGTATACGTATAGCTACGACTACATACACAACAATTATCAATAAGTAATATATGTTGATGTTCCGTGTGGTCCCGGCGTAGAATAGGCCACTCCTTCCTTTCTTGTGGGTGTCGTAAGAAGCGACTAAGGGAACTCAATGGCCGACAGATGGGCAGCAGAGTTACTTTTAAAACATCTCTAAAGCCTAACTACTGTTGCCAACTCATCTGCCAAACGTGGCAACTACTAGCAAAATGCCCCAAGGGGGAAGCTTATGTTCAACAGTGGACAATTAAAGGCTAATATGATGACTATATGTTGAATTTTATTAAAAAAAAAAAAGCAATATCTCATGTGTATCTGATAAATGATCTAACTACTCATGCGAAGTTAAAAGGTGTTGCTAGTTTATAATATTAGAAAGCGTATCAAGCAATAAGTGTATTAACCCACCAATCTCATATTACAGGAGAAGAAATTGAACAAGACAGAACGTCTCCGGTTCCGAGAGGAAGCGGACATGCTGAAGAAACTCCAGCATCCGAACATTGTAAGGTTCTACAACTATTGGGAGGGCACCGTCGCCAAGAAGAAGAACATCGTCCTCATCACAGAGCTCATGCTGTCCGGGACCCTAAAAGCGTATGTACTTATGCCCATCACGTATTTTTGCTTTAAGTTGTTATAGGTATTCTCACTAATATTAATATAAAAGGTTGTAAAAGTGGATGTTTGTTATTCATTCACATTTATAACAACTGAGGGCCTACCATGAAATGTTTTCCGAAATTTCGGAGCCAAACGAAATACAAATTTGATGTAAAAATTACATAATACATGCCGTTTGGAAATATTAAAAATGTTATTGTTCTTTTGGACTTTTATGATAGCATGTATGACGAACGAAATGTTAAACTCCATTTATTGATCCAATTTTGGTATAAACAAAAACACGAAATTGAGTCCGAAATTTCGGAATTTCATTTCATGGTAGACCCGCTGTTTTCAATGTAAATTGGTACACTACTGAATAATACCTTGGATTACAATAATAATGTTTGTCTTGGCCATATTCAGCCAGCCAAGGTTAGCTATTTAAAAAAAAAAAAAACATCAAAACAATAACGAGATATTCTGTCTGCAGCTACCTCCGCCGATTCAAACGTATCAACCCCAAGGTGCTGAAGTCATGGTGCCGGCAAATTCTCAAGGGACTCAACTTTCTGCATTCTAGGACCCCACCTATTATACACAGGTACTTATATTTTTAACGCTTAAATAAGCTTTAGAATTTTTGTTAAGTCTTACTATCTCTGTCTGTAAGCAGTATTTTCCTGCGTTTTCTCTTCACCTTTATTTTCTCCTGTTATATGTGTTATATATCCTCTACTAATCTTATTTTATTTATTATGTTATTATTTTACACTTTATTGCATAAAGTGTAAAATAATAACAATATCCTATTGTCCGATTGACTTTGTAGCAATTGCTATGTCTACAGTGACTAAAAATATGATATTATCATATTTTATACGTGGTGTATACTATTTACAAGTACTTGATTCAAATCAATGTTTCAACCGTGAAGCAGTTGTGTTTGCATGGCTGTGTTTCGGTTTGAAGGGTGGGATATGGCGTGAATTTACTGGGTACAGAGGAATAACACCTGAGTCCTCAGGAATGGCAACGCATAGGGGGGTAAAAAAAAAATTAATAGGAATTAAAAAAAATCTATTTGTTATAAGTTGCGAGTAAAATAATATGGAAATAAGGTATTAAACAAATTTAGACTGTAATAAAATTGTTTATTTTCAAATTCATTTTTCATCCATGCTTAATAATAGGAGCTTCGATACTCTTGCTTCGTTAGTGTTGCCAGCTAATGTGTTTCTAGTACGGGTTTATTCAAATACTTTGACAATGTATTTGCTATGGTATGGTGTTGCAGAGACCTGAAGTGCGACAACATCTTCATCACAGGGACCACGGGCAGCGTCAAGATCGGCGATCTTGGCCTCGCCACACTTAAGAATAGGAGCTTCGCCAAGTCTGTTATAGGTCTGTCACTCGCTCTATACACATTTATTTAATTATTTATATTAATCAAAATGCAATAATACCCTACTTGCGTCAAATTATTATTGAAAGAAAGAAAGAAAGAAATAGATAAATGGAGCTTAATGTTTCGTTCATCATAAATCCTATTCTAATAGTCTAAAGAAACGATATTTTAATATTTTTAATAATTTTAAACGGTATGTATTATATAATTTTAACAAAATTCCTATTTCGTTCTTCCCCGAAATTTCGGAAAATATTTTATGGTAGGTCCTCTGGTCATCTACAGATGTTTCTTCATTGCATGTGTGTTTATATATTTATTTTTCTCACAAAATAACAACATAATAAAACTTACAGGTTCATAGGTTACAATTTAAAACAATCTTTCTAAGAGACTGGTATCGGTACTAGGATAACCCGTCTTATAGATCACCAGGCTTCCAAACTCAAGGACATCTATTTTAATTGATTTAAGATAAGAGTATACAAATATATAAATGAATTAGTAAAATTGTGTAAGCTACTTGTATGTACTATTATGGGTTAAGTGAAAAGTGCGCGAGTGCGTGTAAGTGAGTGCATGCATGTGTGAGCGTGTGTATAGTGAGATGAGTGGGTGTGCAGATCTGATATGTGCTACTGTGTCCATGGGACGTGGTCTCCAACGACACCTGGTGGTCTACCATGAAATGAAATTCCGAATTTCGTGTTTTTATTGTATTGTATTGTAAAATCGACCCAGTAAATGGAGTTTAACATTTCCTTCATCATAAATCCTATCCTAATCTATCCTATCCTAATCCTATCTTTTCCTAATCCTAATCCTATCCTAATCTTATCCTAATCCTATCCTATCCTATCCTTACCCAATCCTATCCTATCCTAGTACAGAGGAACGTTATTTTAACATTTTTAAACGACATGTGTTATGTAATTTTAACATCAAATTTCTGTTTCGTTCGTCCCTGAAATTTCGGAAAATAAATCATGGTAGACACATATGTTGTGTGTTGTGATGCAGGCACGCCCGAATTCATGGCCCCCGAAATGTACGAGGAGCACTACGACGAAGGCGTCGACGTCTACGCCTTTGGCATGTGCATGCTGGAGATGGCAACTAGCGAGTACCCTTACAGCGAATGCTCCGGGCCCGCGCAGATATACAAGAAGGTCGTCTCGGTACGTACACCTACCTACCTACCACATTACTCGTGCCTGACATTATGGCATTATCATTTATAAGTAAGTAGCAAGTACCATTGGCAATGGAGAGGGCTATGCTCGGGGACTTTTTGCGTGATAGAATCCGAAACGAGGATATCTACAAAAAAACCAAAATAACCGATATAGTTCGAAGAATAAGCAAATTGAAGTGACAAAGGGCTGGTCACATAGTTCGAAGAACCGACAACCGATGGGGAAGAAAAGTTCTTGAGTGGCGACCGCGTACGAGCAAACGCAGTGTAGGATGACCCCCCCCCCCCTCATTAGGTGAAGTGACGACCTGAAATCCGTTGGAAGGAGTCGGTGGATGCAGGTGGCTCAGGACCATTCTTTATGGCAGTTTATGGGGAAGGCTTATGTCCAGCAGTGGACGGATAGTGGCTGTAATGATGATGAATAAGTGCCATACTATATCATCACGCTAGTTGCACGATCTTCAAGCTAGGATACCCTGTTATAAGGCACGGAGAAATAAACATTTAGAAGTCCTTGTACCCCTAGATGTTCATTACCCGGTTCGTGCTTGCCACCCTATTTGCTTCCTATTAACTTTTGTAGTTTAGTGCTTGTTAAGTTAGGTTAGGTTTTGTTACATTTTGTATCATTCATCGCCGAATTGGTCGCTGATCATCTGCCGATATAACGCCGCGAAATGTGAAAGATGTAATGATTGTGTAGTGGTACAGCTGGAAGCGAGTAAATACTCGAATTACTAGAGATGAAAGAGAATAACTTGACGTCATCCCTAAGTGGTGTGGGATAAGGTAGATAGGTGAGGAGTATAGTGTTTTTTTTTTATTTGTTGTTTATTACCAAATTATTACCAAATTAAAAATTATTAAATTTTTTGTAAGCCATAAAGTGTAATTTAATTTCTGAACAGGGAGTGAAACCTCAAAGCTTGGAGAAAGTCACAATACCTGAAGTACGGGACATCATTGAGTCATGCATTAGGCCAAATAAAGCTGACAGGTAATCATTATTAATTATTCGATTTTTTTTTAATTTAAAATACATTTTAAAATCTGTGTGTAAAAGTACTGTGTAAAAATTTACTTGTACTGTGTAAAAATTTAAAAAAAAACTTTAAAATCTGTTACCAATCATTATACACTGATATAGCATTGTGTTTCTGGTAACATGACTTTAAACTTGATTCTATACACCTTCAATTTAGTTACAGTCCACTATTTCTTTTGAATTTTTTTTTTGGGATTAATAAAATGGAATGGGAACCCTGCCTGTGTTGTTGGTATAAATTGGTGCGATTAGCAGTGAATGGTGATAGGCGAGGATGATGAAGTCCATCATGATGAATTAGTCAGGAATTAGTCAAGATAGTTTTCAGAGGGAACCGTGTAAAGGATACTCTATCAGAATATAATGATGGTATTGGAGTCTTACATCCCTGTTATCAACAATCCTTCCCCTTCCCTCAATTAAATTAGATCGTACAATTATTTTGTTAAATACTGGTAATGTATTAATTTATTTATTCAACTTTAATACAGATATTTTGCCAGAAGGAGACTTTGTACAAAAGTCGTTTGCTTGGGTACCTCTGTCCCATTCGTGTTTCAACCGTGAAGCAGTTGTGTTTGCACGGCTGTGTTTCGGTTTGAAGGATGGGATATGGCGTAAGTTTACAGGGTACAGAGGAATAACACCTAAGTCCTCAGGAATAGCAACGCATGGGGAGTATCATGGGCGAAACAGTATACTCTGTTATGTCCATGGTACTGCTCATGTCTATAGGCGACGGTTACCACTTTACATCAGGTGGGCCGTCAGCTTGTTTGTCATTCTAAGTTGTATAAAGGACACCTAGATAGTGGAAATGGCGGACTTAACACCATATGGCGTTATGTACCAGTCAACCATAGATTAACTAGTAGTAACAAAATATAATTAAAATGCAGTGAGTTGGTTATATTATCATATTTTTTCCCGTTTTTACTCCTAGGCCTAAAGTGAAAGACCTTCTGAACCACGAATTCTTCGGCGAGGACATCGGGCTGCGACTGGAGATCGTAGGCCGCGACCTGGTCACCTCCTCCGACATCACCAAGATACAATTCCGACTCAAGATTATCGATCCCAAGAAGAGGTCTGTAGTAATTTTTTTTTTATAAGAATGTGTCAAATATTTTTTAACAAGTATTTTTTACAGTAAGTTTTTTTATATACAATACTGCACTTTTTTAAATATTATAAACGTGGATGTATGCTTCGATATTTGAATGTTAAAGTTATATTGAGTTAAGGGGTCGCCTGAAAATCAAGGCTGTTATATGTGCATCTTCCTAAAGATGTGTACAGACAGCGATAGCTCAAGCAGCTCCTATTATCGAAATGTACTCATTTTTTTATTGTTTCTTACAGCTGTAATTATTGTTATCGTTAGTAATAAAAAGATGTTTCTAAATTTTTTTTTTTTTTAATTTCAATGGCTTTCTACACATCGTCGTCTATCCAGTCAGCTAGTAAATAAATAAATGATATTGTTCAGATCGTACACGCACAAGGAGAATGAAGCGATCCAATTCGAGTTCGACATGGAGAGTGACGATTGCGAGGAGGTAGCCAACGACATGGCGAAGGCCGGCCTCATCATGGAGGAGGACGCGCGGATCGTCTTCAAGCTGCTCAAGTCGCAGCTCATCAGTCTCAATCGGTGAGTGTCTTCTGTCGATAAAAAAAAAGTTTCGTTTCTAAATTGTAACGAAAGTGGAAATTCAACTATCCAAATGCGTGGTTACGCCCATGACAGAAAACTCAATGACTTTGTATTTATTATCCATGACGCAAAACTCAGCAATAACATATTATGGTTCCATGATGATACAAAACTCAGCGGCTTATATTTTAAGGTATTATCCATGACGCGAAACTCAGTAACAGCATATAGTTTCGTGATGTAAAACTCAGTAATTGTATATTTTAGAGTATTACTCAGCACGAAAAATTCAACAGCTGTGATATTTAACGTTTTATCCAATTCGGAGTTTGTCAGGGTTGCCTGTACCTTAATTATACCTCAACTTTGAACATGAAGCGTGTCATTACTAAACTTCATGCTTTAATATTGCATTAGTATATTTTGCTCCACAAAACAGAAATTCAATCGTGAAGACACACCGATGTGTATCATAGCTGCATTATATTCAAAATAATTTATTTTTATACCACAAAAGTGGTAAATAAAGATATAGCTCATCTGATTCTAAATGGTCACTGTAGCCTACGGACGCTAGCAGCACCAGGGAGGTTGCAAATTGAATTTAAAATTAGATTTTGCCCCGCTAATCAATAAAATAATCATAAGTTTTCAATCGTCATAAAATTTATACACTAGAGGAAAAAATTAAGGGATAAAAAAAAATTCCAAATGTTTGTAAAACCAAGTGGAATTAAAAAAAAAGGATTTTAAAGCTCAAAGTTTCTAGTTTTGAGATCTTACGATGAAAAAAATTTTCAAGCAACGTGTTCCGCTCAATCCTAATGAATAACGAAAAAATTTTTTTTTTCGAAATTTTTTCTGGTCTTTTTTTGGTCTACGAATTTGGAAAAAAAATTTCCAACTTAACCACTATATGGAGCGGATAGCAAAGTTCGATACAACCACTTCTCGTTGAGATATCGAACTTTGAATGGAAAAGGATCTTTTTGTCTTTAACCATCAATATCTCAGCAACCGCTGATCGCACAAGAAAATCAAAAACATTTTTTTTTAAATCATAGCTGATTTTATTCAAGATTTCGGAAATTTATTCAAGATTTCAAAACCCTTAGCTGACAAAAATTTGACCCGTTTTTGGGGCTCGATGCTCTATCTATATAATCTAAGGAGTGAAGCTAATTCGCCGATAAATACCGGTATCGAGCCATTGCAACGACCGTGAAACCTCTTTTCTAATTATAGTGACGTGCGTACACGTGCTTATTAAATATTTTATACCATAATGTGCAATCTGCAGATTGATTTTGTTTTTTTAGATTCTGTGATTATAATCTATTAATAAACAAACTATAATCTATTATAATATAGTATACTAGTTGTTGCCCGTGGCTTCGTACGGTGGTTTTTGGAAGCCCCTTAGAGGTTGAATTTCCAAAATATTTTTTTGTGTTTATCTATGCTTCATAAAGAATCTGTCTGTAAAATTTCAAGATTCTAGTTCAGTATTCGGCTGTGCGTCAGTCAGTGATGCTGTGTGTCAGTCAGTCAATCAGTATCCTCTTTTATATATATAGATGATATTCATGGTCTTGCTTATGTCTATAAATTGTATTATTATATCAGCCATTATCCGTTCACTGCTGAACATAGGCTTCTCCCATAGACTACCATAAGGAGCGGTCCTGAGCCACATGCATCTACTAACTCCCTGCAAAATATTTGAGGTCATAACTCTGTTTAGTGGGGGGTCGTCTTATACTGCGTTTGCTTATATGGGGTCGCCACTCAAAAACCTTTCTCCATTGGTTGTCGGTTCTTCTAGTTATGCGGTCAGTTCTTTGTCACTTTAGCTTTCTTATAGTGTACAATTATCTGAACTCTTATTTACCAGAGGGAGACTAAAAAATTCTACAAAAGTGTCTCTGTCTCGTTCATTATTTAGTCAAGCACTTTGTGTATATTTTACTAGCACTGCTGGCCCATTATTTAATTATCTTTTTTTTTTTATACCACTGAGGTGGCAAACAAGCATACGGCCCACCTGATGGTAAGCGGTTACCGTAGCCTATGAACACCTGCAATACCAGAGGTATTACGCGCGCGTTGCCGACCCTGAAGAAACCTCTTTACCCCCCTTTTGAAGAACCCCATGCTGTAGTCTCTTGGGAATATCTCGGCAGGGAGCTCCTTAAAAACTACTCCTTTAAAAACCTAGAGGTTTTTAAATATCTAATAAAATTTAAGTATCAGTGTTTCTCTACTATATTATGCATGTATTATACATATAAATCCTCTTCTTGAATCACTCTGTGTATAAAAAAAATCGCATCAAAATCCGTTGCGTAGTTTTAAAGATCTACGCATACATGGGGACAGACAGACGGGAAGTGACTTTGTTCCATACTGTGTAGTGATGTTTTTGTTTGAATAGTAATCGTTATTTAAACTCTGTATCGATAAATTTCAATTTCTAATTTATACATTGAATTCGTATTTTTGAACGAAATATTCCAGTTGTGGTGGGTTACTAAACGGTTATGATAAAAATATTACCGTCCCAAATATCGGCTCGCCACGCGGTGTATTGTGTTGTCACGCGATTATGTTTTCGGATTCGTTTATGAATTATGTAAGCTAAGTCAGAAATACCCTTGCATTTTGAACCATCTGGCCCTTACATTTTATTATTTTGTATATACGGAGACTTTGTACAAAAGTCGATTGCTTGGGTACCTCTGTCCCATTCGTGTTTCTACCGTGAAGCAGTTGTGTTTGCATGGCTGTGTTTCGGGTTGAAGGATGGGATATGGCGTGCATTTACAGGGTACAGAGGAATAACACCTGAGTCCTCAGGAATGGCAACGCATGGGGGGTATCATGGGCGAAACACTTATGTCCATGGTACTGCTCATACCTATAGGCGACGGTTACCACTTTCCATCAGGTGGGCCGTTAGTTTGTTTGCCATTCTAAGTTGTATAAAAAAAAATACAGTAGACAGATAGGCAACGATTTTCCGAATCCTGCAGTATATTTTTAAAAAGTTACGATTTAAAAGTGCTTGTAAACAAGTCTCAAATAGACATGCTTTTTTTTTTATTGAATAAAGATGATTTGAGTTGGAACTCAGCACGATGGTTTCCAGGGAAAACCGCGTGGAGGTCGACCTGACAGGGTGGGTATATTGCTAGCAATGGGACTGGTAGCCCGCATTACTAACAATCCCTTCCCCCCAATACATATATTTGTTTAGTATAAATCCATATAAGAGCAATGTACTTTGTAATTTGATCATGGGCGGCGGTAGTCGCTTACCACCAGGTGAGCCGCATGCTCGTTTGCCCCGTGTTGTAAAAAAAAAAAAACTAAATAAATAGTACATAAATACCGTGGCTACCTCTTGCATATCGTATGCGTTATGATTATAATGTAAATTTCGACGCTTCAATGAACACGTATAATCGCTGTGACGCCATATTAACGCAATATTTGTACGTAATGCTAACATTTTCTCCTCCAATACATGATGTAGACACAGCGGTGAACAACTATTGACGCGCAGTCGGTTAAATTTATGTGGTCAATGCTTTATTTGTGTTGTGTTGGTTTTTTTTTTATTGAAATTATCAAATGATACAGTTTGACGTGTTTTTAGAGCCCTGTTCGCCATAGGACGGTATGCTATTATCATATATTCATGCCTTCTCTCTTTGGGGTAGGCAGAAATCATAGGCTTGTATTTTGATATATCACTTTAGCTTTATTCCTTATTCATACATCTCTCATTCATCTTCTCATTCATTACACGATTACGGTAACGCATGAGGCTACCATGGGCGTCATAGTGTATTCTGTTATGTCCCTATGCTGTTCATGTCTATAGGCGACGGTTTCCATTTACCATTTTCCCGTCAGCTTGTTTGCCATTCTAAGTTGCATAAAAAATATGTAGACATGTTCGTTCTTTTATTAAATTCGTTGGTTTTAACTATTTTAAAATAACGAGACTTATTTAAAAATCCTAAATCACTAATTACCTTATATTATTAAAAATATATTAAATACGTGAAGGAAAAACTTTATACTCCTTTTACGAAAATTGCGCGGACGGAGGAGTATGAAATTTGGCACACTTATAGTTTATATAGAGAAGGATTGCGGAGTGATAATTTTTGTTTTAAATTATGCATAAAAATACATTAAATCAATAAAAAAAAAATCATTATACACACTACCATCTACTTGACACACACACGCATATATACTCTTGATTATTGTTAAAATCTGTGGTCAAATTGAGAATAGATTAATATTGTTTGTATTTTTATAGTCTTATTGGATGTCAAACATAACCATAATAAATTTATTTATTACAATATATCTTATGGTCGAATTTCGACCACTGGGCAACCACTAGTATACCCAATAACCAATAGTAGTATTAAAAATATCAACCGTCTATATTATAAAACATTTACTCACGACAAAAGTAAGAAAAAGGAAATTTCAAGTTTGCAGCAAATTTTTTCCATTTTCAATCTACTTTTCTTGTGTTATTTGAAGGATCTGAATTTATAGTTCTACAAATCTGTATAACGGAGTGATTATAACATTATAATTATTTTAATGAATAAATAAATAATATATAATTTCGAAGCAGTGTTCGACCAGTCGATCAGACCTCTTTTAACGTTTATAATTTGCACATATTAAGTGAGTTACTATATTGTAAAGTAAGCTAAATGACAGATGATTTATTAGAAACGTTTGTATCCGAAGGTTACTTACGAGTAATATAGACTATTATCATACAAAATTAGAAACTTGTGTCACGGACGTACACGCACGATATATATATATATATATATATATATATATATATATATATATATATATATATATATATATATTTTTTTTGTGGTATGTGATAATAGAATGTTAACTTGTGCTATCGATATACGCTGACAAGAGAGGGATGATTAGGTGAGATGAAATTAGATCAGTTAACTTATCGTGACTTTTGAGTGTTACAATATATCCAATGATGACCCGCACTTGATTAAGGTACGATGGGACTGGCGTGCCTGAAAGGACAAAAGTCCCTAAATAAATAAAAATAAAAAATGCATACCAGTATTTTGGTGAAATTATAGTTAACAGTTATAGCTCGATGTGTACACTATTGACCATCTAATGTAACCATGTTTAATGCAAATAAAGAATCTAAAATTAAAAATATTTTATGTAAAATTTTTTGCTTTCTTACCATTTTATTGTATGCCAATTATCTTGACGTTATGAGGTATCGGGTACATCGATAAGAGTTGCAATCGATTACTGTGGACAGTCCTAACTGTGCGGTTACCATGACTACGCGTCGTTACGTACTCTCATCCATCCATTTGGTTCATACGTTGAATTAATAGTAGCATATAAAATTAAGGTCACGTGTACTGATTTTGCTTAGTGATGTTTTTCAATAATTATTACCTCTTAATATATATGTTCTGAATGAAGTAAGGAATCCTAAAAGTAATACAGTAGTCTCTAATGCAAGGAACACGGTTAATTTTTTAAAATGATGGGTTGCTCTTATCTTAGGTAATTTTTTTTTATACTATTTCTTTTTCATTTTTGATATTTAATATGATTAATAGTTTTAATAAAAAATCATCACCATTATTCATCAGGGAGGTTTTTCCAGTAGTTGCCATGCTGGTCAGGCGGATTGGCAACTGCAGTTAGACTTTGGAGATGTTTTAATAGGGACATTGCTGCCCGTTATTCGCTCTCTCTTAGTCGCCTCTTACGACACCCACGGAAAAGGAAGAAGTGGCTGGCTATGCCGGGACACACGGCAATTAATATATTAATACATAATTAAAAAAAAGTCCCCGCTTACGAAGTAGCGGGCAAAAACTAGTTATAAATAAATGAATTATTAATTTTTAGGGAGAGGAGTGAGAAGAAAGCTCAGATGCTGTTCAACCAGGAACTGATCAACGAGCAGAACATACAGAAGCAGCTACTGCTCGAACAACAGCTACGGCAGGTCAGTTCCACGTCAATTCTAACATTTATTGAAATAATTTTATTGACCAAAATAAAATATGGTACAAAAGGCAGACTTAATGCTAGTTATTTTTTTTTATTGGATGATAATAAAATAGTAACCCCTCCTGCGCTATCGGTATACTCTGGCGGGGCACCAATGGGAGGTGATAAGTGATGATGAATGCAGGTCAGTTAGCCCATTGTGAAGAATTTCACGAGAATTAACCACGATGCTTTCCAGGGGGAACCGCGTGGAAGTCGACCTGATAGGGTACATTGCTAGCAATGGAGCTGTTAGCCCCCATTACTAATAATCCCTTTCCCCTCGACTTAATGTTAATAACATTCTCTACCACTCAACATTTGGGATGAACACTGAATCACGAATGCAGTATTTCATTATTTTTTTATTATTACTACACTGATCTAAATCTCAATTTATTTTCTTTTTTTAAGAACCAATTAATATTGGCAACATTAAAAACTGCCCCATAATAGTCTGATTGTATCAATCCATGGTCTGTCTGTGGAAGAAGTAAAGTCACAAGACATGAATGAGAGGCGTATGTATGAGATGACTTATGAAAGTGTATGAAGCAAGAGATATATCCAATTACCCATGTAAGAATAGAGACATTGCACTCGGTTCTCTATGCTTTGGTGTGGAGAACTTTAGTAATCTTTAGTTCTTGTCTAATTTAAAGGTCAAGATGATACAGAATCAGCAGCAAGGTGGTCCAGCAGAGCAGGTGAAGGCGGGACTGCTTAACGGCGTTGGCACACAGCCGGCCCTTGGCGGGGTGCAGTAAGTGCATAGTTTTAAATTCATCATTTATAACATTAAGATTTATGGATATTTCATACTTCTCCCTCTATCGACTTACTTATCATTGGATTAAATCGTTGTCGATATGCTACGAGAGCATGGTGGGTCGAATATGGATTATGGCTGAATAGCTAACTCACCTGTTATATTCCTGAACGAATGACGTTTATAGGAATTAGTCTGTTCAAAATGATTGAGCATATATTTTTTTTTTACATTACGCTTTTCGGGATTGCAGTCATGGAATATATTCATATTTTTTTTATTATTTCTACAATAAGTATCTCGTTTTCAATTGTATTAATATTAATTTTAAATCTGTGTTTAACAAATCGCCAATAGTCTACAAATGACGTTGACTTAGGGATAAATCATTACCATATTTATTTATATTGTACGTCTTTTTTACTATTTTACAGTTAGAACTGTTAGCTATATATAAATTTTGTTTTATAAATGATTGATAAAAATGTCTTCAAACATCTTTAAAATAAGTTTACTTAATAATTATTCTTATTCTGATCTTATTTAAATAAAAAAGTTAATGATAGCCTTATAAGCCCCTCAAATTGCACTTTTAGATTGGAGCAGCAATCCCAGTTGCTACAAGCACAGCAACAACTCCTCCAACACCAGTTCCAGCAGTTGAACAATCTGAACAACGAGGAGAAGGCGATAAAGCTGCTCCAGCACAACCTCATACAGGCCAGGATCTCGCCAAGCGATCAGCAGTTATTCCAGCAGCAACAAGCACTGTTAGAGCAGAACATCAAACAACAGGTGACATGCATTTCAAAATCCAAGGAAAAATAAAAAAATATTGGCAGCTCTTATTGATTAAGGTGGCTGTCTTTAATGATAGGATCCGAATTTAATTGCCATGGCTAACATTCTCTAAGAGTAATGACGTCATTAACAACAAAAGTTAATGTTGTCATTTGTTTGGCTATACCATTACAATACTGCGACTACATTTCATTTTTTAATTAAAGTTTATATCTTTATACAAGAAACATCTATGTTAAATATGCCCAAATTCAGATATTTCTGAATTTATTATTCAGTCAAATTTATTAATTAATTAAATTAATTTATTTTTCAGTCAAAAAATTCCTAATGCTATTGCATTAGGAATTTTTTGACTGAAAAATAAATTGGCACACATTTATACGTAAATCTTAATTATATTTTCGCAGGTAATGATGGAACAGAATCTCTTGAACCAACAAATACTGGAGCAAGCGACAGTTCAAGGTCAGTTAATGGAGCAACAAGCGCAGCAAAAACTACTAGAAACAAATACATCACAGGGCCAAATACAGCCGACATTACTGAACCAACAACTGACCGCAGAGCTGAGCAACCAGAACCAGGTATTGCAGCAACAAATCATCCAGCAACAGCAGAACATAATAGCCCAACAGGCGGTCGCAATACAACAGAAGCAGCTAGAGGAGCAGTTGACTCAGGAGAACATAATAAGCACACCGCAGAATCTCGTCACCGGCCAAATACTGGATCCGTCACTACAGAATCTTCAAAATATTCTATCGCAGATAATTCAGAGACCAGACACGTTGCAGTCAAGAAAAGAATCGGAGTCAGAAAATCAGCAAGTCCAGCCGCAACAAATTCAGCAAGTAGTAAATCAACAATCAGAAAATGTAGAACAACAAATCCAACAAGAACAGGATATTCAGCAAATGCAAAATTTGATTGGTGCACAAATTCAACAACAAAACATGAATATCCAACAGAATCAGCAATACATGCAGCCGATTCTTACTGGTGTGGATCCTGCGATACTAGCCCAACAAGAACAAGTCGCGCAGGCTCAGCAGCAAATATCTCAGGCCCAACATCAGCTAAATATGCAGAAGCAGGTGTTGGCGCAGCAACAACTGGTGCTTCAACAACAATTACTACAGCATCAACAATTACAGATGCCGGGGCAGACATTGTCACCACAGCATTTGAGAAATCTACAGCAACAGCAGTATCTAGCTCAGCAGGAGTTGCAGCTGCAGACTCAGCAAAATTTTATCGAAAGACAGAATCTCGCATTGCTGGCGCAGAAACAGCAGTTAATGGGGCAGCAACAACAGAAAGTAGAGGAGATACTCCGAGCTCAGAGGCCAATGTATACAAGACAGGGATCGGAACAGAGTCAAATCAGTACGACAGATATTCATGAGCAGCAACAGACATTGATTCCGGACCACTATCAGCAGAAAGCTCCCTTGCAGCCTCAAATGTCAATGGAGCAAATGCAGTATCAGAATCAATACGCCGATATGCAGAGTCAAATGCAGAAGCAGCAATCTATACCATCTGAAGACCACAGCTACCAGCATCGAATGCATCCAATGCAGGGACAATCTCTACCGCACAATATGCAAATGGCTCAGAATTTTAATGTGGTGCAACAGAGCGAGGTGCAGATATCTAGTCATGAAGGCACGCCAGTGCAGAATTATACTGCTAACCCACTTCAGATGTACCAGCAAGGTCAGAGCCAGCCTATGCAGTCGATGCTGCAGAACATGCAGTATCAAGTTGATCAAAATTTATCATCGTCTGTGACACAGAACATTCCCAAATCAGTTCCTCAAGAACCGCCTGCTCAACAAATCACGACTACGCAATCAGTACCAAACACGGTCTCTTCTGTCCCACAGTCGATGTCGTCTGTTCCACAATCCATTCCTTCCATTCCTCAACCCGTTCAATCTATACCACAGCCTATTCAATCACTTCCTGTATCTGTACCTCCATCTTTGCCTCAGTCTATGGTGTCTGGTCCACAAGTTCCACAATCTGTCCCTCAGCCAATTCAATCTATCCCGAAGACGATTCCTCAACCTGTATCATCAGTTCCTCAACCAATTTCCTCGGGTCCTCAACCAGTTTCTTCTACTTCTCAACCCGTTTTAGCTGCTGCTCAACCCGTGTCTTCCGCCCCTCAATCTGTCACGCAGCCTACGTTTATTCTACCGTCCATTCCATCTGTTCCACCGGTCCAAGAATTAGTCCCGCAACAGCTTAATCTACCATCGGAGCACACGGAGGGTTTCCAGAGTAATGGTGGGCAGAAAGAGCAGTTCTTGACGCCCATGAGCGAGTTCCCTTCTGGCGCGACACACAGTGATACCATCAGACACCCAGAGTTGAGCTCGGTGGAAGAGAAGCAGGCTGAGACGCAACCGGAACGTGAGTTGTTATTATCTTAAATCTAATTGTTATTATCTTTACAGGAGGGAGACTTTGTATAAAAGTTGTATGCTAGGACACCTCTGTCTCATTCGTGTTTCTACCGTGAAGCAGTTGTGTTTGCATGGCTGTGTTTCGATTTGAAGGATGGGATATGGCAGTGAATTTACAGGGTACAGACAAATAACACCCGAGTCCTCAGGAATGGCAACGCATGGGGGGTACCATGGACGAAATAGTATACTCTGTTATGTCCATGGTACTGCTCATGTCTATAGGCGACGGTTACCACTTTCCATCAGGTGGGCCGTCAGCTTGTTTTTGCCATTCTTTATTCCATCAAAAAAATTGCACATTGTAATGTTGTGGTTGTAACTGGTGGACGAATGAGGATAAAAAGTGACATCTTGTTTTTATTTAAATTACAAATAGAATTCAACCGACTTTAAAAAAGAAGGTTATTGATTCAGTTATATTTTTTTATATCTCGTTCAGTTCGTTTATGTCAATTTGGTGCTTTTTTTTTAATTCTATAGGACCAATCTTATTAAATAAATGTTATCAGATTTGATTCACTAGTTTGGTTTTTAAATCAAGATTATTAATTTTGTCACTATTGATATCGCTGTTTCTATTTGATTTAATAAAATCTACTTGTATTATTTGTAATTACACTAATTTGTATATTACTTTTCAACATTCGCAGCGGGTACAGCGATACCATCACCGATATCTGGCGACAAAAAGTCCCGAGGCTCCAAGAAGCGGTCCCGCGAGAAGGACAAGCTGCCCAAACTGACCGTGCTCGAGGTGAACGAGACAGCCAACGTGGTGGAGTGCCAGCTCGAGTCCAAGTCCAAAACGGTCACGTTCAAGTTTGACGTCACCGATGTCAACCCAGAGGAGATTGCCAGCAATCTGGTTAGTAGCTTTCAACCTTTGTTTAGATACATTCAAGAAACACCTCTGGCCTTTTAACGTTATTTTACATACTTTTGACAAATGCCTTTAACTAAAGTATTATAATGAATTCATTTATTTTACTTTTTTTTTTAATTATATTTTAAATTTTAAAAATAGAATTTTGTCCTTTGGTAGGCTTGTGAATTATATTTTTATATTTACTTTAGTCACACTGTCATCTAATACTTCAATAATATTTCGGTTGTTACCACTAGATGGCATGGTATTTACAAGTGTATGTGATTAAATTTTTTTTGTTGAAACCGCCTGTCAACCATAATATGCTATAACAATTAGAGGGAGAGTTTGTACAAAAGTCGATTGCTTGGGTACCTCTATCCCATTCGTGTTTCAATCGTGAAGCAGTTGTGTTTGCATAGCTGTGTTTCGGTTTAAAGGGTGGGATATGGCGTGAATTTACAGGGTACAGAGGAATAACATCTGAGTCCTCAGGAATGGCAACGCATGGGGGGTATCATGGGCGAAACAGTATACTCTGTTATGTGCATGGTACTGCTCATGTCTATAGGCGACGGTTATCACTTTCCATGAGGTGGGCGGGCCGTCAGCTTGTTTGCAATTCTAAGTTGTATAAAAAAAATTTAGGAAAGTAATATTTTAATTATTTCATTATTGTACACTATATATTTATATATAAAAGCTTATCATTGACAGGTTGTAACCGCTTAAGTAAAAAAAAAAAAAAACAGTACTTGAGACCAATACAAAATATCAAACAATTGGTTTATTATTGGTTTATTATAATAAACATTGTTTATATTTTATTAATATTTATTAAAATTAGGTATCAAACAACCTGCTGCCCGAATGGCAAAGCGCGACCTTCATGGAACTGATCAAGGACATAGTGAACCAGCTGATCACCAACCCCGGAGTCACGCCCGTGCTCAACCCGGCACACCACTCTGCGCTCAGGCTAAACATTGATAAGGTAACGTCACTTATTGTACGGTACAGCTTTCGAATTTATTCATCATTTTACGAATTTATCAAAGTATAAAAGCAGATTGTTAATTTTAAAAACATACATTTTTCAATCATCATTGTCATATCTCTTAATAGTTCACTGCTGAACATAAGACTCCCCGTTAGGAGATTTTCCTAGTAATTGCCGCGCTTAGCAGGCGTGTTGGCAACCGCAATTAGGCTTAATTTATGCATCATACGTTGTACCGAACAAAAATGTGGTACCGCGCGCTAATGCAACAGTGTCTGTTGCATAACTCAAATTTGCAACGTCATTTTCATGAAATTTATGTAGGTCATTAATTTATGTAGGTAATAAACCCATTTAGCCATAAGCTCTAATCGAAATTTGGTCATTTCAAAAATAGTTGACACAGTGGATGTAATGAGCTAGCCTAGAGCCGATCGCTCCATGAGTTAAAATAGTCACAGAAAGTTGCTATTGCAATTTCAATTGTTTTTTTTTAATAATAATATTCTAGACTGACTACGACTCGGAGACAACAGAGCGCGAGGAGAATTTAACGGACTCGAACCAGGACAACTCAGAGTGCACGACGCCCACCGCCAGCCACGACAACATCGCAGCAGAGCTCGCCGATGAGCCCGAGCCCGAGCGCGAGCGCGAACCCGAGCACGCGGAGCCGCTGCCCGCGAGGCCGCCGCATGTCGACGCCGCCTCCAGGAAGATCAGCACCGCATCATCTATAGGTGACGCTGCTTGTCTTGTATACAGTCTACAACCAATATTCTGTCACTTACTAGAAATCATTGTGGTTAATTCTCAGTAAATTTGTCACAATGGGCCAAATAATCATGTCAGAGTAATTTATCAAACTGAGTCTTTGTACGAAAGTCACCTTCATGAGTTGCCGTTTCATAGAACTAAAGTTTTATGGCTTTGTACCTATTTTGTAATTTTATTGTCATATCTCAGTCTTCAAACAAAACGGCAAGTAATAGAGGTATCTAAGTTCCCTCTGCATTGTCTCGTTTTGCTAAATAATTGAATCAATTCCAGGTTCCAATCAATCGGACGGCGGATCGATGGCGCCGGAGCGTTCTGGCAGCACAGAATCACAGAACGGAGAGAGAAAGCTGCAGAAGCCGTCTCGCAAGATATCAAGATTTCTAGTCAGCCCCGTCGTCGACCGGGGAGAGGAGGTCCCTGAGGAGAAACTTGAGCCACAGGAGAAGTCCGAGGTCAAGGATCAGGTCAACGGCCTCCCCGAGAAAGAGGGTCCAGTCATTCCGCAGGAGAACTATGTTCCTACCCATCAGTATTCCGCACCCACTCAAGTTCCGCACCCACTAGTGATAGACCACAGACCCGTAGATGTAAAACCTGAACCGGAAACAGTGACCAGGGACCAGCCCTACTCTGGCCCCATCCCCTCCACCGTGCAGACAGCCCCCCAAATACCAGTTCAGAGCATAATGAATCCGGTATTAAACGCAACGCTACAACCCAACTTGAACCTAACTACCCCGCTGCAGATCGCGACGGATACGCCACTGCTGGGGTTGAGTCAGGTCGGGACCCCGATGGGGATGGGGGCCGAATTGGGACTGGGGTTGGGGCTGGCCGCCCCTCTTCACCCCACGTTGACGCCTACCCCGCCGGTGTCCGATTCGCTGCCTAACGCTGAAAATATACAGAGGATGTTACTCAAGCAAAATATCATAAAGTAAGTAATAAATTCATGTATTTGTAATATTGTATTAATATTTTTTTTCATTTAGAATGAAACCTCGTCCTTATAGTTTGTTTTCTATTAGTAATTTTTTTTTCCAAAAAGAAAAAAATGGATTAAGAAATCTTTCCCAACTGTCAGAGTAAGGAAGACTCATAATTTTTTATTTGACTTTTGTATTATATTTCTTTGGGAAAAATGTTCAGTTTCTTTTGGTGAAACAATTCCTAAAAGAATGCATAATGATACAATATACATCAGAATAGGCTTACTCTGTCGCCCGTATCTTCTTTCTGCTTCGAGCTACTCGGCGAGGTATGGAGAGGTCTATCAGAGCGAGGATATCTTCAAAAGAATTAAAAGTGACTGACATGGCCCAAAGGATAAGCAGGCTATGACCAGCCCATTTTGGTCACAGCTCAAAAAACGATCGATGGGAAATACAGGATCTTGAATGGCTACCTCGTACAGGCAAACGTAATGTAGGATGACCTCAAATACATTGCAGGGAGTTAGTAGATACAGGTGACTCAGGAACGTTCCTTAAGGCAGTCTATATTCTATGTTCAACAATGGACAGACAACAGCTGGTATACAACAAAAATTAATTCATATTATTGTAGTTGGTTATTTTGTAGTTGCTATTAGTATTGTAGTTGGTTAGTTGCTAGATACAAACAATTGTCTTCGTTGATGTAACAACTACTATACGTTTTAATTAGTCTATTTTGGAATCCTGCAATGAGGAGTTGGGCGTTGATTTTCGCGACACAGTTTTATACTTCTGCGGATATCATCGTTTTCTTTTAAATAATATTGTAACCAATATTAAATCTCTAAATAAAGAATTATTATTATTAAAAAAAAAACAAAAAAAATTAATACAAATGTTTGTATTGAGTAGAAATAAAACCTCCAACAACCGGATGGTGATTTGGTGTGGAAAATAACTAGATCCTTATGGTCATGACAACAGCATCTATTTTTCCATTCCAGCCAACAGCAGAACATGTCGGGTCCCAATCTCTTAGGATTACTGAATCAGCCGCAGTTCCCACAGCCCGACCTCAGCCTCCACAACACAATACTCAGCAACTCACAGCCAGGTTAGTTCTATGTATAATTTTATTCAGCTTCCATTAGTTCTAATACTATAGGACAAAACATTTAGCAACCAGCTTGAATTATACCATGAGATTAGAGCATTTACAATTGGAAGGTTTTTTTTATACAACTTAGAATGGCCAACAAGCTGACGGTCCACCTGATGGAAAGTGGTAACTGTCGCCTATAGACATGAGCAGTACCATGGATATAACAGAGTATACTGTTTCGCCCATGATACCCCCCATGCGTTGCCATTCCTGAGGACTCAGGTGTTATTTCTCTGTACCCAGTAAATTCACGCCATATCCCACCCTTCAAACTGAAACACAGCCATGCAAACACAACTGCTTCACGGTTGAAACACGAATGGGACAGAGGTACCCAAACAATCGACTTTTGTACAAAATCTCCCTCTGGTAAATATATATTGAAATAGTATGTTTTTGTGCCTAATTCTAAGACAAGTCCTCCGTAAAAAAAAAGCGACAATGTGAAATATTTGTGATTTATATATCTTATCACAGCGTCGTTTACTGACTCCACTTGTTTGTGAATCTATACCATTCAGGGACCTACTCAAACACAAAGTTTTCCAGTTGAGGAGTTCAGTGACATACACACATACTGCAGTATTATATAAATATATATACATATATATATTGTTATGATACTTATTCTGTGCAATTACAAATTGTTACTGACAAGTGTTGCTACTAATTTGTTTATAACGAATGTATATCTTATATGCTAGGCATGGGTAATATGGATACCGATCCAATATCTATATATTGGGTTCCTCGGAAGAAAGTTCATTACCCATTTCGATATCGCTTATATCGGTCGGATATATTTTTGAATATGTAATAGACTTTTAGTCTGTTATTCTATATTATTTTTTGGATAATAGCCTTTCAAAACCGGTATATAGATATTGTATCTAAAATATACAGATATTGCTGTATATTACTCACATCCACTATATGCCCCCCTCACCCCCTCCGCCCTCCAGCAGCTTGTGCTACAGCAATTATATAAAAATAACTCGCATACTCTCCGTTACTTCTGCTGCACCGTCAATAATCTGCTTGCTGTTGCTGTGTGTACATTCGCCAACAAAAATATCTGAACATATTATTTGAGCCACTATTGTAACGTACAGTGCGACGGATTTATCTGTGAAGTGTTAAAAATGGGAATTAAGGGCGCCATGTTGAAATATTAGTTTAAGTTATTCTAAATTGGTTTAAAATCAATTATCATATCGATTGTAAACTGTCCATATAAAAAATGTTACATACATTTTAAATAAATACATATTTTATTAAAATTTAAGATGATTTAAAGGAATTTTACAATATTTTTTTTTAATTTTAACTCAATAAAAGAGAAAAAAATAATAATAACACTATGTAGAGAAAAGATTTTTTGTTTGTAGTGGATATATTAACAAAAAATACTTAACTATAGAAGCTACATTAATAAAGCTACAATCAAAGTAACATAGGTTGATAATTATAATATATATAGTATTCTAACTATATTCCGTGAAATATCCCGTTTAAATTATTGTTAAAAAATATTCTGTGTTTAGATGTGTTTTAGACTAAAAGACGCCTAAACGTCGTTAATATTTTTAATCTTAGATAGTGTTAACAGTTACTTCATTTTGAATTATGTATCAATTTATGCCTTTCCATTCTATTGCCATATCTCTGCGCATGGCTATGCCAGCACAGCCTCAAACAACACGAATGGGACAGCGGTAACTATTTGCTACTTTCATGCATAGTGCTCGTTCTGATAAATGTATTTTGTAATTTTTTTTACTCCACGTTCGGTCTTTTTTTTTAATATCGCTACTCAGATATCCAGTAGCGTCGCTCTTTACAGTTTTTTTTGATGGGTGAAAATGGAATGGTAACCCCGCCTGCGCTAACGGAATACGCTGGCGGAGCATTAGTGAAGGGTGATAGATGAGAATGAAAACAGGCCAGTTAGCCTATAATGTTGAATACATCAGGAATTAACCATGATAGTTTCCAGGGGGAACCGCGAGGAGGTTGACCTGGTTGAGTATATTGCCAGCAAGGTGATTCTCAGTCTCCATTACTAACAATCCCTTACCCCCCGCTCTTCACAGTTAAGTTAGTCTTACTGCAACAATGTTGAGTGTTCATTCGCTTTTGTGAGTATACGTGTGATGTAACTAACATACGACAGTGGCCGGGATGGCTGGCGTGGCCGGAGTGGCCGGAGTGACTGGCCGCCTGCCGCCGCAGTACCCTCAGCAGAAGTACTATCAGCCGATGCTCGCCACCGCTAACGATTTTATAGGTAAATTATCAATTCTGTAAGGTCTCCTGTAAGGTCGTCGTTCAATAATAAATAAATATACATCGAATAATTTTACAATATTTTCAAATTACATGGTGTTATCAAAATTATTAGTATCATTTTAAGGAAATGTTCTTTAAGTGAAACTGAAAGTTTTTCCCAAAAACACACGTGTCTAATAATTTAAGAACTATGTTGTTATACAATAACACCGTCTTCAGTCGTGTCGTAATTAAATAATTTTCCAAATGGGTTTATCAATGACGGAGCTCTGAGGTAATATATATAGAGAGCTCGACTCGTGTTTCTATAGGTAAAGCTAGGCCCAAATTCTATGAAGGAAACCACGAGAGTTATTATAACCATTCATATTCTTGAATTCGTTCCTGAATGTTATCATCCATTCAAAAGTTTGTCTTGGAGTCGAAATTTGTAAATAAGCTTGTTCTAACGCTTTCATTTTATGTGTGTTGCTATATTTCTTGTTTTATGCAACTACTGGCTTCATCACCTGCTTGGTTATATTCTATTAATATAATACACCTACAAAACCTATAAGGAAATATGTGTGCATTTCGATTTTGAACACCAACTGTAAAATATAGAGGATAGAAACAAAATATCATTGTTGGTTTGTATTTATATAAATACGATAAGGTGATCTTATTGCTGAAAGTTAAGGTAGCCATAATTGCAACAAATTGCATTGTTGTATAAGTTTATATTTACACTGCGCATATTTTGGTCCTTCGAGCCGGACTTTTGATACACAATATTATAGCACTAATTTCGCCGAAGTTTATTCAAATAATTACATATATGGTATTTTGTGATGAACGGAATCTTGATGTGATGATAGGGTATGTGTACTGCATATATACACTCATGGAGTTAGTGGTCCAATAGATGGGCGCAACGTTCTCAAATTAATTAATTGATAATAATACAGAACTATATCTGATTTTCGACATTACTTCTACAGCTCAGCAACAAGCTTTGCAAACGTCGGTGAACCAGTTGGCCAACCAGCAGATGCCAGGGTTCGGACTCGGGCTGGGTCTCTCGGCGCCGTTGCAGTCCAGTCTCGGCACCAATCTGGGCTTGCAACAACAGAACATCAACCTCGCCACGCAAAACCTTGCGCTCAATCAGAACTTGATGAGCCAGAATTTGGGGCAAAATTTAGGTAACATATTTTTCAAACTTTCAAATTTATGTGCAAAATATTATTAGACAGTAGGATTAGCTAGCAATGTATTTTAAACTTAGTGATAAGGCAATATATAGTAATATCTGTATAATATAGTTACAATATCTATATATTGGCCCAATACCAGATACATTAGATATCGATTATCAAACATATAATATCGAAATGAAGAACCCTATCGATATTAATACAGATATCCGACTGGTATGGGCGATATCGAAATGGGTGATGACCCTTTTCCACTATCAGTGTCTAGACAAACCAAATATATAGATACCAGAACGGTACCGATATCACCCATGCCTATTAATATTTGATGTTTCAGCTAAGCGATGATGAGTCAATCAGAATCTTTTAATTCTGTCTTTGTAATATTATTGGTATAGAATGATAATGATAAAGACTATTTCTGATGTAAATTTTGTATTAGATATAATTTTTTAGTTTATAAAATCTCATAGTTTTCTATACAACTTAGAATGGCAAACAAGCTGACGGTCCACCTGTTGGAAAGTTGTAACTGTCGCCTATAGACATCAGCAGTACCATGGACATAACAGAGTATACTGTTTCGCCCATGATACCCCCCATGTGTTGTCATTCCTGAGTTAACCTGCCACTCAGGGGTTATTCCTCTGTACCCAGTAAATTTAATTTGACGGTTCACATGATTTAAATGAGTAATCGTCGTCTTTAGACATGCAGCGTGGAGATCACAGAATACTCTTAAAAATGTGATAAATATTATGGTGTATTATTTATTTCAGGTCTAGCAGGCCAAAACTTAGGATTAAGTGGTCAGAATCTCATAAACAGCCAGAACCTGGCACTGAGTGGTCAGAACTTGACGCTGAGCGGTCAGAACCTCGGCCTAATGGGGCAGAACCTCGGGCAGCTCGTCGCGCATAGAGCTGTGCATCACGCGTTAGCGCGCAGGGCTGTCGACATGGAGATGGCGGGTAAGTGCGTGAGGATTAGTAATTTATTTTTGATTTGATTAAATGTTTCCACATCAGAGGGAGACTTTGTACAAAAGTCGTTTGCTTGGGTACCTCTGTCCTACTCGTGTTTCTACCGTGAAGCAGTTGTGTTTGCATGGCTGTGTTTCGGTTTAAAGGGTGGGATATGGCAGTGAATTTACAGGGTACAGAGGAATAACACCCGAGTTCTCAGGAATGGTAACGCATGGGGGTATCATGGGCGAAACAGTATACTCTGTTATGTCCATGGTACTGCTCATGTCTATAGGCGACGGTTACCACTTTCCATCAGGTGGGCGGTCAGCTTGTTTGCCATTCTAAGTTGCATAAAAAAAGTCAGTGTTTAGATATTTTCAAGCTAAGTTAGATCCATTTCAAGTTATTTCGAGTTAAGTCCATTCAAGTGCTTTATATTTTCTCGTAACTGACGACCCATACTAGTCCAATATTTTTATTCATTACATGTGGATTTTTCTTTTTGTTATTATATATTGGATAACCAATATCTAATATATCTGTTATTGGGCCAATATATGTATAGATATTGTAGCTACAGTATAAAGATATTGCTATATACATGTATGTACACACATACACGGTGTATGATGCAGGTATGACGAGCGTGAACTCAACGGGCTCGTCGCAGCCGAGCACGCCGAATAAGGCACAGTCGTACAACGAGTACATGATCACGTTGCAGCACAAGCTCGCCTCCATTTCCAACAGTGTGAGTATATATAAATAAGTCCCTTATTTTCTTTTTACTAATATAAATGTCATTTAGTGAAAAAGCATGAATGTTATAATTGCAATAAATAAAAATTTATTTATCTGAATATAGTACATGATGAAAATATCCTGAAAAGAGTGAACGAGAAAAGAACATTAATTAAAATAATAGAGAATAGAAGAGACAAAATGCTGGGCCACCTTATACGACATGATGATTTTTTTAAGAGCATAGTAGAGGGAAAATAGAGGGCAAAAGAGGAAGGGGACGACCGAGGAACAACTACATGGGACGGATAAAGAAAACACTAGGTGTTATGTAGTATAGGGAGGTCAAGGATATGGCCTGGGATAGAACTGGCTGGAGGAAGATGCATGAATTAGTTGCACCGACAAGAGGAAACTCTTAAATGAAAAGAAGAAGTATATAATGATGCTTGAATAACGAATACACGTGGCAGAGATGCGAATGTTGATATGGATGTGAGAGGATTGTCATAATAAGTTGTGAAGTCATGCGCAGAAATGAAAGCCATGTTTTAAAGTCAATGTTAAGTATGAAAGTAGATGAATATAAAGGAAGAAGGGAACCGAAGAAAAGGTGGATGGTGGACTGTGTGAAAGATGACACCGGACTCACTTCTCTTTCATGCATATGCATGAAAGAGAAGTGAGTCCGGAAATGACAATGATGTTTACAATTTGAGATTAATTTTTTAAAAGAAATTAATTTATAAATTTGAGATTACATTTTTTAGACAGAATTAATATAAGGCTCCAAACAATGGAGTGTATTTTTTCGGTTAGAAATAGAAGTAATAGCTAAAAATATAATAAATCTTAAATTATCATTATTAATATTTTATCTGTTTGTTACGTTTTCCCAATAAAATTTCTGGACCTATTTTAAAGTAATTTAGCAAAGAAACCAATGTACTTTGTTATCCAGGGTGAGTGTAGGCCAGGGGCGAACGGTAGGAATGTATTTACAGGTGGTATTATTGTGTCCATCAGGGTCCTGTGTCGCCGCAGTCCCCGCTCGAGTACAGCCCAGCGCTGTCGCCCACTCAGCGACCGCTGAATGCGCTTCAAGCGCTGCATGCGCTGCACAAGGTTAGAAAAATATTTTTTTCATTTCTTATACTAGACAGAAGGTTAGCTTATTTCGTACTCGCCACACTAGAGGAACTATTTAATATGATGGAACAATAGCAAAAGTGTTCAACTGTAATCTGTAAATAATATTCATAGTAAATCTCTATATGTACAAATGTATGGTGCAAATTTAGCATATTTTCTCTCTCTCGTGAAACTCACGCTTTTTCTTGTGACTTTGTATTTTTTTTTTTTATTATAGAGATTTAAAAATATAAAGCATTTAATCTTCTCTTATTTTTCAAATAGTTTCGATCCTTCGAGCCGGACATTAGTGTTATTATTATTTTAGTGGTATAATTTTTTCTATGTAATTGTACAGGCGGAGGGTTGCGATGTTATGGATGTGAGTGAGGGCAAACGATCTGTGGGCCAACACGTGGCGCAGCTAGCCGACCTGGACCACGAGCTGAGCAAGATCAGCCTCCACTACAAACATGATCAGCCCAAGGTATGGACATTTTTTTTTATGTGACGCCAATTAAACGTGCCTTCCAGCGCTTAAAGTCTAGACAAAGTAGATACGATTAGGAATTCGTATGCTTTAAGTCGAATGAGATTAGTTTTTTAATACTAAAAGATTTATTTATATTATTTAATAAAAATTAAAATCCTCTACAAATCTACTTGAACTGTTAGAACATTTTGTCACTTTGTTTCATATTGAGAATTGAATGTATAAGAAAAACATAAAACACTTCAATATTTCAAGCTGAAGTAGGTTTATCAAACGTTTTATTTTTATGAAACGGATATTAAAATGTATCTCTGCCCTAATGTATCTTACAGCATAGGTTAATTGTCAATTTAAAGTATATCTAACACCTTAGTTCTCAGTAATGACTACGCATGAAGGGTATCATGGGCGACATTGCATACTCATACATACATACATACATATCTGTCACGCCTGTCTCCCATTAGGGTAGGCAGAAACAATGGAATAACAATAACAATTGCATACTCAGTTATGTTCATGTTACTGTTCATGTCTATAGGCGACGGTTATCACTTTCTATTAAGTAGCCCAACTTGTTTGCCATTCTAAGTTATACAAAAAGAAATACTTCGATACTATCCTATATATACTTATGAAAAGACAGTGAAAATATAGATAGATAGATAATTTTTTTATACAACTTAGAATGGCAAATAAGCTGACGGCACACCTGATGGAAAGTGGTAACCGTCGCCTATAGACATGAGCAGTACTATGGACATAACAGAGTATACTGTTTCGCCCATGATAACCCCGATGCCAGATGATTTATTTGCATTACTTACAGCACACAAATTATAACATATATAAATATACATAAAAAGCGAGATAACATAAATGATAAAAAAAAATTACATAAAGCAAAGTACAATTTTTCATTTGTGCGTGTACCATAGCAATACAAAATGGTCACAACTCAGTTTATTGCTTCGCCCTCAAAAGAGCAAAGTACTATTATTCTGTTGCGGCCAAAGGGAATAGGGTAACAATAAAACAATACTACCAGATTATCCATACAGTAAACAGACAGATATGACAGCCTATCTAGCAGACAAATGGAATATCTAACTTTTGCCTCTCAATTAAGATTTTTTTTTAAATTAATTTTGAAGCTGGACTTAGTGGCGATCAGTCTTATGGGAGGTGGTATATTGTTCCAACATTTTGTGGCTTGATATCGGAAGCTACCATTAAAAGCTGCTGTTTTATGGAGATGACAATATAATTGAACTATTGTTGCGTATAGGACGTGTTCAGCGAGCACAGCGCGGACGAGCACGACATTTTAGCGGGCAACATCAGCGACAACTCGGCCAACGTGTACGAAGGTCAGTATTGTTTATAACTCGTGTACTATCAGATGATATGTTTATTTCAGCCGTTAACTGTCCACTATTGAACATAAGTCTCCCTCACAAGGCATATTAGATTCGGTAGATTCCGACATAGAGCGGGCCACCCCTTCCTTTCCCGTGGGTGTTGTAAGAAGCGATTAATAGAAGGCGAGGGATGGGCAGCAGCGTCTCTCTTAAAATATCTCTGGAAGCTTAACTACGGTTGCCAACCCGTCTGTCAAGCGTGGTAACTACTGGTAAAACTCCCCTTATGGGGAAGGTTTATGTCCAGCAGTGGACAGTTAACGGCTGAAATATTAACAATGAAATGAAGTTTGTATCTCAATTGGTCCGTTGTTGGACCGCAGACGCGAAGAATGTGGGCGCGGGCGCAGGCGGTGTGGGCGCGTGCGGCGGCGGGCGCGGCGCGGGCGCGGCGGGCGCGGCGGGCGGCGGCGCGCGGTACCGCGTGGCGCGCGCGCAGCCCTGCCGCGGGTACGCGCTGTGCCGCCTGCTGCACCACCACCACCACCACCAGCACCAGCACCACCAGCACCAGCACCAGCACCAGCACCAGCACCAGCACCACGCGCACGGTAAACATTATCAAACGTTACTTATTAAACCTATAAATATACTATTAATTCAAATATTACTATAACTTTATAGTGAAGGGGGGGGGGGGTCCGCAAGATTCTTTACTTCTTGGCCTTTTCGTAGGTCGTGACATACAAATATATGATATAATATTTAGGATAATTGGACACGAAAAATATGAATCACTAGTGTTGTGTTAACGTTAGATCTTTTTTAAGAACGTTCATAACTAGGCGAAGTGTATCAGCATCGCAGTTATCTGTCAATTTTTAGAATAACAAACACGTCTGCTTGAATGTTATTCGTACTTCACGGTAGAAGCATGAATAGCATGTAAGCAAATGACCTTTGTACTCACTCTCCCTCTGATAAGATTATTTCAAAAGTGCTCTACTAGAAAAAAATATGCCATTAAAATTAATGGATTCGCTGATATATTTTTTTCGTTATTTATCTGTATTTGCGAATAGTTTTATTTATACGGTTTTATGTTATCCTTTTAAACGTTTTAAATATTTACTAAAAATAAAAAAAAAATTTACAGTGAAAGATAAACTGGATATGGTATCGCGGACGGAGACGAGCGAATCGGTGGGAACGGGCGAAGTGGCGGAGGGCGAGGGCGGCGAGGAGGAGCTGTCGTGCGGCGACAACAACTCGTCGTGCTCGGACTCGGCGGCCGACACGTACATCATAACGGACTCGGCGCGCGCCACCACCTACCTGCTGACGGACGCGCTCGCCGACACGATCGCCACCATCATCGACCCAAGCCGCTCGCCGCCGCCGCCTGCTACGCAGGTGAGACGCTACGCCGACTCTGTACGTCGACATGACGCTCTATGGCTACATGTTACACCGACATCACTCTCGGTGGCGACTTGCTATGCCGACACGACGCTCGGTGGCGACATGTTAGACCAACACGACGCTCGGTGGCGAAATGTTACGCCGACATATGTAGAGGTCGTTTGCCGTAGTTACTTCTAAATTTTCCGTTCCTAACCAAACTCTGAGTAATTAGGTCTATAAATGTGCTCGCACTTACGGCAATTGTAGATTGACGCTATATTAATAACACACAATATTTGTTAAATAAAACGCAAAAAGAAGAAAAATCTTAGAATTTATATCAGTATTCGTTGACGGTCAAGAGACTTGAGATAAGCACACATCTATTGCTTTTTATAAAACAAAGATGGAGCTATCTTGACTTTTTGTCATAAAAATAAATTGAAGTGGCAATGGATATGTGGCTTACCAGAAACTGCTTGACCGTTGATGGAGTTTATTATTGTAAACTATATTTTTTTTTTAAATTATCTTTAACTAATATTATAAATGCGAAAGTAAGTTTGTTACGTTTTCCTATCTAAACCGCTGAATCCATTACGATGAATTTTTGTATAGAGATAGATGGTGTCTCTGGAGACAGCTGTAGGTTTATTTATCTCCCGGTCAGTGAATATATCTTGGTCACAAGATCGAAGTTACGAATAAAAGCTAGTTGGCTATAAATGTGTGCTTGACTCAAGCCGCTTGATGATTTAAATAGCTCATTACCTTACCTCTATATTTGTTTTAGAGTGAACAAACGAAACCTAGTCCCGATAGGCCAGCTGAAGACCACGAACGGAGCTACCTGATCGTGGACCCGGCACGGGATATGACTTGTACTGTGATAGACGGCACCCTCAATCTCGAGGAAGACCAGACCTTCAGCGCTTTCGTTGAGGGCAAGTACTCAACGGAGGCGGCCGATAGAAGTCAGACAGAGGTCAGTGGACATCGTTGTTAATAATCATAATAATTATATTTATATAGTGTTTTGAGAAAAGCGGGTCATCTTTTTCATACAATTTTGCGTGATAAATAGTTATGGGTGATTCCTTTATAACTTCTGTATTTATTTTGTCTTATAATTTCAGCATCTTTTTAATGCGCAAAAACTTTATTTATTTATTAAATAATTAAATATAGGTACATCAAGATACATTGTGTGCATAACTATATATTTTTTTATACAACTTAGAATGGCAAACAAGCTGACGGTCCACCTGATAGAAAGTGGTAACCGTCGCCTATAGACATGAGCAGTACCATGGACATAACAGAGTATACTGTTCCGCCCATGATACCCCCCGTGCATTGCCATTCCTGAGGACTCAGGTGTTATTCCTCTGTACCTAGTAAATTCACGCCAATGTATATAGAACATTAATAAATAAACGAGTCAGCTAATTGAAAAATTAGCTGACAAAAAGTTGACCCGTTTTATATTAGTTGTCTGTATTCTGTATTTACAAAACTGGTATTTTTATCCAAACGTATTTATAAATAATAATATAATTTGATGTAAGTATAAAGATAAACTGAAGTAGCAATGGGCTTGTCACATTGCTCAAAGAACCTATGCCTGACTTTATATTTTAGGCGACTGAGAGTGTATCTGCGTCGGAGGAACTGTCTCGGTGGCGGCACGTGGAGGAGCCGGAGCGGACGTGGCGGGACGGCGGACTGTACCCGCTGGTCCGCGGAGGACTTGCCGCGCACGTCGTCGTCGACGAGACGCTCACCGACAGAGGTCAGCACTCTCGCGTACTGCACCTTACACCTGTACATATACTACACTACATTAGGGGGAAAGGAATTGTTAGTAATGGGGGTCTAACTGCCCCATTGCTAGCAATGTACCCTATCAGATCGACCTTCATGCAGTAACTCTTGGAAACCATTATTGGTTAATAATTTTTGAATTCGTCACGATGGGCCAACTGACTTACATTCATTCTTACTTGCCATACGTCACTTGTGCCCTGCCTGTGTATACCGATAGTACAGACAGGGCCAATGTTCCATTTTAACCTATAAAAGTAAAAGCTAGGTGGAATCTCTCGGCACGAATTCTTTGACGCTTGAAAATAGGCTAAGTAATAAGTGTTTAACTCTCGTTAACTTTTTCATACACTGCTAGCTTCTTCCTGCGACTTCGTTTACACTGATTTTGATAGGAGGAAAACTATTATTTCTAGATTGCCGTTCTAAAATCAAGTATCATTTTGAGTTAGATTTTCAAGAATGCAACTACATATAAAGATTGCATCGAGCTTGGTGAAATAGTTTTCCTTGATGCCAAAACAAACATACATACAGACAGCAGACAGAAATTAAAAAATGAAAACTGTTAGTTAGCTTCTGTTGTCCTTTTTGAGACTCATATCAATTTACTCTCCTATGATAAAATATCTCCTATGTACAGACATCGTCGGGTGCAAATATCAATATATAATATATAAGAATCCCATTATCATTTCTTTGAAACATGTCAAATAACAAATACACCAAAATTGATAAAAATACATCTATGAGGTCTGTTTTGAAATTCAATTTTTTCACATTCAATTTAAATCTGTAGATTTATAGTTGCCTATAAATCTTGTCTGTCATTGTTAGTAAAATACCTACAGTCTTTGTTTGCTTTTCTTGATAAAAATTAGTCATCATTGTTGATGACAGTGGTACATATACTTGTTTTTTTTTTTTTATTATTATATTATTTGTCTATAATCTGAACACTAAATTACAGTTACATTATATGTCATCACTTTCGCGTCATACCAGTAACATATAAATAAATGATAAAAAAATTATAATACGGTGGTAAATATAAGACAGTAAAAACTGCTTTCTTTTGCAGTTCTTTCGAAATAATTGTATCCTCTCAAAAATGTCACTGTCTACCAAATTTTGGAATGTTTTTATGCAACACGAGTGACAAGGTAACGATTCGTGTGATAGGCAGTGGTAACCGTGGCCTATATGGGGGAAAGGGATTGTTAGTAATGAAGACTGAGAATCCTATTGCTAGCAATATACCCAACCAGGTCGACCTCCTCGCGGTTCCCCCTGGAAACTATCATGGTTAATTCCAGATGAATTCATCACGATGGGCTAACTGGCCTGTATTCATTCTCATCTATCATCCTTCACTTGTGCTCCGCTAGCGTATCCCGTTAGCGCAGGTGGGGATACCATTCCATTATCACCCATAAAAAAACCGTGGCCTATAGACATGTAATACCATGGACACAATAAAGTATACAGTTTCGCCCATGATACCCCCCATGCGTTGCCATTCCTGACGACTCAGGTGTTATTCCTCTGTATCCTGTAAATCCACTGCTATATCCCATCCTTCAGATCGAAACACAGGTTGATCTCAGATTGCCATATCTAGTTATTAGTACAATTGTAAAAAAACTGTACTTTGTTTAAATTTCAATTATGTTTTGATTTGTTTCAGCCGTGTGCCGGCAGGTGGTGTTGCTGTCGCTGCAGCCGGCGCCGGCGCAGTTATGACATGTGTAGCGATTCACCTTGTACCTTATATTTATTGTACGCTGTAACATATACTATATCATTACCCGTAAATAAAATATTCATATGTGATATCTAGACTACGTCGTTTCATTTCCTTATTGTTTATATTGATGATTATATAACTGACAATATCTCCTAACATGAATGAAATTTTGAAAAATATAGATACATTTTAACTCTATATTTATTTAAAAATAACAGTATTTTTATCGTGCCTCCAATCAAACTGTTTATAACTACTCATCTCCATCCAAAGGTTGCCTGCAAGAGATCGCTCTTAGCGATAAGGTTGCCCATTGTTTTCTCACTGTGAACCTTTCTTATAATAGCAGCATAGGATGCTGTGTCGATTGATGAAACTAAAAAGTAGTTGGTTTTACAATAAATTATTAAGTTGAAATAAAAATTGTTTAGTATTCCATTGAATAGAAATAACCTTTATTCAAAATACATCCGCTATCCAATTAATTCACCTCGGTCAATGGGGTAAAGGTCACAACAGTCCTCATACTTCTATTTTAAACCAGGCAATTAAATATGAACGGTTCAGGACCCGAAGTCTTTTCCTTAGATTTTTTTTTATACAACTTAAAATGGCAAACAAGCTGACGGCCCACCTGATGGAAAGTGGTAACCGTCGCCTATAGACATGAGCAGTACCATGGACATAACAGAGTATACTGTTTCGCCCATGATAACCCCCTATGCGTTGCCATTGCTGAGGACTCAGGTGTTATTCCTCTGTACCCTGTAACATACACTTACCGCTTGGCGTAAACAGCCTAATATGCCAGTGCGAATATGTAGGAATAACTGAGGCTGCTGCAGCTGTACATAAGCTAGGAATAAATGACATTGGCATTAGATTCTTATCTGATAGCGCAGCGGTACTAAAAGCACCAAGAAACAACAAGATACTACAGCATGGGGTTCTTCAAAAGGGGTGTAAAGAGGTTTCTTCAGGGTCGGCAACGCGCGCTTAATACCCCTGGTATTGCAGGCGTTCATAGGTTACGGTAACCGCTTACCATCAGGTGGACCGTATGTTTGTTTACCACCTTAATAATATAAAAAAAGACAATAATCGAATGCCACCGGGCATTGGATATCTTCTAATAGAGTCATCCTCTAGTGGATAAAGGGGCAAAGTAGATCTTATGGTAACGATGCCGCAGACGAGCTAGCTAGAAGAGGTTCTGCAACGAAAAGTATGTAGTAGGCCCGTATCCACTTCTTCGAAAACCCTTCCGTTTTCGCAGGTAACACATATTCTTCTAAGATCCACTAACATACAAAACCAAAGATGGACATAGGCTACTGATTGCAGACAATATTGGCTGTACCAATGTTGAATTAACGATTAGGCGACTGTCAAAACGTAGATAGCTCATAACACGGAATTACCTAGAGGGAATGATAAAAACTGTAAATCATATGGTTGCCTCCTTTCTTCTTATGAAAATATAATTAGTAAAAAGAAGACGAAAAATACACCATTTATTTGCTATTTTTGTCAATACATAGCAGGTTAGCGTAAAGAAATGTTATACGGCCGTATAACCCTACCAAATTCAGATACAATCTACTTACATACTTTCAAGATAAGCTGTGTCGAATATATAATCTAGTAATGTAAAATTTGTCATTGACAAATAGTTGACATATCAAACATTTTTTATACACTAGCCTGCTATGAATGGAGAAAAATATCAACTGATAGTGCATCTTTATGTACAGGCGAAGGCAACCATATGATTTACAGTTTTTATTTTATTAATTTCTATGTAATTCCTTGTTCTTATGTTGATAGTGAAAACCTTAAAACAATGATAGAAAAGGATGTATTAAAATCCACGGAACGGTGAGGTCGCTCCACGAGGCCTGTGAAGATCCCAGGAAGCTTCTGTGCTTCTGGGCGGAGCTTGGCTTACTTTACTAGCCACAGATATAAGGCCGGTTTAAAACCAATTAAATCGATCAATTTAAAACTAAGAAAAAAACAGTTTTGAACCGAAATAAACAATTTTTATTGGATTTAAAACGGTTGACGACTATGTTTTTCTTAATTTTAACTACATTTTCTTGGTTTTACTAAGGCAGCAATATATTGGAGTACCTATAAACTGTGTCGTTTTTAAATGTGTGATATACTGATATTAATTTACTTAGTGGGTTTAGTTCTAATTGGACCACCCGACTTAGTTTTTTTTATACAACTTAGAATGGCAAACAAGCTGACGGCCCACCTGATGTAAAGTGGTAACCGTCGCCTATAGACATGAGCAGTACCATGCACATAACAGAATATAAGGTTTCGCCCATGATACTTCCATGCTTTGCCATCCCTGAGAATTCAAGTGTTATGTCTCTGTACCTTGTAAATTCACACCATATCCCACCCTTCAAACCGAAACACAGCCATGCAAACACAACTGCTTCACCGTAGAAACACAAATGGGACAGAGGTACCCAAACAATCGACTTTTGTATAAAGTCTCCCTCTAGTAAAAATGGTAAAGTGTAGGTATTACCTACCTAATTTATGAAAACTCTATTGATAAATTAAAAACTCTGTGTTGGTAAATAAAAAAATAAACATTGTTTTTTTGTTGTTTTCAAACTAAACTAAACTCACACTCGTTGACGTTGTCATTCAACGTTGCCTACCCTACATAGACAGGGGTAAAGGGATTGTTAGTAATGCGGACTGTTTGTTATGCCATGGAGATATAAGGTATACCTTCATATTTAAGTTTTCGTGTAGTAGATAATGTAGGTAGATACTTTGTTTTAATTTTTTTTATAATTTAATTTTATAATAATAATAATAACTTTATTTTCTTAAACAAAATTAGCCTGTAGTACAATATAACTATGACCCCACACTAGGCAAAGCCTGTCTCGTGGAAGTTAATTAAAACAAAACATGACGTCAGGTGACTAAAAACTGCCCAAAATGAAGTGTAAGAGTTTTTTTTGTAGGCGAGTTTTTAACCATTTACCAGAGGGAACAAAAGTCGTTTGCTTGGATACCTCTGTTTCATTCGTATTTCAACCGTAAAGCAGTTGTGTTTACATGGCTGTGTTTCGGTTTGAAGGGTGGGATATGGCGTAAATTTACAGGGTACAGAGGAATAACATCTGAGTCCTCAGGAATGTCAACGCATGGGGGATATCATGGGCGAAACACTATACTCTGTTATGTCCATGGTACTGCTCAAGTCTATATGCTTGTATTTAAATCTTCATAAGAGGTCATACAAAACAGAATAATATTGTCTGTCAGTCTGTTTGTATTTGCATCACGCATAAACTCAGTTTTCTTTAAGGTCTAACTTCTGGTGATCTAATATATGCTTTATCATGATACGTCATTGGTTCTGTTTCATTTATTTATTCTTTAGTACATGTATTTGTATAAGGCAGGCCTTATCTTAGAAGCATTCTCTCCCAGTCGACCTTTGGGACGTGTTAGTATACTCGAATGCGATACTAGTATTAATTTATATACATAAACATTAAAATTCACATAATATATACAATTAAATACATACAAAAACAAATATACTTACACATATATAAGATATACTATATTCTTAGATTATATAGATAGACTCTCTCCATAGAAATGCTTCAAGAAAAACGGCTCAACTTTTTCGTGATTCCTTTATAACTTCTATTTTTATTTTGTCTTATAAATTCTGCCTCTTTTTTTATGTGTAAACACTCATTTTATATATTAAATAATATCAAGTGGATGAAAAAACTAGTGTTTTAGAACAAAAAAAGTAAAAAGTGGGGTCGAGTTAACCCAGAGGGTTTTTAATGGTGCTTTGTCTCGTAGGTTGTCCCATTTACCAGGTGATTCTAACTAGATCTCACTGATGGCGCCCGTGCCAATTTTGACCAGCTTAGCACGGAGACTGGCTTCCCTCGAGACTGCGGACCCCAACAGTTTAATTCAATCCTAATTATATATACTTATTTTATCAAAAAACTTTAATAGCGCGTTTTAGGACTGTTAAATGAGTTATACGCATAACCTACCCTCAATTTTATAACTTTTTTATTATTCATCCATTGATATAAAGAACCACATAGATACACGTGCAAATTAAAACTAAAAACGGAACTGAAAGTAAAGCGCACATAACGAAACGCACTCATTTTTTATTCATCCAGTGTTGTTTGTAATCAAATATGCCGAAATATTTATATGTATGCACAAAAACAGTACCAATATATTTATTTATTTATACTTTATTTATACACAAAAATTACATAGTTAAAGCTAAATAGAGATGTACAACAGGCGCGCTTAACTATGTAAAAGTTCTCTTCTAGCAAACCTTGAGTGAAAGGTTGAATTGATTGAAAGATTGATATTCTTTCAATTCTTTTTAAACAAAATGTCTAGACTGCATGCAATATCTTATTGTTCTTTATAGTTCGTTTGCACTCGCCCCGATTTATTATAATATCTACTTTTCAATTTCAATTCAGGACAGTTGTGTAAATTTTATATGGGATCGTGTATATATGACATATAATGTTACTTCTTATTAACTAATTGATTTACCTAAAGATCCCAATTATATAATATCACTACATAGTATAAAACAAAGTCGCTGTCGCTGTCTGTTCGTCCCTATATATGCTTAAATCTTTAAAACTACGTAACAGATTTTGAAGCGGTTTTTTTAAATAGATAGAGTGATTCAAGAGGAAGGTTTATATGTATAATACATGCATAATATTGTAGAGGAACACTGACAATTTTAGAGGTTTCTAATGTAGTGTCGTAATGTAATGGGGGACCGGGCGGCGCTATTTAGTATCAGTATTGCACTCGTGCGAAGCCGGGGCGGGTCGCTAGTAAATTTATAAATGATATTAATAATTATTGTATTGTGGATTTTTTTTTTAATTAATAAATATGTTTTCGACACAATGTATATTTTTATAAAATAAAATAAATGAAAATGAAAAAGTGTATCTTGAGTTTTGGCACAAATTATTATATCAATGGTTTCGATGTATAAATATTGTAATATTCGTGTATCTGATTACTAGGTCAACCAATGTGTATATCAACTTTTTTTCGAAATACCCACATCAAGTTCTTGTTTGATTACTGTCAAGGTGCAGTCAAGTCCACTCGGACTACTTTTATAATACAATAACCTTTGTTCTATGCGCAGTGCATCCGCAGATCAATAATTTACTGTTAAAATGTATAATATTACATTGTATATACAAGTTCTAGATTGAGAATACATCCATAAAAATATAATCTGTCATTTGGTTTGTCCAATTATAATGGCTAGATGACTATACTCGGTCAAGTGATAAGTGATATGAATGCAAATTTAACAATATGAATTTAAATAATAAAACAAATGTGAAAATGGGTTTGTTTATAATTAGTTAGTTTTTTCGGCATCTTAACGCCTCAAGATAATCGTCAAGAAATTTGGTATGTAGTATTTGGGATAAATAATTAATAGATCCCAGCAATCAATGTATCCAGAGGGCCTACCATTGGGCTCAATTTCGTTTGAACCTACAAGTTTCAAAATTAATTTCCAAAAATTCTTAATTGAGAGGTAAAAGTTAGACATTCCTGCAAGTTACCTCTATGTTCCATTTGTCTGCTAGATAGACTGTCATATCTGTCTGTTTACTGTATATCTATCTTTTTATTGTACGGATAATCTGGTAGTATTGTTTTATTGTTACCCTATTCCCTTTGGCCGCAACACAATATCAGTGCTTTGCTCTTTTGAGGGCGAAGCAATAAACTGAGTTGTGGCCATTTTGTATTGTTATGGCACACTCACAAACGAAAATTGTATTTAGTTTTGTGTATTTTTTTTTATCATTTATGTTATCTCGCTTTTTTTTTGTATATGTATGTTGTGATTTGTGTGCTGTAAGTAACGCGAATAAATTATCTATCTATCTATCTATCTACCATGAAATATATTCCAAAATTTCGGGGCCGAACGAAACACAAATTTCATGTTATAATTACATAATACATACCTTTTAAAAATATTAAAAATGTTACAAGATCGTTCTTTTAGACTATTATGGTAGGATTTATGACGAATGAAATTTTAAGACTATTTAAATATAGGACTGGTTTCGGTACGAACAAAAACACGAAATTGAGCCCAAAAATTCGGAATTTAATTTCATGGCAGACTTTGTCACCTTGGTCATTTGGAGTAAAAACCACTAAATAACTCAATCATTATAGGACTGGATACTCCCTAACCCCTATGGAAACCGTCATGATTCATTTCTGGTGAACACGTTACAGTAGGCCAACTGACCTGACCTCACTTGTCATCATACAAAAAACCGAATTGAGAACTTGCTTTTTTCTGAAGATGGTTTTAAACAACTTTTTTAATGAACGAAAATTAAATAAGGTACCCTTCGAGAAAAGAGCATATTTCTTTCTAAAAGGCTGGCACACCTGCAATTCCTCTGGTGTTACGGGTGCTCATGGGCAACGGTAGGTACTTATCATCAAGTGAGCCGCATGCTCCTTTGCCCCCTATGTTAAAAAAATATAAATGGTATTTTTTTTATACAAATTAGAATGGCAAACAAGCTAACGGCCCACCTGATGGAAAGTGATAACCGTCGCCTATAGACATGAGCAGTACCATGGACATAACAGAGTATACTGTTTTGCCCATGATACCCCCCATGCGTTGCCATTCCTGAGGACTCAGGTGTTATTCCTCTGTACCCAGTAAATTCACGCCATATCCCACCCTTCAAACCGAAACACAGCCATGCAAACACAACTGCTTCCCGGTTGAAACACGAATAGGACAGAGGTACCCTCAATCAAGTAAGCAGTCGACTTTTGTACAAAGTCTCCCTCTGATTAACCCTGATCTATACTATCAGTAACACAGGCAAGACGCCAGCTAGGGTGGAATGGTATGCGCGGTTGGAGTCAGGCCACTTAGGCTATCGTAGCTGGTGAATACCAGGAATTAGTCACGGTTTCCAATAAAAATAGTTAATAAAACAAAAAGAAAAAAAACACACCCAATATGATAAACGTATTAAAATTATAGAAATTATAATTTGATTATAATTATTAAGAGGAGGCGGGGCGCATTGATACAACTGAGTACATTTTAATATTTGAGAGGTAATGCAGATAAATATGTTATTAATTTGTTGTTTACCCACTGATTCTTACTAATATTTTATCTGGGCTACATTTAAAACCAGACTTTGTACAAAAGTCGATTGCTTGGGTATCTCTGTCCCATTCGTGTTTCAAGCGTGAAGCAGTTGTGTTTGCATGGCTGTGTTTCGGTTTGAAGGGTGGGATATGGCGTGAATTTATTGGGTACAGAGGAATAACACCTGAGTCCTCAGGAATGGCAACGCATTGGGGTATCATGGGCGAAACAGTATACTCTGTTATGTCCATGGTACTGCTCATGTCTATAGGCGACGGTTACCACTTTCCATCAGGTGGGCCGTCAGCTTGTTTGCCATTCTAAGTTGTATAAAAATAAAATTTACAAGTTCCTAAAAATAGTGATTTCCTTTTTTTTAGATCACGAAATGTATATATTAATTTGGATTTTCTCCGCATCGTTCTACCCCACTTTCCCTATCCCTGTCTAATTCTCGGGCTTATCAATTTGATACGTTGATAATCGAGAATTGGCGAAACGATAAGTATTATACCTATATGTAGATAGCGGATATCAGTCAGTACTAAAAATGATGTGGCATATATTAATACTGTTTGGAACTGTCCTCTGCTGTAAGTTAATTTTTCGAAAAATGTATTTACAACCAGGAACTTTACCTACTTATATATATTTTTGGATTAAATACGTACCTATATAGTGCAGTGAAATTACAAACATTTAAATACGAAGTGGGAATACTACAAGTATTCCCACTTCGTATTTAAATGTTTAAATACGAAGTGGGAATTAATGTAGGTAAGATTAGATATGTCACAATGGTCAATGTTTACGCATTTAGACATTTTATTCTGGATGTTTTAGAGAGAATAGGTTGTGAGTAAATTTTTGAAATTTTATATCAATCCCATACATTTTACACTTTCTCACAAAATTCCCAAGTCCACCTTTTGTACTATATTTTGTTGGTAAAACAATGAATATAGTCACTTGTTGGCTAAATGAAGAATTTTGTATTTTTATATAGAATTTTTATAAAATTTTTAATTAGCCATTTTCTGTTATAGTTTAACTAGTAAGTCAATGTCAGTAACTGAGACAGCACTGATTTCCTCAAGTCTAAACAACTTATTAAGTATTTATGGCCAAAATTTAGCAAACACATACCGCGTAAAAGTTCCTTGATATGACTTCTACACTGGAATAAGTATTTATAAAATATTTATTTAGTAAGTTCTAACAAAGTACACTATGCCAAGAAAGATGTTTTGGTTACGTATTTTATTGTCTGGTTAAATATGGCTAATCGGTCGGCTTATGATTAGATACATACATGTGCAGTGCAGAGGAGACTGGGAGAAACACGAACAGCGGGTAAATTACCTAATTTCACCTATTAGAATAGACAAATAATTTATTTGAATCAACATGGTTGAAATAAATCTTAACTAATTTTGTAGAATCACATATTTAGCCAAATTGTTTTAATGACGTGCAAAATGGCAAAGTCTACTAGAGGGAGACTTTATACAAAAGTCAATTGCTTGGGTACATCTGCCCTATTCGTGTTTTTACCGTGAAGCAGTTGTGTTTGCATGGCTGTGTTTCGATTTGTACAGAGGAATTACACCTTAGTCTTCAGGAATTAATAATGTAATAAATTTTTTTGGTAATTAGCCAAAGAAAAATATATTACATTACTTATACATTTATTATATTTATAAACAAAAATCCAAAATAATAATATAATAATAATAATTCTTTACTTAGAACAAAAACATTGATTACAATATTACTGAAAAACGATGATACCAGCAGAAGTATAAAACTCTGTCACGAATGTCAACGCCCTCCTCCTCATTGTAGGATTCCAAAACGAACCAAGTGAAATCAATTGAAAATGTTTTTAAAGCTTACATATTACGTAAAAATTTTACTAATGAGCTTAGATAATTTGCATTAAACAGACGTTTAACATAAAGGCAACGTGACGGAACTTTTTGGCATCTGTTTTATGGCAATTAAAATTGTAGGCGTGCAAATTTAATGTATTAATTAAATAAGGATATATGATTAATGTTGGTGATTATTAAGTTTAAAAAAGAAAATTTATTAAGCCAATAAATTTGTACAGATATATGACCAATTTCGTCAAATAAAATTAATTTTTCGGTTTATCCATTACAAACAAACAAGCAAAACTTTCCTTTTATATTATTAGTGTAGGTATAATGTGTTTCTACCGTGAAGCAGTTGTGTTTGCATGGCTGTGTTTCGGGTAGGATAGGGCGTGAATTTACAGGGTACAGACGAATAACACCTGAGTCCTCAGGAATGGCAACGCATGAGTAGTATCATGGGCGAAACAGTATACTCTGTTATGTCCATGGTACTGCTCATGTCTATAGGCGACGGTTACCACTTTCCATCAGGTGAGCCGTCAGCTTGTTTGCCATTTTAAGTTGTATAAAGAAAGAAAAAAAGGTATAAATATATGTACCTATTTCGTAATCGCCTTATTGTTTTTGTCTTTATAGATATCTAAAAATATTATCCAGTAGGTACCTAAGATATTTTGTACAAAGACAATTATAAGGGAGTAATCTGTCAGATAAATTGAAAATGTTCTCCAAAGACTTATTATTTACTAATAGACTTATTATCTATTATTATTATTATATTAAGCGACGTGTCGCTTGGTCGATGATGTCGATGGGTCGGTTTTTTTTATGGATGACAACTGAATAGTAACCCCGTTTGCGCTAACAGTATACGCTGGCGGGGCACCAGTGAGGCATGATAAGTGAGGATGAAAAGGCAGGTCTGTTACGCCATCGTGATAAATACACCTAAAATTCAATATAGTTTCCAGGGGGTACCGCGTGGAGGTCGACCTGATAGGGTGTATTGCTAGCAAGTATGTTATGCTGTAATTATGGTATAAATACGTTATGGGTCTGTTAGTGCTCATAACTTAACACCATTTTCCATTCATTCATTCTTCTGCGCCTAGCTGCCAGTTCAGCATGGGATATTTAATGGTTCGTTTAAAATTCCTTTAGCACAAGCGGAGGATGAGGTGTTTAAGATCAGTGTGGTGACTCCTTCAGCGGGCGACGACCTCGAGTGGCCAACCAACACCCGCATCATAGGCGGCACCGACACCACCATAGAACGGTTTCCGTACATTGTTCAGGTAATCTGGAACCACTGTACTTAGTGAAACTTTGTAAACACATTCATCCCTTATTTAAAGTAATTTTGGAAGGCAGCAGTATCAATTTATTACACCAAATATTTCTGCCTATATTGAGCAAAAAATTTAAGCTAGAATGGCTTAATTATCTTTAAGTAAATTAACTTATACCAGGGTAAATGATGAAAAAAAGAATAAATAAATAAAAGAAATATATATTATTCTTATAAAATATAAATGTACAATTATTCACGCACGTACGAACGCACGTTTTTTTTAATAATTGATAAAGAATGGGAATCCCATAACACCATAGGTATACACTGGGCTGTCAGTATGCAATGATTAGTGTAAATGAAATCAGAGCGCCTACAATGAAATGTTTTCCGAAATTTCGGTGCCAAACGAAACAGAAATTTGATGTTAAAATTACATAATACATGCCGTTTGGAAATATTAAAAATGTTAAAATATCGTTCCTTTGGACTTTTATGATAGGATGTATGACGAAATGTTAAACTCCATTTATTGGTCCGATTTTGGTATAAACAAAAACAAGAAATTGAGTCCTAAATTTCGGAATTTCATTTCATGGTAAACCCGCAGGTCTGTCGGCTCATCGTGAAGAATTCTTTTAGAATTTACCATAACGGTTTTCAGGAGGCTCGCGTGGAGGTCGACCTGTAGATTATATTGCAAGCAAGCCTTTCACTAACGCTCCCTTCCCCTCTTGATTGTAGATACTGATCAATAATTCTGCTCTACAATGCGGGGGTTCGCTTATAACCATGAGACACGTGCTCTCTGCCGCACATTGCTTTTGGCAGGGGTGAGTATATATTTTTTTACATGATACCGTTAGGATGAGTTTCAAGATTTTAAGATTATTTTATTAAGGAGTCAACCCTCTTTCGGTCTGACCCCTTAACAATCATTTTTATAATAATAATAATAATAATCTTTATTTGCTTAAACACGGTAAAGTCAAAGATGTTACATTAGTCAAAGAACATTCGTGCTTAGCTAACAGCGTGATAACATGCAAAAATACATTTAAGATTAGCAATTAACATTTTGTTTTTTGTTTAACAAGTCTTTTATGTCATAAAAACTATTCACATTCAGCCAAGTATACAATCTCTTTTGAAATAAATTCACATTTAACAATTTTAATTCATTCGGTATTTTATTATATACTTTTACACACATAGCTAAACAACTTTTTTCATATTTAGCTAGACGGGGAATGTCATCCAGCATTTAGCGCTCGTATCCAGCGGTGGGCTCCATAAATACCTATGTGTATGCTTTTTAAAAACTTTTATTTATTGCGTGATAAATTAAAACCACCCTAGCTGACCATCGTGGTGAATTCTTGTTGAATTTGTCACAATGGGCCAACTGACCTGCTTTCATCCTCCCAGTGCTTGATCAACGTATATCGATAGTACAGACGGAAATAACATTCGATTTTCATGTCTAAAAAATATGAGTATGGATGACTAAACTATTGTATGTCAGACTATTTGTTTATTTTGATTAACCAAGTTTATCTTTCCTTTCCCAGTACTGGCGTAACCAGCCCGAGGTACTTCACCGTACGAGCTGGTACCAATCTATTCAACTCAGGTATCTAACCAATCTAAATACCTCTCTTCGGTAACAATATACCCAACTAGGTCGACCGCCTCGCGGTTCTTCCTGGAAACTATCATGGTTAATTCCTGATGAATTCATCATGATGGGCTAACTGGCCTGTTTTCATTCTCATCTAGCACCCTTCAGTGATGCTCCACAAGCGTGTCCCGTTAGCGCAGACGGGGTTACCATACCATTTTCACCCATAAAAAAAAATACCTCTCTTCACCTAACTTATTAACATCATATATATTTGATTAGTGATTGTTTAATGGATGATAAAAAAATGGTAACCCCGCCCGCTCTATCGGTATACACAGGCGGGGCACCAGTCAGTGATGATAGATGAGAATGAGAAGGCAGATTAGTTAGCCCACCGTGATAAATACACCTGGAATTCAGCACGATGGCTTCCAGGAGGGACCACGTGAAAGTCGACTTGATAGGTTACATTGCTAGCAATGGGACTGGTTGTCCGTATTAATAACAAGCCTAAATGCGGTCGCCAACCGCTTGCCAAGCGCTGCAACTACCGGCAAGTCCCTTCTTATGGGGGAGGCCTATATCCAGTAGTGGACCTTTTTAAAACAATCTTTTTTAAAATTAGTCCGGTGTTATTATTGTAGGCGGCCGTGCAGTATCCGTGTCCATGATCATCATCCACGAGCGGTACAATCCATCGATACATGACAACGACGTCGCCGTGTTGGTGCTCAGCTCCACCCTGAGGAGGAGCAATCAGATCTCTACGATTGGCATTCCCGAACCGGAATACAAGATTCCGGACAATTCTAGTGTCACATACGCTGGCTGGGGGACGGTTAATGTAGGTTTTTATTTTTACATTTTTACAATAAAACTTCATCATCATCATCATCACCGTCTGAATGGAGAGAACTCTGTTCTCATGAATGCTGAGGAATTTATCGATCTATTTGAAATGTCTATATTTCGTCGAAAATATTTAAATTTAATAGAATAAAATAGAAAATATTTATTGCCAGAAAAATACCAGAGGGAGACTTTGTACAAAAGTCGATTGCTTGGATACCTCTGTCCCATTCGTGTTTCAACCGTAAAGCAGCTGTGTTTACATGGCTGTGTTTCGGTTTGAAGGGTGGGATATGGCATGAATTTACTGAGTACAGAGTAATAACACCTGAGTCCTCAGGAATGGCAGTGCATGGGGGGTATCATGGGCGAAACAGTATACTCTTTTATGTCCACGGTACTGCTCATGTCTATAGGCGACTTTACCACTTTCCATCAGGTGGATCGTCAGCTTGTTTGCCATTCTAAGTTGTATAAAAAAAACACACACACACACACATTTGCAATAGAAAATACATATATAAGAAGTGTCTTGTATCTTTTTTTTTTAGTTTGTGATAATGTAATGGTAACCCCGCCTGCGCTATCGGTATACACAGGTGGGGCACCAGTGAGGGGATGATAAATGAAGATGAAAGAGCAGATCAGTCAGCCCATCGTGATTAATACACCTGGAATATATATATATATATATATATATATATTATATATATATATATTATTATGTTACAGCCACACGTGGAGCAACTACCCAGTATCCTTCAAGAGGTGACAGTCCTGACAATAAACCGTGCTGTATGCTCGGATCTATACAATCAACAGCAATATATTACCGGTTACCCGTTGGTTATCACATCCAACATGATATGCGCCGGCCTGCTTCACGTCGGAGGTGATTCATTTATTTTTTTATTGCACAATAAAATTTATACATATGGCGAGCTTAATAAGCTGTATAGCATTTTATACCAGCTATTGACTACAGCGTGGGGTTCTTCAAAAGGGAGGTAAAGAGGTTTCTTCAGACTCGGCTGCGCGCGCGTAATACCTCTGGTATTGCAGGCGTTCATAGGCTACGGTAACTGCTTACAATCAGCTTGTTTACTACCTAGTTATTGAAGTCGCTGGCGGAAGACCCAAAAAAAAAACCAGTTTTATAAAATAACTAATTTTTATCATAAAATTAATTGTTACAATAATAGGTGCCTTCAGATCGATGTGTGATCTGTAAGTGAAGTCATATCGAATCAAATACAAAGGAACTGGGTAATTTTGCTGCGGAAATTGAAGTGCTGACTCGACGCAGGTGTCTTTCTCGGTAGCGCCTTCTTGCTTCAAGCTAGGTGGTCCGATCCGATCGCCGTTGAAGGTGTGTCGTAATACTTTACTATAACAACCTCAGTGGTATAAACAAATATTAATGGGTGATAATGGAATGATCACACAGTCTGCTTTATCAGTGTACACTGGCGGGTTACCAGTGACAGATGACAGATGTAGATACAAGCAGGTCCATTGGCTTATCCTGACGAATTCAACTAGAATTAACCACGATGGTTTCTTGAGGGAAACGCGTGGCGGTCGATCTGATAGTGTATATTGCTAGTAATGGGGCTGTTATATAAAAACAATTAAAGGGTAGTGAGTAATCCATTGAAAACGCATTATTAAAGTTTGTTTAAATTGGCACAGGTAAAGATGCCTGCCAAGGTGACAGTGGCGGGCCTCTTATTTACAACGGTGTTCTGGTGGGGATTACCTCATGGGGATATGGTTGCGCAGACGGCAGATTCCCCGGTGTGAGCGCAAGAGTGTCCAGCTTCACGACATGGATTAACGCCACCGTGAGTGTTACATAAATGTAGTTATCTGTTGGTGAGTCTATGGTTCATGAGCATTATTAATAAAAAATAAAAAAGCTTTGATCTGTTCCAAAATGGAGTTTTATTGAACAGTGAGTACTTATTCTTCTTTGAGCTCCATTCCTATCAAAAATTGGACAATATAAGGGCGATTTTATTTTTGACGCTGCCGCTCTTGGAGCGAAGTGGTGTTACAGCCAAACTTCAGCCAGGAGTGCCGCTTTCTCCGCGTTTACCAGCGGTCTTGCCTCAGAGATTTAGTTGGAGTATTCCGTACTTTTTATTCCTCATTATGTTCAACAGGGTATATCAATCACGGAATAGCATTTTCTACAAGTTAAAAAAATACAAGATGTCTACTATACTATTATATAAATATTAAAAAAAAAAAAAAACAGGGGAACCATAGTAATATTACAACGGATCGAAGTGATACTGAAAAAGTCCTCAAACATAGTTTCTCTTTCGATTTATTTCCTAACAAAAACTCCAAAAGTTCTGTCAGGTAGGTACTATTGAATAATCCGTTGCTAGCAATATACCCAACCAGGTCGACCTCCCCGTGGTCCCCTTTGGAAACCATCGTGCTGAATTCCAAGTGTTCATCAAGACGGGCTAACTGACTTGCTTTTTTCGTTCTCACCTATCATCCCTCACTGGTGCCCCGGCAGCGTATACCGTTAGCGCAGGCGTTACGATTCCATTATCATCCATTAAAAAAAAGCTGACTTGCCTTCATCATCACCTATTATTACTACCTAGTACACCACCAGCGTAAAGTAATAATTCAGATAGTGTTTTTTTTTTGATGGGTGAAAATGGTATGGTAACCCCGCCTGCGCTAACGGGATACGCTGGCGGAGCACCAGTAAAGGGTGATAGATAAGAATGAAAACAGGCCAGTTAGCCCATCATGATGAATTCATCAGGAATTAACCATGATATTTTCCAGGGGGAACCGCGTGGAGGTCGATCTGGTTGGGTATATTGCTAGCAATGGGATTCTCAGTCTCCATTACTAACAATCCCTTTCCTCCTATTCAGGTAGTGTTACCATAACAAAAAATATTTAAAATCACGTTTGTATAGGTGACGCGGTACAACGGTAGCGCGGGCCTGCAGGGAGTCGCCACTGGTCTCCTGCTGGTTGCATTGCTGGTCGGCACTTACCAGCATTATCAGTTGACTCTCTAGTATATTTTCATGTAAATATATTGTATATAGTCTAAAACAAAACTACCTACTCATTTGTTATATTTGAAATTAGTTATTAATTGTTGTTATGGTTTTTTAAGTATCTGTTAGTACCTAATACAGTATTTCCTTTGTTATTAATTTTATATTTCTATTATTGTTATGTAAAAAAAAATATTATCAAATTTGTTATTACTACCAAAATTTTGTAATTAGCTGACTCTTAAGGAATTAAATGGTTTTCATTAGTATATATCGCAGAGAAATATGTTAGAATTATTTTTAAATACTTAAGGATATCATGAAAGACGTCGAGTGTTCATACAAAATTATTAGGCGTTTTGTTACCATGTTGTAATAAAAAAATATGTTCACTAAGCATCCTTTTCTACTTATTTACACTGAACGTTTTTATTAAAGAAATATTGGTAAAAAAATTTCAGTCTCCATATACAAGGCACGTCTGACTATCAAGTACCAAAGTTCATAATTTTCGAATAGAAGTAGGTTTCCAACTCGGTTGTATTTATTTATGTTTGTTACCTCATAACTCTGTCGGTTGTAAACCGATTTGAATAATTACAATAGTTTGTATTAAAGGATATATATACAGATTGGTCACACAGAAATGTTATCAAAATCGGTTTGGTTGTTTAGTTTTTGGATCAAAACAACTTGCAAAACAAAAAAACGAAGTCACAATTAGAGTAGGTTTTTTGTACATACTCTTAGTTATTATAATATGTATTTATACTTGCTTTTTTTATACAACTTAGAATGGCAAACAAGCTGACGGCCCGCCTGATGGAAAGTGGCAACCGTCGCCTATAGACATGAGCAGTACCATGGACATAACAGAGTATACTGTTTCGCCCATGATACCCTCCATGCGTTGCATTCCTGAGGACTCGGGTGTTATTCCTCTGTACCCAGTAAATTCACGCCATATCCCATCCTTCAAACCGAAACACAGCCATGCAAATACAACTGCTTCACGGTTGAAACACGAATGGGACAGAGGTACCCAAGCAATCGACTTTTGTACAGTCTCCCTCTGGTTGCTTACTATTGAAATTTAATTAAAATGCACAAAAGTCCCCCATGTTTCATTAGTCCCAGATTTCTGTATTTTTACTACCTGCGTGACAGTCGCCCGTCTTGTATATAAGATATAATTCTCTTAGAAAATAGAGATACGTAACAATTATCTACAGTACATAATTATTTCAGATATTTTTTTTTATGCAACTTAGAATGGCAAACAAGCTGATAGTGTTTTATGAAGGGTTTTTTTTCCCTTTTTGTCTAGATAGCCTCTTTCGTGACATGTTTCTTTACGAATAGACACAAATTATGAAAAGGCAATTTTTTTTTTTATTAAAGGTTTTCTTTGAATTTATAGATAAGAGAAAAAAAAAAACAGATTAGTCATTATTAAATAATATGCATCAATTGTTGTGTTCCAAGAAACTGATAAATATATAGGTATACGTATTTGAAGACAAAGAACTTTTGTTATCTTTAATAGAGGTCGCTGAAGGTTATTAGAAAAAGAGAATATTTACAATATAAAAATAAAAAAAAAATCATAGAGGTATTTTTTTTGATGGGTGAAAATGGTATGGTAACCCCATCTGCGCTAACGGGATACGTGTAGATAAAGTTTAAGAATTTTTTATGTTATCAATATTGTTAATTGCGTTTACATAGTAATTTGTTCTACATTTTTTTTTTGTAAATATCATTTATGTCTGCGACTGAAGGACTTGTATCCATGGTCATGAATAAATTAAAAAAAATAAAAAAATAACGGGATACGCTGGCGGAGCACAAGTGAAGGGTGATAGATGAGAATGAAAACAGGCCAGTTAGCCCATCATGATGAATTCATCAGGAATTCACCATGATAGTTTCCAGGGGGAACCGCGAGGAGGTCGACCTGGTTGGGTATATTGCTAGCAATGGGATTCTCAGTTTCCATTACTAACAATCCCTTTCCCCCTCATCGAGGTATTAGTGAAAGATAAAAAAATTGCAATAAAAATCTACATGCAACCAATGTTATTTCAATTAGTGCTTATAGAACAAACATAGGAGTAGGTAATGAACATTGTTGGCTCAACCACGTGGAGGTTGACTTGACAGGGCATATTGCCAGCAATGGGACTGTTAGACCCCATTACTAACAACATTTTGATACCTTGATTATACAGCAGTTGCTTTGCCTATAACGCCTGATTCGAAACAGCAACTATTGTATTTAATTGTTACTATTTCTGATTCGCCGAGTGGCTCTGGCATAGTGTGGGCCACCCCTTCCTTTGCCGTGGTTGTCACATGGTTATAATCAGTGACTAAAGGAAGGCGAGGGATGGGCAGCAGCGTCCCTCTTAAATCTTCTCTAAAAGCCTAACTGCGGTCGCTAATCCGCCTGCCAAGCGTGGCAACTACTGACAAAACTCCCCTTATGGGGAAGGCTTATCTCCAGCAGAGGACAGTTAACGGCTGAAATAATTATAATTTCTGATTTGGATAAATAATTTTCGTGACGACCATAGTGGCGCAGTGGTGGGCACGGTGCTCTGCGAAAATGAGGGCTCTGCTTCGATTCCTGGTTGAGTAAATTTAGGAAACGATTTTTCTGAATTAGCTCCATGGGTGTTTTATGTTGAAATGTCACGAGTTTATAATTAAACATTTTAATTATTATTTTTATACAACTTAGAAAGGCAAACAAGCTGACGGCCCACCTGATGGAAAGTGGTAACCGTCGCCTATAGACATAAGCAGTACTATGGACATAATAGAGTACTGTTTCGACCGTGATACCCACCATGTGGGAAGGCAGGAGGACTTAGGACTTAGGTGTTATTCTTCTGTACCTTGTAAGTTCACTGCCATTTCCCACCCTTCAAATCGAAACACCATGCAAATACAACTGCTTCACGGTTGAAACACGAATGTGACATAGGTGCTTAAGCAAACGACTTTTGTACAGTCTCCCTGTGGTAGTTGGTAGTTTTAAAATTATTTAAGTAAGCCACATAGTATTAAGTTTAGCACCTGTTTTACCTTAAGCGATGAAGGCAAGCAAATATATTTTCGTGTCTGATCCCTTATAACACAGTATATACTAGCTTGAGGGCCAGGCGATTGTGTGATTGTTAAGTAAAAAATCATTAAGGGTTATTTCCATAAAAAAAAAACAAATGAACCATTTTGTGCCATATCTATATTTTTCAGTTAAACAAAAACATATTATTGCATAGTAATCATCACAACGAACAAGTCAATCACAATAAACACCATCATTTTCGTAATAGCCGCTACTTTACAATTCAACTACGAAGAGAGGAAATATATCGGCATTTTACAATGTCTAGATTCAAAAATATAGATCCGTAATGGACAATAAATAATATAAAAGTACTCTAGGAATGTATACGTGCAATAAATATGTTATTATATTGCTATTAAAATGTTAGAATAAGAAAACTTTGCAAAGTTGAATAAAAAATATATTTTCAATAGAAGAACAACATATATCATATATCAAACGTTAGAATTTGGTCAGTACCTAAAGAGAGAAATATTACACAAGTTACATAAGTGTAGAAGGTAGATGTCGCTACTGTCTATTAATATTTGGATAGGAAGTAACTTGTTCTATTCCATCGACGCAACATAATGCCTTATGTTTTTACGATATCGTTGAAGAAATATTTATAGCTATAAACTGGTTATCTACTTTCATTTAGAAATTACATACCTACCGTCCTTATAATCTTTTTACAAATTGGGAGGTTCTTACAATTGACAAGAGATGGCGCTGTTTCAATGAAAACAATGCGGTCATTAAAAAAAATCTATTTCTGTATGTAAATATCAATAATAAAAACCAATAATTATAAACATCACTAACGCCATCTCTTGTCGCATCACTAGCTACGGAACATTACTGTTAATCTATTTTTAGTTACTTGCTATCTAAAAATCGTCTTGATGGATAAGAGGCAAGTGAAATTCGATGAAAATGAAAAAAAAAAAGCATTAATTTCGAAATTATTAAGTAGACACAGCCGGTGTTTATTAATAGCAGATAACAAAACTGTAACAGTTATATAAAATACAACTAAAATATAACAAGTAAAAATTGATTACACAATATACGATATAGTTCCAAACGGAATGTAAGTATTTAAAATTGGTCATTTAACAAAGTAAGATATTGTATAGGAAATAAACCAGAGACAATAGAAGAGAGACGTTAAGTACACAAACAGTGCAACAACATGTAACAACAAATAAAAAAAAAATTACTAATATTTGGCATACGATCCTAAAATTGTCAATATGATGCATTGGTAGGATGGTATAATATGTATGATTCATTGAATGACACTAGGATACGGTAATTCTGGCACTATTGTACTATGAAGTATTCCATTTGACTATACTTTTTTTTATATACAACTTAGAATGGCAAACAAACTGACGGCCCACCTGATGGAAAGTGGTAACCATCGCCTATAGACATGAGCAGTACCATGGACATAACAGAGTATACTGTTTCGCCCATGATACCCTCCATGCGTTGCCATTCCTGAGGACTCAGGTGTTATTCCTCTGTACCCAGTAAATTCACGCCATATCCCACCCTGCAAACCGAAACACAGCCATGCGAACACAACTGCTTCACGGTTGAAACACGAATGGGACAGAGGTACTCAAGCAATCGACTTTTGTACAAAATCATATTTTAATTTAAAATAAATTTAACTATAAATTCGCCTTTTTTAAGTGCATCAGAATTACCTAATGATGCAATAGTAATAAGGGATTCTTGCCATTTAAAAAAAAATGCATTAATTTAATTGATTTTTAACATAAATATATGATTTAACATACAGTATGTGAGATTATTATTTGGATAATAGGGGTGTATGCATGATTTTTATTTTTTTTTATTAATAAGCTATTGAAGTATCCTGTTTGATTAATCACATTGTATAGTTTATTTGCATTATACAATATAGGGAATCAGCAAGACAATAAATGTAACGATACAGCTATATAAGTACAGTAAGGCGATCTTTTTGCTGAAAGCAAATAAATAAATTGTATTGCTGTATTATATTTAATAAATATTTTAATAAATAATTCCATCATATTTTGAAGTTAAATAAAAAAGTGTAGGTTTGATTGTACATGCATACACCCCACTGAGATTTTTTATTATTACAATATATCAGATCTTTGAATGGGTATTTTCTATTCACAGACGTCTTGCTGTATATGAATGGATATAGTTAATGTGCACGCATATGCATATAAACATATATGCACATGTTTCGGAAGAGTCCCTGATCAAGATTACAAGGTCAACTTCGCACGACCCATAATTAATCCATTTCGTATAACCCGACCAATGAAAATGCACTAGTGAATTCACATTAAGTCTTCGTGTGTGAGGCATTTTAAATTCAGTTGGGTATAAAAAATGAATCGTGTAAAATGGCCTTTATAAACCCGAAGAGCTTATGTTTTTTTTGGACAATAAATTTTATAAGTAACAATTACAGATAGAGTTCAACCATCCTTGTCATTCATATAACAACCTTTTCAATCGTCGTTTAAAAATTACACGAGCTTAACCTAAATATTCTACACGAGTAGCGATTGTATTAGAACAAACGCGCGATATAAAATATTGAAACTAAATATCAAAACAATAACATACTATTAAGATGTATCCACAATGACAAAAACAAAAACCAATGATGTATTTTAACATTCCACACTATAAGGGTGCGTACTTACAGATTTACTGTTAATGATTGGCTAAGAAACATATTTTGGTAATTTTCAATTTTGTCACTGTGTACACGTCTTTAGACAAAACGTGTCAATAGATTTGCATATACACTAGCATTATACCTGACTGTCACCGCGTGAAACCCAACAACGTTATAAAAATTACAACATAATTAAACTATTTCACAATAGATAAAAATTCAGATCTATTTAAGATTTAATTACAATAAAACAATTCGTACCTACTTTGTGTCAAATTAGAAACATGAGAACGAAACTGAGCTATGAACGATTGTATTTAGTTGAGAAGTTTAGGGGACCAATATTTATTTATTTAACTCTTTACTGCACCAGAAACATTTAAATAAACAATATTATAAAAACAATTTAAATTAAATACTTTGTTTACCATAAAACTATATATATCCCACCCTATAATTTTTTTAAATTTATGATTTAATTAATTTTTTCTTGTTGTTTTAATATTAATAACAAAACAAAATTATATATGTACAATTTTATAATTTTTATATTTTTTCATGCTCCATTTGTAACTTTTTTATTACTTATTTTTTTATTATTATTTATTTATTATTTGATTTTATAATTGTATAAAAGACACAGCAATTGCTTCTTTTAGTTGAGTAAATTTATCATAGACAATTATTGTGTGGTAGATATGTCTACTTATATGAAGTTAGTTGTCATTTAAAAATATAATTTAAAAAGTAACATATAATAGAAACGACAGAAGAAAAAAATAGAATTAGAGAATTGAATATGTACCTTAACAGTATGAAATAGACTACAGATTTGTAGAGAATAATAAATTGTGAAAGGTTAGTTTACTCACTACGTAACCTGAAGTCTCTCTGGAAGTGATAATGTTATTTCTATGCACTTTTATTTCATATTTATTTATTTATTTAGCAAGGCAACAGATTACAAATTAATACATTTATAAAATAAATATTACATAAAACAGCATTAAATTTGCTCTCCAACAACTGCTCTGCACAACATTCGATATTATATACATTAAAAGAATGACAGCTAAAAATTTAAAGTAACAAATTGGCAGCCTTAATGTAACATTTCCAGGATTGTTGGAAAATATCAAGCTCCTTGCATACATTATTATATTTTCTGCACACGCGGATAATTGGATTGTGATACGATACATTGTTATTACAAATCGGTATATGAAATAATTTTTGTATTCTTTTATTACCTGTACGAAATGAAACAAGAGACATATATGAAAATAATTCATTCGATTTCCCCTTATTTTGATTATTATTTAATGAAGAAAGATAAATATATAATGACAAAATTTAATAAAAAACCAACGACCCAAACACTACAGAACAAATGGACTACGCCCCCACATTCAGCTGATGTTTTTATTTTATATTAGATAGTTGTTAGGTAGGTCAAATAGTTGTTGTCAATTAGATTTAATTGGTTAATAAGTCATTATAATGTAATAATGATTACAATTGACTAAGCATAAATTAAATATGATTAAGAAAAAAATGAACTTGTTTTTTACTTTTAATAATTGTTAGGAAAAAAAAAAGATTGTCATATAGTCGAGGTAACATTAACATTTTATCTTCGATAGAAACTTTACACGAGATAAGAAACAGGCTAACTTCTTGATCGGTTTCCAAATATTTCCTACCATTTACTTCTAGGGAATATTTAATAGAGGACAATAGACTGGGAATATTGTTCTTAAATGGAATTCTATATGGGACAATAATGGTGCTTTGCTCTTTTGAGGGCGAAGCAATAAACTGAGTTGTGGCCATATTGCTATGGCACACGCACAAACGAACAATTGTATATATAAAGCTAATTATTCATTTTTTTTATCATTTATGTTTTCTCGCTTTTTTTTTGTGTATCTATGTTGTAAATTGTGTGCTGTAAGTAATGCAAATAAATCATCTATCTATCAATCTATCTATCTATCGATAGATTTTACTATCGAGTCCCATAAACTTCTCACTTAATAATTAACCGTTACAAATAAAAATATAATAAACATTTTGTTCAGAGTCGCCCAATCGAAGTAGCGACATTTCATTTTGTTCAAATTTACAAACTTTAACCCCCATTCATTCTTAAAAATTATTAAACTGTTTGTGTCTCTTTCTTTTGTACTAAATTCTCAGTTTGAATGAAAGGGACAAAACACTGTAATAGTTAAAATAGGTTTGTAAGACGTTTTAGTTTTTATAAATAGGAGGTTAATTATTAGAGTTACCATAGAAGTAAGAATCAGAGTACGGACACCAGGAAATGGGTCGCTCCTTCTATATAGTTTCAACATTATTAATGTAAAACGAATATAGAAATATCAATTTGTTTATTGACCAACTATGCATAACAGTTAAACGTAAATCGGACAATAGTATTTTTTCTTAATACTATTACATTTCGTAGTCACAATCCTACATTATATATTTATTTGTCAAGGTCAAACCCTAGAGGGCGCTAATATAAAGATCTATGTTTGAATTTCAAATCCTTGGCTAACCACGTGATATCTAACGACAAATATCATGGAGATATGTACCATATTGTATAAGTATTAAGGTATATTTTAATATACAACTGCTAATATTGTAGATAAAGATATTAACAGAGTTTTTTTTTTATTAATACGTATAAAAAAGAGAATATACACCATGTAGATCTAAATTGATTGAAATTCGTTATTTTTTAAAAATTGTATATTAGCGCTAAATAAGAAGTAGGTACATTATAAAACTGTAAATGGCAATACAGTTTGATTTTTAATTACGATATACCTTTCTAAAATGTCTAGAATTCTAGAATGTTCTTGTTTGGACAACAAACAAATGTCAATAGCCGTGTGCCAGTGGAAATCGAAGTCCATTTATGAACTCTGTGGCAACGTAAATAAGTTATAAATTTGATTGTGCGATTTTTGAGATATGTAAATGTCGGATGGATCTTTACACGCCAATGTCACAGATAGACAAACGATAACAAGAAAAATAATTTTGATTTAAATTAACATTTATATAATTTTTAACATGTATTTTTTTTTTTAATTAATGACCAACCGGTTTTTATTACATAAATACCGGTTAACATACTTATTTAGCTATTGCTATGTTTTGTCTCTTTCAATTTAAATTCTTAATTTAAAAGAGACAAGATACTAATTGTTAAAATAGGATTCACTAACTACATTTTTAATTATCTATGACACTTTAAAAGGAACGTATTAGGGCGTATCCACAGTAACAAAATTTAACATAGTAGACATCCAACATCATGTAATCGTTACGAAATATAGGGGCGTGAACTAACAAATTACAATGATTGGCTAAGAAAATACATGATATATTTTACATTTAGATGCCTAGTCAGATTTAATCATTGTGGACACGCCTTTAGTTGTAATACAGTTACGTATACGTTATTGTTACCTTGTCTATACATCACCAGTGGGCGTGTTGGGGCGTCACAATGGAGGGTGTGCTTACGTGTCCGGGTGCTGTTCACGGTGGAAGGTTCATTTGCAGGTTCTGGAGGTACGCTGAGGTTGAGTTCAACAACCCGATACGTTGTTTTTGCTTCCTCTGCTCCGTCATCTGTGAATATTTGTTGTTTTAATTATAATTTGATAAAAGAATACCTGGTATGTCTATCAGAAATGACAGTTTTCTGCGTAACTAGCTTTAATTAAAATTATGTTGTAAGAAAAAGAAAACAAATCCATATACAAAAATCCTTTCTCAAATTTGTATATATGAATAAATGTGTATATATGAAGATGATATAAGTGTATTTAAGAAAATTTTATCCCAACCATCTGGACGAGTGGCGGTCCTCCACCGTGCGTTTTTCAAGGCACTTTCTCCCACGGACAACCACTCTTTGGAATCAACTTTCAGCAGCAGTATTTCCGAACCGATACGACAACATAACCTTCAAGAAAAGAGCATATTCCTTTTTAAAAGGCTGGCAGCACACCTGCAATGCCGCTGGTGTTGTGGGTGATCATGGGCGGTGGTAGTCACTTACCATCAGGTGAGATGCATGCTCGTTAGCCCCCTGTGTTGTAAAAAAAAAAAAATGTTATTCTTATTTTTTAATCCTCTGCTCGCTGTCGGCTTTTTTCTTCCTCTCTCCCCCCACAGCCCGGCTGCCGCCTGCCGCCCGGCGTACCTGGTCGCGCAGGTCGGCCAGCAGGTCGGTGAGCGCGAGCACGGCGGCGTGCGCGCGCTCGAGCTGCGCGTGCAGCGCGCGCAGCTCCAGCTCGCCGCCGTCGCCCTCGCCGCCGCCCACCAGCGACAGCGCGCGCAGCCGCGGGAACCACTCCAGGTTGTTGCTCTGCGCACCCACCGACCACACTCAAATCAATCGGACCGACACACTTCAACTAAATTATACGCCAACCGAAATATTTAGCATTTCCGCTTATTACACACAGAGAGCTCGAGTTTGAAAGAGCATTTTCAGTTTGAAGAATGTTTTAGTTAGAAGTTGATTGAGGTGATATTTGAAGCATTTTACGGAAGTTTCACAAAATCCTCCGATACTTCCCTAAGTTAATGTATTATATTTTAGCATTAAATCTTCATATAACTGATATCCGATAAAACGTTATTTATTACTGATGGAAGAAAAAAACTTGATACTGACCTTAATCATTGAATGTACGTAACTCTCGGGTCCAGTGAACTCCGTGGGGTCTTTCACCCTTACCAGCACCATAAAGTAAAGGTAATGCCACATATTGTGTTCGCTCTTTATGTGTTCCTCGAACGAGACAGTCTTGTTGTCGAAGGCCGATCTGTTCAAACCTGTTCCACAAACAAATTATACTACATTCTAATCAATAACGAAACAATAATCTACTATATGCCAAAATATATTGAAATTCGTAATGTGTTATGAACGTTTAACATTTTTATAACTTTAATACAGATATATTCGACTAATACGACAAACCTTTAAAGCGAATTCAAAATTTGTCTAAGTCGTAATAACTACAAATAATTTTGAGCTCTACATACTAAGTAATACAGTGTATTCAGCTGGTAATTTAATATTGGATGTTTAAAATATTTTGTTATATATATATATATTAATCATACTGACCACATATAAAACAAGTATTCTTGAGTATCAGTTCTTTCTGCTGTTTCTCGCTACGCAGATCCGCGAATGTGTCAATGATCACACCGAAGATGAGATTCAATACGATAATGATCACCACGAAGAAGAATAGTAAGTCATAGACTACACGTGCGACGAATAGCGGCTCCTGAATACCAATATTTACATATAGTAACAAATAACAATAAATTTACTTATTAAATTAAGCAAAGATTGTGTTAGAATTCTAATTGAGAATTGCTTAATGCAAATGTTTGTATTGTGCAGTGATTGAACCCACAACGAGCATGTGTATGTGTGTGCGTGCGTGCGTGCGTGAGCGTGCGTGTGTGCGTGCGCATGTTGTAGGACACGTACGAAGCTAGCGGGCGCGCGTAGTATGTCGCCGATGCCTCCGCCGTTGCGCAATCCCTGATTGAGCGTCGTTACGATGCACATGATGAGCGAATCGCACGAGCGCTCGCGCAGCTCGCCGCCCACGGCCACGAGGCGCGGCGGCCGGCTGCACGCGCTGGCCCCGCCGCTGCCCTCCTTAGAGTACTTGGCGGCGGGGTCGTTGCCGCACTTGTCCCACTCGAACCGGGGGTCGTCGTCATCTATATACACACACCACGGACTAATCATTACACACCAGCCGGTGTTGAGTTAAAAATTAAATTAAATTCAAATTATTTAAATAGATTTGTTTACAAGCATTTTATATCGTAATTTTTTTTTTAATCTATTGCAAGGTTTGGAAGGTTGTTATCTGTTAAGAAGAGCCCGCAAGAAACTCAACAGTTACTCTTTTAAATCTATGTTAACATTATGTGTATTTATTTAAATGTATAGTACATCTAAAATCTAAAATTACATGGTCGTTAAAAGCACGTGCATGATCTACTAACACTATGCATGTCTGTCATTCTAGTAATCGTTTAACGTAGGCTTTACTCAATAAATATTTTTAATAACAGTTCCTATTAAGAATATATATACCAGCGTTAGCACTAGAATGGCTGTCAGTAAATTAGACTTCTTTATCGTATGGTAGAGAAAACATCACAATGATCGTGTAATTGGTGCTTTATCGCAATTGACATACCGTCTAGTCGGTCCACGCTGACCAGGAAGTGGTCACGGAAGAACATGTAGCCGACAATTGAGAACATGTAGACCAGCACCAGCGCCAGTACGGCCGTCAGTAGGATCGACCGCCCGTTGCGTGTCACTGAGCGCATCACGTTCAATAGAGTCTCTTCGCGGTACACAATGTCGAGGAGCTGCGTACGAAAAAAAAGACATGCTGTTTATATTTACATATTTAATTGTCTTGAAATAGCCTCCACACAACAATATTATCATCAATAGTAATAATAAACTGCTGGATTTCTACCCATAATAGAAGGATAGAGGGAGACTTTGTACAAAAGTCGATTGCTTGGGTACCTCTGTCCCATTCGTGTTTCAACAGTGAAGCAGCTGTGTTTGCATGGCTGTGTTTCGGTTTGAAGGGTGGGATATGGCGTGAATTCACTGGGTACACAGGAATAACACCTGAGTCCTCAGGAATGCCAACGCATGGGAGGTATCATGGGCGGAACAGTATACTCTGTTATGTCCATGGTATTGCTCATGTCTATAGGCGATATACCACTTTCCATCAAGTGGACCGTCACAGCTTGTTAGCCATTTTAAGTTGTATAAAAAAAGAATATTGCCACACTAGCGAAACAGTTTCGTTTTTTTTTTCGAACTTTATTCCCTTGTAATGAGTCCTCCTAGGAAGATAATACGAAATAAAAAAAAGGCATGTTTTTGTAAGAATTATAACACATCAGTCGTTAATTGTCCACTGCTGAACTAAGGCCTCTCTCTATTGCATTTGAAATAAAATGCAATATAGGGTAGTAGAGAAGACAAAGACCATATAAAATTCATATCCAACCGCCTTGCAATTCTTGTTGATGTTCCGTGTGGTCCCAGCATAGAATAGGCCACCCATTCCTTTCCTGTGGGTATCATAGGAGGCGACCAAGGGAACTTATTGGTCGAGGCATGGGCAGTAGCGTTCCTCTTAAAATATCTCAAAAGCATAACTGCGGTTGTCAACCCGCTTGCCAAGCGTGCCAACTACTGGCAAAACTCTCCATATGGAAAAGCCTATGTCCAGCAGTGGACAGTTAAATGTTGATATGATGATAATAATATTTTACGCAATATATGATATATATATATATATATATATATATATATATATATATATATATATATATATATATATATATATATATATATATATATATATATATATATATATCTTTAGATTATCCATTCGCCTCCCTAATCACCATACTAACAAATTATTCTACTTCCATCACTTACACGAGTAAATAGCAATAAAATATAAAACATACAATAGAAACTCACCAGAACCGAAAAGAAGAATGGATGACAGCATATACCGAGGAAGCAGAATATGAGGTAGACGCTATGGTAGAGTAATTCGGGGTCTGTGAGTACGTTCCACGTCGACTTGGATAACGTGCCTTGGTTACCCATTATGCTCACCAGATGGATGCCTTTTACCACTATCTGTTAAAAAAAAAAAACATTTTTTTTTTAAAAAAGGGCCATAAGATTTAAAATATACAATGAATGTATAGGAAAATGAACACAAAGACACATACTCATAAATACAAATGTTAGTATTGTCGAATCGGGAATCTAATCAGAGACAGTGTTTATTAATTGTAACATATCAAAGTGTAAACAATACTTATGTTTCAGAACTTACAAATTTGAAACATATGTTACATAAGGAGGGGCGGGGGGAGGGAAAGTAATTTTTAGTAATTGGGTTTGACAGCCATATTGCTAGCACCTTATCATGTCAATCTCCATGTGGTTCCTCCTAGAAGCCATCGTGAATAATTCTTGTTGAATTCGACACGATGGGCTAACTGACCTATTTCATCCTCACCTATCATCACTCACTGATACCCCGCTAATTTATACCGTTAGCGTAGGCGGTGTTACCATTCCATTATCACCCATAAAAAAAGCTACATTAGGACTAAAATTACGAATCAGCAAATAGTTCACCATCGTTGCTGATTTGGTGAAAATGAGAGACACGATATGACGTACTTACGGTGAGCATGCCTAGGCACCACAGTGTGGGTTCGGGCCCAGCTGAAAAAATGAGCCGCACTATAGCACTGGCGATTAGTGCGCGAACGCCTGACGAACGCGGCAACCACGTCACCAGTACTGCTGCCACTGCTGATACGCACCAAACTACCAACGATAGGTGTTGGCCCAGTTCTCAAAAGAAAAAAAAACATCTCTATGAGTTGCATAAAAAGAACACATCACTATGAAAAAAAAAATACATCTCTATAAAAATATGTCCAGATGAGGTAGATTAGTATCTGTCATTTATTCATAATTCACATTTCTTTTTTATAACACAAAGATGGCAAACAACTATATAACCCGTTTGATGGTAAACGGTCACTATAGCCCAGAATAAATAATATTAAAATTTTAATAAATATTAGGAATTAAAAATTATGCACCACCAAAGTGGTGCTAACTAACTAAACCCTAGTAGGCTTCAATATTTATTTTATTATAGAATAATTATATACAATTTACTGTTTTAAAGTATCTTAAATAATATCATAACATATAAATAAATGTATAGATAAGCAAGTGTAAAACAAGCTTATATTATACTTACTAGGATTTTCATCCTGAAAAGGGTAAAAGAATGCGACAATAACGTTGATTAGAACAGCAAAGTTGAACAATATGTTACTCCACAGCGACATGTAGGACGATACCCAGAACAGGAAAGGTTGCCCTGTCAACAAACAGTATACAATGCAATTAAAACATTACTAATATAAAAATTCCACTTATATCACGATAATCATGTGTTACTACAGAATATGTCGGTACCGTGACCAGGACTTATACAGATGAATCCTGGTCACGGCACAAAATGGCGACTGGAAAATGCGATCATATTTTCATAGACAATAAATATACCTGATAAAAACTATTAGTAGCTATTGTATATTAATTAATTCTTACTTACCACGCAGTTTTTTCTGCCACTTCATCTCGTGAAATAGGTTGTCTAATCGAGAAAAGAAATCGGCAACCTTGCTGCCCTGGTCATCCCGCTCGGCACTTTGCAACACCCTGTGCTTACTGTCGGCAGGCAGGTACTCACAGATCTCTGGGATCGGGAACACTATTTGCTCCATACTGCGATCAGTTCTGACTATCTGCATGCCATTAAAAAATAACATGTTACTGTAATGTTAACCTTCAGACAGGATCACAACTTTCTGAATATGTGCCAAGTGCTATTGGAAGGAAAATGTCTGTCCTATCAGATGACAATATGACCAAGTCATTAAGCCTAAGGCGATGTCTTCTGTTAATCCTTCATCATCATTTCAGCCGTTAACTGTCCACTGCTGAACATAAGCTTTTCCCATATTGGGAGTTTTTTAATCTTTATTAATGAATGATCCGGTTATGAGAAGTCTAATACATTAGGCAATTGGAAATTTGGGAATTGCACTCAGCACGAAAAAAAAAAGAAGAAATACGAGTTGGAATCCTGCCGGATCGAGCTACCACTTCATATGCTGTTATCAGCTACGCTGGATAGATATGCAGCAGATACCTCTATCTGTGCCGTGTGAGTACGGTAATATTGCAGAGCTGTCGCATTAGGTCCGGCAGGCGAAGCACGAACCAGCGCAGCCAGTTCCTTGTTGTGCCCCGCCAGCTGGTGGCACAGAATGTAAATGTTGTGGCCCACCTGTCGGGTACAAACATTTATTAGTTTTCTGAATGTTGCCAATACTTACCGACTCGGTTTTGATAATTCATCTTGTTCTCTATAAATTTTGTAGTTAGTATTAATGTTGTAACAGTGGGTGTGTGCTTCTTTTTTATAGATTTCGTTTCTTTTTCAAATAATATTAAAATAAACTGGGTCAGCAGTTGCAAGAGAAGTCAGTTAATGTCGTAAAATGGTTTAAATAAGAACTTTATACAATAAAGAAAGTATTCAAGCGAAATGGGAAAGTTAGTATTATTTTTAATGTTTTTTTTTTTTGTAGGAATTGATATGTTCAGTACGTACTTCCTTCGGTGATACGCCTTGGACGGGAGCGTCGTCTTCGGAGTCCGAGTCCGCATCCATGGCCTGTTCTTGATGGAAGGCTGAGCACGCAACATCGACCTGCATACAAATTGATATTATATTGCAAGTTTTTTATACTACTGTTGAACAACACCAGATTATTTTATGATTATGTTTTCATCAAGTTCAATTGGAACATACGATGGCGCGGAACATTCTAGAACTTACCAACTGCTTGGGATTCATATTGTACAGTATCCTCTCAGCGTTGTTCTCAGAGTCATTCCGCGACTCCATGATCGCGAGCAACAGCTTCGACGCATTGTTCTTGAGCTCGAGGACGAGGTCCATACGTGTTTTACCCAGTGGATTAATGTCGTTCAATATCAATGCTGTTATTATGTCGAGACCATTGCTCTCGTGGGTCGCAATGCAGTTTTGGTTCTCGTGACACGGGCCTGTAGGATAGAAAGGGATTTTTCAAACTCCCATATAAATGATATTTAGAATAATTGCTTCAGAGTACAGAAGCAATTGTTTCGTAATACAAGCTTCCATTATTTTCAATTATGTATTTTTTTTATGCAACTTAGAATGGTAAACAAGTTGGCAGCCCACCTGATGGAAAGTGGTAACCGTCGCCTATAGACACGAGCAGTACCATTGACATAACAGAGTATACTGTTTCGTCCATGATACCCACCATGCGTTGCAATTACTGAGAACTCAGGTGTTATTCCACTGTATCCTGTAAATTCACGCCATATCCCATCCTTCAAACCGAAACACAGCCATGCAAACACAACTGCCTTACGGTAGAAACACGAATGGGACAGAGGTGTTTTAGCAAACGACTATTATTATTATTAATATGATAGCAAACAAGCATGCAACCTTTTGATATGTCCGAACAAGACAAATGCAAAAAGTTCTGACTAAATAAATATTTAGCAATTAGGCTGTCAGTCCATATTACTTAGAATATATATTACTTCAATCTCCCCTCCACTAACCAAGGTTAAGTTTCCACATGTGAAGTACACTCAGTATACAGTACCTTGGCAGTACTCCGTGAGCGTCTCGAGGGTCTGGTTGATAAGCGCAACATTCCCCTCGTTGATGTAGAGGCCGAGGAGGCCCAGCTCGCCCGTCGTCGACCCGCAGATGCAGTCGAGGAACATGAGCGTCTCCGACACTAAATTGTAGCTGGATTTGTTGTTTTGGTTTCTTAGTAAGTTCTGTTCACAATACAGTGTTTACATTACAAATGTGAAAGTGGTGTGTGTCTGTTTGTGTGCATGTTAGTGTTTAATTTTTTTTTTAATAACAATGATAATGAAATATCCCCCCCCCCCCCCGTCCCCAACAGAAGGAGACCTGTGTTCAACAATGATCAATTAACGGGTGATGTGATGATACAAATAAGTACCTGTAAGTCCGGATTATGGTTCTCGCATAGTAACTGCAGAAAGCGCAGTATGGGCCGCATCACTGACACCTTAGCGGGCAGTATGTCAGAGTTGCCAGTTTCGCGCTTCTTTTCTGCCATTATTTCTTCCAGCACGGTCGTACCTGACGTTCGCAAGGATAAAATTATTCACTTTTAAATAAAACAAAAAAAAGTTGTTTAGTTGTGAAGAAACAATGAAAGAATGTGTCCAAAAAAAAATAAAAAACTATTGTTTGTTGTGAAAATTGACTTCAATTGTATCAAAAACAGTTATTTTGATTTAAAAACCTAACAACTGAACCAATTTTGATAAAATTTCTATGAGATCTCTATCTACAAGTATATTCTTTCAGATGAAAAATAAATCTTCTAAATCGGTTCAGAACTGACGGAGTTATGAGGTAACAATATAAAAAAAATTAGAATTTAGAACCTCCTTCTTTTTGAAGTCGGTCAAAAATAAAAATAGTATTTTTTTATGAATCTACTCTCCAATTGAAATATAATTTTAGTTGCGAAAAATAAGCTATAAAATCAGCCGTTACTTAATTTAAACAAAAATTAAATTTACAAAAAATATAAATGAATGTAATGAACATCAATCAAAAATTTTATCCTGTCAAAAACTATAATCAATGGCAGTATACTTGAGTAGACCAATACCTAAAAGAAGCACGCGTTCACGAGTATGACGGATGAATTAGTCATTGTCGTATTGAACTATATTACATATATTAGTTCTTAAAGGAATAGAGAGAACCGATTGCTGAATTTTACTATCACGTCTGAATGCGAAATAAGTATATAATTAATAAGTTTAATTTGCAATGATTTGATGACGATCAACAAGTGTAACGTACCGTGTGACATGGTGTGTATGTCTGAGTATGCATGAACAGCGGATCCACAGGCCGTGGTCACCTCCTCGTCCATCTCCTCCCCGACCACCAGTGGGGCCGGTGTCGAGCGTCCTGTAAAACAACTGTTATTATATCTATCTACATCACTCTACATAATGTTTTTAATTGGGGGGAAGGAATTGTTAGTAACGGGGAGATTGTTCCCCATTGTTATCAATATACCCTAACAGGTCGATCTCTACACGGCCCCCTCTGGAAACTATCGTGATTAATTTATCGTTAAATTTAACACGATGATCATCCCTCATTATTGCCCCGCCAGTGTGTACCGATAGCGCCGGCGGGGTAACAATTTCATTAGAATCCATTAAAAAAAATGTTTAATTGGAGCTATTTATGTGGACCAGGGGTTCCCAAACTTTTTTTTTATACAATTTAGAATGGCAAACAAGCTGACGGCTTACCTGATGGAAAGTTGTAACCGTCACCTATAGACATGAGCAGTACCATGGACATAACTTATTTTGTCTACTGCCCACTTCGAGAATAAATTATTTTTAAACGCCCTCATTTTTTCACCTACTTAAAACCCACTATTACTTCAAATTAAATTAATTAATTATTGTGTAAATTAATCAATTATTCTGGGTCTCTTACCGTCCCCCTTTGGGCTTGCAGCGCCCACTTTGGGAAAGGCTGATGTAGACCAACGTGTTTCAAACTATTTCATGGCGTATTTCATCATTATTCATCGCCATCATTTCAGCTTTTATCATCTTTTATATATATATATATATATATGTATATATATATATATATATATATATATATATATATATGATATTCATAGTCTTGTTTATGTCTATAAATGGTATCATTATCATCATATCAGCCGTCATCCGTCCACTGCTGGACCTGCCTCCACTGACTCCCTGCAATGCTTGACCCCTCACTAGATGGAGCGACGACCGCTTTAGTATGTAAACATATTTTGTGGTCCTCTACCCACCGCAGTTCCTAATATGTACTTTATTATATTACAAATATCATAACCGTCAATTATTTTAATAGTTAATTATCAGTTAAATTACCATCCCATATTAGTCGTTAACTGTCCACTGCTGAACATAACCCTCCCCCATATACAGGGCATTTCCAGTTAGTTTCTTTTTTTATACCATGAAGGTGGTTTATTTTTTTATACAACTTAGAATGGCAAACAAGCTGACGGCCCGCCTGATGGAAAGTGGTAACCGTCGCCTATAGACACGAGCAGTACCATAGACATAACAGAGTATACAGTTTCGCCCATGATACCCCCCATGTGTTGCCGTACCTGAGGACTTAGGTGTTATACCTCTGTACCCAGTTAATTCACGCCATATCCCACCTGTATCATTACTGTAGCAACACTAGGGGTGTCACGTGCACGTTGCCGACCCTGAAGAAAGCTTAATATACCCTTTTTGAAAAACCCCCTACTGTAATCTCTAGGGAAAAACCTTGGCAGGGAGCTCATTCCACAGCCTGTTTGTGGGAGACGTTGCCACGTGTAGGTTTTGTTTGACAAATATTCTTACTCTAATACTTCATCATCAGCATATCAGCCTTTTCCAAAAAACAGCAATATTCATAATATTAATACTAGATTTAAAGACAAACTTGCTGTCCCCAAGTATCGTTTAGAAAAAGTTAATAGGTCTTTTATGGGAATAGGTATAAAAATTTACAATAAGATACCAAAGGATATGTTGGAATTACCCTTAAATAAATTCAAAACATCTGTTAAATCATATTTACTGAGCAAAGCCTATTACTCACTAAACGATTACTTGAATGACGAGTGTGCATGGCAATAGTTGTTCATGCACTGAATTTTCATTTAATGTTAGACATAGACACCTATATAAATATACATTGTAAATAAACTGGCTTTTAAAAAAAAGTAATTCAATTGAGTTTCTTGCCAGTTCTTCTCAGTTGGATCTATATACCGAACTGGACGGTAGGGAAAAAAATAAAATTATAATGTAAAAATTTGACGTTCATAAGCGGCTAAAATGTCCTACATGAATAAATGATATTTGAATTTGAATTTGAATTTAACTGTCCACTGCTGAACATAAGCCTCCCTTTGGGGGTTTTGCCTGTAATTGCCACGCTTGGCAGGCGAATTAGCAAATGCAGTCAGGCTTTAGAAATGTTTTAAGAAGTACGCTGCTGCTCATCCCTCGCTCTTCTTTAGTCGTCTCTTACGACAGCCACGGGAAAGGAAGGGGTGGCTTATTCTATGCCGGGACCATACGGCCAATATACTACTATAATAATTAGAAACCTATTCATAACAATCTTCTCTGTCTTCCACCAAAGGTAGTATGGATTATAATTACATCTGTATGGGAATATAAGGGAAAATGGTTTCACCGTCGGTAGGCGTTTGCTTCTGCTTCTCCGAGTGACTGGATCGCTGCTTGTCTGTGCCGGCAGCCGCAGTGCTGCTCGCAGCTAGAGATCTTATCTCTTGTTGAGCTTCCCGCATTTTATCGTAGAATACCTACGGAACATAATAAAATTATCATTGTTAATAAATAATCCTTAAACATATTATAAATGTAAAAGATCGTTTGCTTATTACAGCGTCTTAACAGCTTATATAATCACTATGGCATTTTCTTTTGATGGGTGAAAATGGAATGGTAACCCCGCCTGCGCTAATGGGATTACGCTGGCGGAGCACCAGTGAACGGTGATAGATGAGAATGAAACCAGGCCAGTTAGCGCATCATGACGAATTCACAAGGAATTAACCATGATAGTTTCCAGGGAGAACCGCGAGGAGGTCGACCTGGGTATATTGTTAGCAATGGGATTCTCAGTCTCCATTACTAACAATCCCTTTCCTCCCTCACAATGGCATTTGATATACATGTATTGTAAGGAACGGAAAAGGACATAGGCTACTTTGTATCTACGTTATATTATTCAAGTCGTAGGTAAGAGCTAGTATTTTGGTTGGTTATAACCAGAAAAAAAACAACTAATTCATGGTAAAACCAGTTATAATTTGATATATTTTTTTATGGGACCAATTTGAAATTTCATTCAGATAAAAAAAATTCAAATCGGTTTCTGAATTCAGAATCTCCCCACACTCAACTTGCTCACAGATGGGCTGTGTGAAAGATATGGCAAAAAAGCTGCAAGAGTAAATGCTGAATTTTTTTTTTATACAACTTAGAATGGCAAACAAGCTGACGGCCCACCTGATGGAAAGTGGTAACCGTCGCCTATAGACACGAGCAGTACCATGGACATAACAGAGTATACTGTTTCGCCCATGATACTCCCCATGCGTTGCCATTCCTGAGGACTCAGGTGTTATTCGTCTGTACCCTTAAATTCACTGCTATATCCCACCCTTCAAACCGAAACACAGCCATGCAAACACAACTGCTTCACGGTTGAAACACAAATGGGACAGACGTACTCAAGCAATCGACTTTTGTACAAAGTCTCCCTCTGGTGATTGCAGATAGAATAATAAATATAGATAGATAGAATAATAATAAAGATAAATAGATAATGGAAGTGGAAAATAAGCCCCCCCCCCCTCAAATATACTTATAATCACACTAGGTATTAATAAAATTAAGAGAGTCGTAATAAATACCTTGAGGAACGCTTGTGATATCTCTCCGTTTTGCAGCTTTGCAAATATACTCTGCTGAATTATAGGATTGCCGCCTTCCAAGAGTGCGATACCTGTGCGAAAATAATTTAGATTGTTTATTTATATAACACTAGCGACCCGCCCCGGCTTCGTACTGGTGTTTTACAACATTGTCTGGTACTTTTTCATAAACAATATTAAAGACAGCGAGAGAAGAGAGATGGAAAAGAGTGGAGAGGAGAGAGAAAGGGGAGGAAAGGAAAGAGATAGGAGAGAGAGGAAAGGAGAGATAGGAGAGAAGGAAGAAGCGATAGGAGAGGGGCAAGGAAAGAAATAGAAGAGAGGGGAGAGGAAAAAGATAGGAGAGAGACATTTTCTTAATAAAAACTTAGAAATTTATTTCGCAAAACACAGAAGTACTAAATTTGTTAATTTTGAATTTTTGTATTGTTTACAAATATTGAAATAACATATATGTAGTTTCTATGTACCTGTAATCGCGTCACATTACATCACATCACCTATCTTGAATTAAAATAAGTTCTAAATTTGATTGAAAAAAAAAAGACCTAATTCTTATTATATATAATACATTTTTAATTAGACGGAGTCTAATTATACACACAATATTATATATATATATATATATATATATATATATATATATATATATATATATATATATATATATATATATATATGACGGGTTTTAATAAGAGCAACAAAGAGTCAAAACAATAATTTTTAGAAAATGATTCTATCTGTATGTTTGTTCTGGTATTAAGCAAAAACTACTGCATTAAGTTAGATGTGGTATTTTTCACAGTCATGTCCTTTAACTTAAAATTTGGTATGCGTTTTATCTTGATGCGCGCCATCTAGTTCATTAATTTTCCTACTTTTGAAATCCACGAAGTATGGTGATAAAAATTCGACTTTAAAACAACTTACCAAGTTGTATTGCTTCCAAGAATATCGCAGGTCGGTTGGTGCTCTTTATGACGAGGTCCACCACCAGATCGGAGGCGCCCTCTTTGTCCAGGTGTGCCTGAACCTGCGCCAGCGTCTGGCCGGTACGCATCAGTACCTTCGCTGTACCGAACCGGTTAAATCCGGTTAGATTTGCATAATACTAGTTGGATAATAAATGCGAATGGTATAACAAGCCGATAGTTTCCGGTTGCTATACCATTCCAGAATCTAGTAATTCATAAAACTAAATAATTTTCCACAAAATAACATTATTTTATATATTTATATAGTGAAAATTAATATTTATTTATACTTAATTATTACACAGAAATTACATTTATTATTAAAATTTACAAAATAATAACAGTTTTTTTTTATACCACTGAGGTGGCAAACAAACATACGGTCCACCTGATGGTAAGCGGTTACCGTAGCATAGTTATTTAAATAGATCCCATTCTCACACGATTTGTATGAAAGGTTCAATTATTAAATCTGGGATTCGAACCCGTATCACTCAGCTATCAGGTGCCGTTCTCAGTTCACAAACATTTCCCACTTACCTTCATTTTGATTCCTTACACCTTATTTATATTAGAATCAAAAAATATTTTTCGTCTCACTACAGTATGTAATTAAACTAAATTTAATTAAATTTATAATTAAGTACATAAGTTATGTTAAAAACGTGTGCATTGGAGCAAAACCATGTGACAAAGTTAACACCAAAGTGGGTTTCATGCAGATATAACACATAAACACAAATTTTATTTTATATAGCTAAAATTATAGGCTTTGTTGTCAGTTGTCAGGGAAAAATTGTTATATAAAAAAGTGTATTTTCTCTCTATGTACCTACTCTAGCCAAAGGTTGTTTGTGTTGATAATGGCTGGAAATATTTTATATATAGACTGTTTAATTTATAATAATAAGTATCTTGTAACTTTTTTCATCCCACAGGGTACGTGTATACGAAATTTCGTAGTGATCGGTTAAGCCTTTAAGGCGCTATATGGTAAGAAACCAACTCACTTTCACATTTATAATATTAGTAAAGATTATATTATTTAATAACCAGATTTATGTGAGTGATAATGGTGTAATGAGAAATTGATAACCAAACCAGGCCCTTTAGACAAGTGGCAAACGAATACATCTATGAAATCGACATCACTAGCGAGTCCGTGAGGTAGAATGAGATAGCAACGTCAGATGTCTCATTCCAACTCATGGGCTCGATAGCGATAACGATTGCATTGCTGGATTCGTTGCCACTTGTCTACGAAGCTTGTATCCTACACGTACTTTTCGACGTCAACCAGCTGTACATACATGCATGGCTGTGTCGGTTAAAAAAGTAGCATGCCAGTGGAATAGGGTACGGAAAATTAACACCTTTATCTTCAAGGAACGGCAACCCTGTTTATGTATATAGCTGACGATTATTTTCTATTCTACCAGATGCGCTGCTAACTTGTATGACAAAGCGGCTAATTGCATAAAAAACTTACCCCTTTATTCATAAAAAACGTCAAACCTCTCATAAATATATTTTAGCTATTGAACTGTTTTGTCTCTTTTTTTTACGCTAAATTCCTAACTTGAAAGAAAGTGAGAAAACAGTGTAATAGTTAAAATTGGTTTGTAGAAGGTTTAAGTTTTTATGAATTATGTAATAATTATCAGATATTATCAGACACTCATTTTAGAGACTTAGAGAAATTTATCAAGGTTTCAATTAGCTAGAAATATGTTATTTCCAAATGGTTTAAACACAGTGCATGACAACGGGTGAGATTATAATTTATTAAAGCAAAAATTATATAAACAACATTGACTTCTAAACCTACTACTAATAAGGTCGTATTTTATTAAAAAATACATTCGCTATTTACGGTAAAAGGTCAATGCCCATTATACGTCGAATCTGAAAGGACGCGTGACTATAGATAAGTGCAGTGGCGGACTAAGGGCGTCAGAGGTTCGAGGCGGAAAAGCTGAATGAGGCCACCAGTTTAAGATGTTTATGTAACTTTAAAAGCGTTTTATTAAGTACACATTTGATATACAAGTGTTTAAATTTATTTAGTTAAAAGCTTACATGTAAAATTTAAATTAGACACAGAACGAGATGTGGATGAGGAAAATGCGAGACATTTGCAGGCCTACCAGGACTAGAGGCCCAGGGTAGGGCCCAGGGTAGGTCGCCTTTTCTGCCCTCCCATTAGGCCGCCACTGGATAAATGGCATATTTTTCTAATTACAAACATCTATGACAACAAAGAAATAAGAACACTCGTAAAAACGGAACGTCGAATTGCTGTCTCATTCTGTCCGATACACGCATAAAATACAAGCAATTTAATTTAACTAAGGCTAATTCATTATTTAAGTTGCTTTAAAATGGCACCTTTGCAGTCACAGGAAACCTATCAAAAACAACCTCTAATTTATTTTCTTTGACGTAGAACGTCAAAGAATATAATTCCGGCAAAAACAAAGGAATTATCTGGATTATCTTAGGATTAACTGATGGATCACAATACTCTATTTTGAATAAATTTAACAGATGTTTGACAACTTCAATATACAATAGAGAAATTGCCAGATAAAATGCTATAATATATTGTATTATGATTCGCGTAATTTCTTTTACCACGCTTGTATTGGAGGGAATTTATAATAACTTTTATTTTATTTCGTATATTCGACGTATGGGGCATTGACCCTAACGCTAACGCCACATTAAGCCGATCTTCTGTCACCGATCATCCGCGACGGGACGCCAATATATCAAACGGCGCAGTGTAATTGAGTCTCAATCACACTACGTCGTAGATAGGCGTGCGTTAGCGTTTAACGTCGTTTATATCGGTGCTGCGTTAGGTCGTCAGCGCACCGATTTTCGGTTGGCGGTATATCGGCAACATCGCATATAATTTTCTTATGTGATGCGTCTCTCTCGACGGATATTGTGCGATTGCTCGCGTTAGTATTCATGCGACCGAAGATAAGCTGAATGTGACGTTAGCCTTAGTCTATGGTGATAAAGCTGTGTGTGTCACAGAAAATAAAACAAGTGCGCGTGCCAGCACAAAGCGGTGTGAAGTCGGTCGCGGACCCACCTGTCTTCGGCTGATGTAGATGGGTATCTGCGTCACATGCGCGTAGTGAAATAAAGAAAAAAAAAACACTCGTCTAAATCTAATCTAGTTATGTGCTCTCAAAGGTGTCTTTGTTACTATTATTTAAAAAAAAAATTAAAATAGGTATTTATAATGTCGAAACACTTAATTCATATTCCCATAAATATACCATAATGTACAGCTTTGCCTTATAAATTGATTTATTACTATAATTTATAGATTAATACAAAAAATCGATACCAAGTGTCTTTTGAACAGTTATAAAGGATAAAGGGATTGTTTTAGGTAAGGAAACCTTAATCGAACCACTAAGTTATATATATATATATATATATATATATATATATATATATATATATATATATATATATATATATATATATATATATATATATATATATATATATATATATATATATATATATATATATATATATATATATATATATATATATAATGCTTTATTGCGCTTGTACAAATGTTACATATAAAATAAAGGATTTATAAAGTCGCCTATTTGGTCGACATCCGTTAGTCTAGAGAATATTTCCATTCATTCGTGCTCGATATTTTTTTTTTTTTATATACAACATAAAATGGCAAACAAGCTGACCGCCCAACTCATGGAAAGTGGTAACCGTCGCCTATAGACATTAGCAGTACCATGCACATAACATTTAAAAATAAATCTCTTTCGTAATTATTCTTTCTTCCATCCTCTCTATATATCATTAATTAAAAAAAATAAATTTATATTTGTTAACCATGTATATAAAATTATTTTACAGCTAGGTATAATAAAAAAGAAATAAATGCATGAAGATTATGACTTTTATGTAAATAGCACTAAACAACTTTAAATTGTATTTAAAAAATATATATATTTTTTTAAAGTTCTTAAGAGTATACAAAAAAAAAATTAATTACGCCCATGGTTCGATTAAAGTCGCCTCAATTTAATTATTAATTAACAAAGACACCTTTCAAAATTAACTATAACATTGGTGCCTGTCTAAATCTATGTTAAGTAAACACTGTGAGGTTATTTTAACCGTTCTAGTTAAAGTGTAGAGAACTAGATGACAACTAGTTGAGAACACCCTGTGATTTTGATGGTAATTTAAGTATTTGAGTCACATTATAAGTGGTTCTATAACTTATAATTTTTTTTATTTACAGTCTCACAAGTATAAATTGACTTAGTTAACGTTATTGAACGCTATACCGTATGATTTGACCACCACTGTAATAGGAGAGTACATACTATGCCATTTGTATGGAGATTTTTCAGTTTCAACGATGATATAAAACGACAATTTAAAAGCTTGTTTAATAACTAACTATGCTGACAGTGTTTATGCAATTGCATACAATTTGATCTAGTATCATATGTAGAAATAACAAAGCATGAAAGGTATCATTGGGCGACACAGTATACTCTATTGGGGGAAAGGGATTGATAGTAATGGAGACTAAAAATGTTTTTACCTAATGGTTAGCTGGTAGAGAATGCCATATGGCATTAAGCTCGCCATTTGTACAAAATTATATTGTGCAATAAAGAATAAATAAATAAATAAAAATTCCATTGCTAGCAATATACCCAACCAGGTCGACCTCCTCGTGGTTCCCCCTGGAAACTATCATGGTTAATTTCTGATTAATTCATCATGATGGGCTAACTGGCCTGTTCTCATTTTCATCGATCACCCTTCACTGGTGCTCCGCCAGCGTATCCCGTTAGCGCAGGAGGGGTTACCATACCATTTTCACCCATCAAAAAAAAAAAAAACGGTATACACTGGCGGAGCACCAGTGAGAGATGATAGGCGAGCATGAAACCGGCCAGTTGGCCCATCTTGATGAATTCAACGATTATTATCTACAACGGTTTCCAGGTGGAGCTGCGTGGAAATCGACCTGCTAATATATATTGCTAGCAATGGGGAATAAGATTTCATTACTGCATTATCCTATCATGTATCCTGCATGGTACTATTCATTGTTGTAGGCTACCATTTACGATCAAGTGAGCCGTCTGCTTGTTTGCCATTCTAAGTTGCATAAAAACAAATTAGTGACGGTAAATCCATATGATATAAAACCGTGATAATGAAATTATAAAACCCAATTCAAATTATTGTAATAAAATAAAATAACCCTAGAACAATGCTAGCAATAATTTCATATATATACTTTTTATTTTTAATATATTTTTTTTAAAGTAATTAATCTTTTATTCTATACGATGAAGGTTACAATCGAGTACTTGTGAGGCTGTAAGCATTATTACTCCAATAGTGATTTATTTTCAAATATTCGAGAAAAGTCAGCAATTTTGAGTGTAAATTTTTTTATAATTAATGTTTTTTTTTTCAAATATACAAATAAAATGTTTGCCAAATCCATAGATACATGTTTCATGGATACTATATCCAAATTATATTAAAATAATTACAATAACGCATTAAACTAATAAAAATATATTACTTTATTATCTGTTTGACCATTTTAAATAAAGCAAGATCACCACTCTTATAGAAAGGAAACCTACTATATTATTATAAAATTTAGTTATTTAAACACAATATAGGTACAAAAATATATAATCTACCTTTTTAATTTAGCCATTTGTTTATGCACTATTATTATAATAGAAAAAAAAAAATAGCTAAGACTGTTTACAAACTGAAACAAGTATAGTAGTGACCTCTATAAATTAAATTTTACAAAATAAACTTATTTTATCTCCTTATATGGGGTTACACCACAATCTGTCTCATTTAGATCCATTGGATTTTCCCCCCTTTTTATTGTATTTTATTCCCCCTAACTTATTGTATCTTGTAGGCTTATGATATGTAAACTACATATATAATTAACTATGTAGCAACAAGTTAGTAAGTCATACAATATGAGAACTCGCATGAATCTCACTGATCACTTTATTAATAAACTAAAAGTATTTTATTTATTTTTTTCGTAGATTTTATACATCAGCCTTGTTTGCTACGGTTCACTGTTGACTTTAGTATTAAATTAAAAGTAATAAAAAATATTTATTTATTTAATTGAACATGAGAACTCACCGCCAGGTCCGTGGGTAACGGCGGCGGACGCTTGCGGCGGTTGGATCTTCGGCTCCGACTTGCGATTGATGAAATATTGAGAGAGCAATTTGTTACGTAGCTGATTGCCCTGTCGGATAGATAATAATAAAATAATATTAATAATTTGTATGTAAATGAACTGGAATTTAAGCATTTTCTATTTTTCTACCGCCTATATTACTAATACAGTGAACGCTCTATATAAGCAACCTCTCTATAAGCAACATTCTTTATATATTATTTAATCTACTCAGCTTAATTAGTAAAAGAAATAAGTAAAAATATTTTCCAGACGTTAGATAGATAGATAGATACTCTTTATTGTTACCTCCAAAAGATTACAATAGTAAACTTAATATAAATACAAATAATTACAAGAAATAATCACAATGAGAAAAAAAAAACCTTATCGCTAAAAGAGATCTCTTCCAGGCAACCTTTGAATGGAGAGGAGTAATTATAAACAATTTGGTGGGAGGCACGGTATGTATTTTTATACATCTTTTTTTCCTATAAGCAACTTTTCCCAATAAGATTTTTTTTTATTGAAATTGTTTCAAATAAATTGCTTATATAGAGCGTTCACTGTATAATAAAATTGTAATTAGATGACGTCTGTACATGCATCTTTATTTCTTTTTTATGCCACAAATGTAACAAACTAACATACAGAATGTTTGATAGTAAACGCTCACTATAGCCTATCTGTTTTCTCTTTTTTTAATTTTGTCTGTCAGCAGGTCTAATTGTGTATAAGACAAAAAAATTCCGCCGCTATTTCGATTTACAACTTTAACTTTCCAATATAACTCTACATTTTAAAAGCCAGTATGTATGTTATGTTAGTTTTATGTTCTCTAACTGTATCTCGCGATTTATATATCAGCCCTTACCAGTCATCATAATTAGCCTTTAACTGTCCACTGCTGAACATAAGCCTCCCCCTTGTGGGAGTTTTGCAAGTAGTTACCACGCTTGGCAGACGAATTGACAGCCACAGTAAAGCTTTAGAGATGTTTTTCAGAGGGACGATACTGCCCATCCCTCGCCCTCTCTTAGTCAGCTCTTACAACACTCACGGGAAAGGAAGGGGTGGCCTACTCTATGCCGGGACCACATGGCCAAATAATAATAATAAAATACTATATATTTTATAATTAATATAGAATATATATTAAGTTTCATTCAAATCTGTTCAACTTAAGGTATTAGCAGGACGTTACCTTCTCACCGTACTCGGGGTCGACGGCCATCATTTCGCGGAGTGTACGCAGCACTTTGACGCACAGCTTCTCCTCTTTCTCTTCTAGAAGCTTCTCTGTATGACGTATTAGCCTGAAGAGAAGTTTAAGGGTGTGTTAAATATGTATATAAACATACACTGTTGTGTATGTTAATTAATAAAATCTATTCCTTAAAAATAGTGTAATCAAATTAATTAAATACATTACTAATAATATTCATTAATAGGATTTCAGAAAAAAATTCTTACCTTCCCTATTAATGAATGATGTTTTATCACAACATACATAATTAAGTTTATATATATATATATATATATATAAGATTGTTTCTAAAAAAACCCGACTTCAATATTGTCAATTCAGTTAATCTACTAATACTATTAAACTAAACTCCTGATCCAATCTTGATAACATTTTTATAAGACCAATTTGAAAGTGCTCTTTCAGATAAAAAAAAAAAAAAAATTTCATACCAGTTTACAACTGCCAGAATTATGAGGTAACAAAAATATATTAATACAATCGAATTGGGAATCTTTTTTGTACCCCGTGTGGGTGCAAATTGAAAATCAGCGCTGAACGAACATCAGTCCAGCAAAAGCTGAGTTTGTACCTATTGCCAGGCGCATACGATTAATGGACAATATATTGATTAATTAATTTATTTATTTATGCTTTATTGACCACATTACAAATGTCTGGTACAAAAGGCGGACTTAATACTATATAGCATTCTCTCCCAGTCAACCTTTGGCAAAACAGAAATATATATATATTAATATATGTACATTATAATTTGTAAAGAATGGCAATAAATTTTATTATTATATTATATTAAGTCGACGGAAAATATTGTATACGTATATAAGTATATACATATACAATGGTCTATCTACCTAGATATAAATATGCCGCTGGTGTCCGGCTGGGCGACTTCGCCGGCGCTGGTGAAGAGCAGGTGCGGCTTGTACAGGATGTCTACGAGCAGCGACAGCTCGGCCTGCAGCAGCGGCCGCAGCTGCTCCTCCAGCAGGGACACGATCTCCTGAAGGCCCTCCATCACTGATCTGTCGTTTTGCAGGTTCGACTGGAGGACAACATTTTTACATATCAATTTATCAGTCCTTACTAATATTTATTTCCTTATTAATAATAATCCCAACGATAGTCACTCTGTGTTCATGGTTAAATTAAAATGTTAATGTACCTCGCCATTGCATTATATTTATTTATAATTTATAATAATTTAATTACAATTTCCATTATTTATATTATATTATTATTCATATTGTTAATATCTTTACTCATATAATGACATTTAATAATTTAATTCTAATTTAATGTTTATCAAACTTCAGGCATGCTGTGTTTGCCTATAAATGTAGAACATTATTTAATCTGAATGTATAGTTTGTTTATTTATTTTTTTTTATACAACTTAGAATGGCAAACAAGCTGACATCATTTGGAAAATGATAAATGTCGTTAATTTTAATGTGAAGTAATACAAAAGGCGCCCTTATCGGTAAGCAATGTCTTCCACACATTCACAACTCAGTGTAGAGCTCTGTACCCAGCAAATTCTGTATTGTATTGAAATGTTTCGCTGTATCTTATGTAGGTAATCCTAAAAATAAATAATAAAAAAATGTAAATGTTGGGTTATTCCCTTCATAGTATATCCTCCTTTTACGGGAAGAGTTCTGTGTCCAACAGTGGGACAGTTATTCGTTATTACGAACAACGAATAGTTATTTAACAACAAGTATTTAAAAAAAAAGTCCATTTCATACACGCGACCGCATCATGTGTAGATAAGAGTTATTAAGTAAGCAAGCTTTTAAGCCCGCAACTTAATCCGCATCATCGAGATATGTTCACTGACCTTCCGGTCATCTATCTATCATCATCTATCTCTATACCAAAATTCATCATAATCGATTCAGCGAATCAGACGTGAAAGATCAAGAGAGAAAATAAACCCATATCGCATTTATAAGAGAGAGATAAACTACAAGATTCCTGTACTTTTGTGTTTCATCTTCTCCAGTTGTCGGCTGTGTTTCGGTTTGAGGTTTTGGACGCCAGCAGCCACTTGCTGGTCTGGCGCGACAGGGCCGCTGCCTTCTCGAACACCGTTTGTATCTTGGCCTCCATTCCAGGTATTGCTATACTTATGGATTTACCACTTTTAAGTGTTTGCACTTGTGAATCAATGCTACATTATTTAAAATCAATGTATATTTTATTTATTTATTTTACATTTTACTACATCATTTATAAAATAATAAATGTAGTTAATTTTAATGTGAAGTGATACAAAAGGCGCCCTTATCGGTAAGCAACCTTTTTCAGACAACCCTTGTGTAGACGGCATTGAGCAAAAAAAACAAAATGTAAGTGGTGCACTATTACATATAAACAATACATAAATAAATAAATATTTATACTAAAATTATGACATCTAATTTAGTTTATACTTAAATTTATGATTTTTGATTAAAAATCATAAATTTAAGCATTTGTTTTATTTAGAAACTCGATTTTAAATCGAGTTTCTAAATTATAATAATATAAATTTAAATTTTTGTTTAAAAAAAAATAGATGAGTTTATGACCCATTATTCTAGGTCGAAATTTATAATACAATTATAAATTAAGAAAGTAAATAAAAAGTGATTTAGCACTTAGTATAACGGCTAAATTAAAAAGGTCTACATTGAAAAGCACTAAATTTAGAGGTTTTTAAATTAATAAGTGCTAAAACTAAGTTTACTTTTTTTTTTATAGCACTGAGGTAGCAAACAAACATACGGCCCACCTGATGGTAAGCGATTACCGTAGCCTATGAACACCTGCAATACCAAAAAAAACCCCAGGTAGACCTTCAATAGCAAAACTAAAATAGCAAAAAAGTTGTATAAAAATTAACGACAGAAAATAGTTTCTTTAAAAAAAAAACACCTGCAATACCAGAGGTATTACGCGCGCGTTGCCGACCCTGAACAAACCTCTTTATCCCCCCTTTTGAAGAACCCCATGCAGTAGTCTCTTGGGAAAACCTCGGGAAAAGCGTATATTTATATGACTAACCGACTTCGCTGAGGGTGCGTATGCACTTCTCGACGTTGAGCTTCTGCGGCGGACTGAGCCACGGACACTGGTAGATGCTGAACGTGGTCTGCAGCAGCTTCACGAATATCGACTGCCGCGTCTGTAGGAGTATACCATGGATATGGACTTTCTTTTATGCCACTTTGAATTAAAAACTAAATGTAGCTATAATATCACTATTTTGTTATTGTATTACTTTTTCATTAATTTATCTTTTACAATTCTGTCAACATCAATATTGGTAGTAGCTAGAAAAGATTTGGCGGGACGTATAAATTCAAGCCGCGGGCCGCATGTGGGCCGCGGGCCATGGTTTGGACAGCTCTGCACTTAAAGGATACCATGAGCGTCACAGTATATTCGAAGAATAATCTTTATTTAAACATACTTGATTAGAAGCTTATACTCACATGAGAAAACATCCATAATGACAACAAAAACAGATAAAATATTTCAATATATGTATAAAATAATAACACTTTTATTTCTAAATATTTTTTTATTAGTATGCATGTATGAAACTAGGATACGATTTTATATGTCATTTTTTATGTAGTTTTATTTATCTTAATAAAAATTAAAATAAAAAAAAACAAAAATTAAATTAATGATCAGTCCCATTCATGATCCGTACCCGACCCAAAGGTCCCCATGACACTTGCGGCATTTCCGCGTTGGATCGCCAGAGATATCCTTTGAGCCAGATACTATCCGCAATGAGCAGACTCAACTCTCTTATAAAGGATTTTGCTTCCGCTCCCCACACGCCCGTAGTCTCAAAAGCAATGGGAACGAAGATGTAAGCTGGTTCGAGAATCTTAAAATGTTAATATTATGTAAGCATATTTGGTTTCTGAACACTTTGTTCGACATTTTTTCTACCCGTTGGTATCAAAGTAGCGCGCCCATTTCTCTACAAACATTCACTGCTATATAATCATCATATCAGCTTTTAACTGCCTACTGCTGGAGATAAGCCTTTCCCTTGGAGGTTTTGCCAGTAGTTGCCACGCTTGGCAAGCAGATTGGCAACCGCAGTAAGGCAGGTCCATAACCCTTTCAGACCCAAGATTTTTTTTCTTTCAGATTAAATATATTTTCGTGTTTTGGAGCCAAGCCACCTTGCCGGCACGCACGAGACTACCGCACCACCTAACCGCTAAAATGATTTCTTATTGGCCGGTTTAGAATCTCACTATCATGTTATTTCAGCTTCGTGCGTAAAAATGAATTGCGCGCGGTTTTAGAATTTTTTAAAGATACAACTCACGCCCGTATCGTTCAGGTCTGAAAGGGATAAAATAGAATAAATTATTGTATTATTTTATTTCTAAATTCCGCAAAGTGATGCGCGGGTGACCTGGTACATATATGAAATACAAGTATATATCAGGTATATCTAAATCAGGTACCAATCTTATTATTATATAAACTTTAACCACAGTATATACATATATTTATTGCATGTCTATTTTTTTTTGTATTTTAATCTATTTTACTTTTCTTTAAGTATTGTACATTTGTAAGTAACCCTGCGGAGTGAGGCCCTAGTGACCTGTAATACAGGTATTCTTATACCTATCTCAGGCAACAGTCTCTCACAATTATATATATAATTTGATTACTTTAATATAAACATGTCTCATTGTATCTCACTGTGATGAATTGTGAAGAGAAAATAAATTTATTTATTATTATTATTAATTTAATTTAGAAACATTGTGCCGACTCACCTGTACAGTCGTACTCTGATCGCTAAATGGTGAATTGAAGAACGTGCATATGGTGTGCATAAGGACGTCTGTCACATAGTCCACCCATGCTTTCTTGGTGTCGGGAGGCTGCGTTTTTGATGATGATGATGCACCTTCGGAAGACCCTATAAACATTTATTTTTAAATATATATAATAAAAAAAATAGAAACAGTACTCAATAAATGTAAGTATTTATTTTATTTATTTATTTCTTATTGCATTCCATAATATAATTAGTAGATAACATTTCAACTTCAATTATGGAACCTGTTGGGTACAGTCTATTTATTTTTTATTGTAAAATGCGAACTAAGGTTAACAAGGTAAAATATAATTTAAAAACATTATAACACGGCTTTAGAATGTACAAATATGGAGTACTTGTTAAGACATTTTTTTTTTTTGTATAGATGAAATATTTGAAATAAAATAAAGGAGCAAGTCTTTGGAGTCCCCTAGTAAAAAAATGAAAATATTTCTTAAATTATTCCTTTCGGCCTGTACTTATTGTACAGGCCAATATTTAAAACTATTCCAAATTTAAAATTAATAATATTTATAATTGTTAAAATATAGCGTTTGTAACACTTTATTATTTAATAAGTTTCACCATTAGGGTTCCTTTCTACCATTTTTGTGTGGAACTCCAAAAAGTAACGAGGCGGTGGGATACTGGGACCACGCCAATTGTATGCTCACCAGCGGCATCTGTTTGCAATATGGCCTGCATGTCCTGCAGGAAGGAGCGCTCGAACAGGTCCCACATGTAGTTGCTGGAGTAGATCTCCTTCATCTCCACCTCCGTGTCTATGTAGCAGTGGTTCAGGAAGCCCACGTACGCTTCTTTCACCTGACAGATACGTATTAATGAGTGCCGCACTATTCTTTCTATTTATTTAAGCTAGGTTACCCTGTCTGGGGACACTACTCAGAATACCCAATGTGGCATTATTTACGTTCAAAAATGATAATAAAGTGAAATGACCAATCAGAACATTTTGCACCTTATACGTAAAACTTAGAAACCTATTTTAACTATTAGTGTTTTGAACTTTGCTGTCAAATTGAGAATTTACCATAAAAGAAAAACATAATACACATCAATAGCTACTGTAAGTAAGAATAAATAAATAAATATTTATTCCTTATTGCACAATAAAACTTTGTACAAGTGGCGAGCTTAATGCCATATGTATGTATAAGTTATATTGTAAATCGTCGAATATAGAAAGTACTTTAAAAAAAAATTATAAAAAGAAAATTGTGTATTTTTTATTAGAATAATGGAGAATAAAAAAACAAAAGGGAACAACGAATTAAAAATTTAAAATTATATCAAATTGTATCATAATATTTCCAGCCATTATCAACAAGTTTATTAGTTGTTTGTCCTTTTTTTATGAATAAGGGGGTAAATAAACATGTTTACCCCCTTATCCATAGACAATAGTCTATGGTAACCTCTGGTATGCAGTCCGGATGCGTGATCATGGCGACGATGTCGTCAAGCGGCAGTAGACTGTGACACTTGATCTCTGTGTACACATTCTTGCCCATCGTGCAACATGTCAGCAACTTCACCAGCTGAATGTGGTAACTGGCGACAAAGTTGTATTACTTTATTTATGTACTGTTTTAAGTATGTGAGGTATTTTTTTAAAATTAGGGTATGATGAGGCTGACATATCCTAATAGGATAAAAGCCTCTAAATAAGAGATAAAAAAAAAGTTGTATTACATGCACCACATGATACAAAAGTGCTGTACACTACACTATAAACCGCTACTCCTACCATAGTTGGTTCTATTTCTATTCTATATTTCTTATTTTCATTATCGTATCTATCCCATATATTTATCACTGTCTTATGTATTATATATGTATTTATACATAACATCTCGTGCACACATGTGTCCGTGAGTTACGTATTTAGGGCCTACTGAAAATCAGTGTCGTAGCTTAGAGTTAGGTGCTTTGCACAAACTGCTACATCCATCTATTTTTTTTTTTCTTTTTTCTAATTTTAAAATAATGATGTTATTATACATTTATGTAATCTTAGTTCTTATGTTGTTTTGAGAGTACTAGTCTTGTCATATTATCATGTATAATTATACAGTATTTTTTTATGAAAGAGAGCATAGCTAATGATTGACACATTAAGTAAAAAGTTTGTCGCAATTTGCATCCTTTTGTTGTCAATAGAGCTCTTAGTAGAATATAAGTTTTGAAAAATTTGTAGCTATAGTAAGTATATCTGATCTTTTGGTTGCGGATTTACAGTTATCACCTCTCTATATTTGTAATCTGTGATTTTGTCGGTCTTTCCTCATATTTAACTTAATTTTTTTACTAATCTCAGTTATGTCATTTCTGACTTTTTTGTTTTATTAGTTGTAGTTAGTAATTTAGCTCTAGTTTGTATCATTTCTCTTGTTTTAGCTGTTAGCCATTTTATTTTAAGGATTTTATCATTTTTTCGATTTACAATACTTTTGTTCAGGATTTCTTGTAGTTTATCGTATCTGTCCTGAGTATTTAATTGTTTTGTGTTTTCTATAAAATCCTGTAAATAAATAAATAAATAAATAAAATAAAAATAGATCTAGGATAACTTCCATCATCATTATCATCACGCTATCATCGTACTCGCACGCGCACACGCACACGCCCACACAAACCATGCACCTACGTGTACCCAAACTCACATGAAACATTATATAATTAAATTAACCCTGTTCGCCGCACCATAACTGTAAAATTACTTGCTTTGACTTCCACGAGACAGGCTTTGCCTAATGTGGGCTCATAGCTATATTGTACCATAGGCTAATTTTGTTTAAGGAAATAAAGATATTCTTATTAACTGTCCGCTGCTGAACATAAGCCTCCCCCTTGGGGGGTTTTGCCCGTAATTGCCACGCTTGGTAGGCGGATTGGCAACCGCAGTCAGGCTTTAGAGATGTTTTAAAATGGACGCTACTGCCCATCCCTCGCCCTCTCTTAGTCACCTCTCACGACACTCACGAGATAGAGGGTTACAATCAACAAGTTACTTATTTCTTGGCTATCTAAGGGAATACCCGATTCTTTTATAATTTCTTTTACAATCAACAAGTTCACCCCTACTTTTTCCTTTTTCTTGGACTCCAAAAAATGACGTATTGTATGCCGGGATCACGCAATGCCCCTTATATATATACATATACATATGTATATATATATATATATATATATTTATATATATATGTACATATATATATATATATATATATATATATATATATATATATATATATATATATATATATATATATATATATATATATATACTAGACATTTAACATTGAAAGTACATAAAAAACTCACGTTAAAGCTTCCGGCATTTCGTTGGTCTGTTTATATTGTCTCATCATTTGAATAAAGTAGTTGAATGATACTTTGTCGTTGTAGAAAATTAATACGTCTTCACCGGCGTTTACCATCTGTGGACAAAATTATTAGAATTAAAAGAATTTAAATAGGGCTTCCATAATTAGTTATTCACAAAGACAATATGTTTAGTACTTAAATTATATAGGTAGATAGCGTGTCTCCATACAAATACTACGAGAAAAGCGGGACAACATTTTCATACAATATTTTATTCATACAAATTGCGTGATAAATAGTTATGAGTGATTCCTTTATAACTTCTATGTTTATTTTGTTTTATAATCTCTGCATCCTTTTATTGCTTACGCATATCAGTGATGTAACAATAGGGTGGCAAGGCTGGCAAAATGCCACGGGCCCCCGACCCTAAAGGGCCCCGGCTCAACAGGCCGCGAGCTCAGTTTTTTTTCTTACATTCTTCCTGAGTATTTTATTTTTACTGATAGGGCCCCATCAGTGTCACCATCCCACCAGAGGAAGACTTTGTACAAAAGTCGATTGCTTGGGTACCTCTGTCCCATTCGTGTTTCAACCGTGAAGCAGTTGTGTTTGCATGGCTGTGTTTCGGTTTGAAGGGTGGAATATGGCGTGAATTTACTGGGTACAGAGGAATAACACATGAGGCTTTAGGAATGGTAACGCATGGGGGGTATTATGGGCGAAACAGTATACTCTGTTATATCCATGGTACTGCTCATGTCTATAGGTGACAGTTACCACTTTCCATCAGGTGGGCCGTCAGCTTGTTTGCCATTCTAAGTTGTATAAAAAAAAAACCCCATCAGTATGGGAATTTGCCACAGGCGCCAAATGGTGTAGTTACGCCATTGACGCATATTATTAATTAAATATAGAGACGTCAAGATACATTATGTGCGTAACTATATAGAAGACTGACAAAAATAATCACTTAATTTGACAATTATCTGATGAAAAGTTGATCCGTTTTTGAAGCTGGACGGTCTATCCCTTTCAGACCCAAGATTTTTTTTCTTTCAGATTAAATATATTTTCGTGTTTTGGAGCCAAGCCATCTTGCCGGCACGCACGAGACTACTGCACCTAACCGCTAAAATGATTTCTTATTGGCTGGTTTAGAATCTCACTATCGTGTTATTTCAACTTCGTGCGTAAAAATGAATTGCGCGCGGTTTTAGAATTTTTAAAGTTACAACTCACGCCCGTATCGTTCAGGTCTGAAAGGGATATCTATATAATGTAATGTGGAGTGTTTGTTTTAGTCGTGAGAGCGCGAGCGACCTCCTGCATGACGAGGTCCTGGCTGCGGCGGATGTACTGCGCGTCGGCGTGCACGATGGTCTGCAGGAAGCGCAGGTAGGCGGGGCGGCGGCCGCGCGACTCGATGCAGTGCACGAAGTGCGCGACCACCTTCTCGTTGCCCTCGTGCGCGCACAGCGCCGCGTTGTCGCTGAACATCGCGCACACGGTACGCGCTTCGCGGATCTGGAACATGACACCTATGTACACCATTATGTACTTTATATGTATAAGTCAATATATTTTATATATGTATAAGTCTATTTGTTATTTATATATATAATTTCTAGTATTGTATTCGAGTATTCTGACACTTCACTATGGTTGAAACACAAGTCTCGTGCCCGACGTTTGTTCGTTCATCGGCACGCTGATCTTCCGACGACGAAAAATCGGCAACGACGTATTGTACGTTTTCTTTCGAAGTCGAGATGCATGTTTGAATTTAGAATGCAGAGTGCGAGCACATCCAGGTGTTGAGGCCAAAAATGTTTTTAATTCAAATTTAGAACGCCTAGACGACTTACTTACCCCGGCGTTGAGGAAGAGGTCGAGATGCTTGTGCAATATGGCCTGGTTCTGCTGATTGCCGTGACAGAAGTGCTGCAGGAACTCGTGCGCGAGCGCCAGCAGCTCATCCATCGCCGCATCGTCCTCGTCGTGAGGCACCTGGACACACGTATATGTTGGTTATATGTATAATATATACATAACTGATAAGAAATAAGAGGAGGATTGTTTATAGGGTTCTTATGTTTTAAAGTGGTGTGACTCGGTGTGATTACATATGTCTCGAAATACATTAAAAGATTTTTAATTTATTTTATTCAAATTGCGACATTACAATATCACTGGTCTGTTAATTATTGCTTGATCTAGTTAACTTTACGCGATCCTTTCTGAAAGAGGAAACCATCATGGTTAACTTTTCATCACGATGATCCAACTGCCTGAACACACCATTCCAAATTCGTTTTAAAAAAAACGTTTATTGTTTATACTTATTTAAAGTCTAAAAATACTAATTTAAAATCGATTGCTTAGGTACCTCTGTCCCATTCGTGTTTCAACCGTGAAGCAGTTGTGTTTGCATGGCTGTGTTTCGGTTTGAAGGGTGGGATATGGCGTGAATTTACTGGGTACAGAGGAATAACACCCGAGTCCTCAGGAATGGTAACGCATGGGGGGTATCAAGGCCGAAACAGTATACTCTGTTATGTACACGGTACTGCTCATGTTTATAGGCGACGGTTACCACTTTTCATCAGGTGGACCGTGGAGCTTGTTTGCCATTCTAAGTTGTATAAAAAAAAAACTTGTTAAAGCTATAACCTTGGTTAATATGGATAAAAACATATTACGCCGGTTCCAAAATTTACATAATTGCGATAAAGGCAAGATAACGATGATGATTGCTTTTACTTATTTAATATGCAACTTGATTGTACTCGCCTGCAGCAAATCCAGTACGATATTGTGAACGCCTATATTCCTGAGAAGTCTCTGCTCGTGCCGCCGCGGCCTGGTCGACTCTTCCGCGCCACTGTTGCCTTGCGTGCAGTATTTTATCATTCGTTGAAGTATCTAGGAAAAACATATTAATTAACTTAGATGTGCCAACAGATATTTTATTTTTCTTTTTTTTTTTAAGTTAATTTAAAAAATAATTTAATTATAAAATTGGTGTTAATGTAACAAACAACTTAAATATCTCATATATATATATATATATATATATATATATATATACATATACAGGATGTAGGGCATAACACCTTACTTCTCAGGATTGGCAACACATGAAAGGTATTGGCGACACAGTATACTCTGTTTCATCCATGGTACATGGATATGGGCGACAGTTATCACTTGAATTAAGGTGGCACGTCAACTTGTTTACCATTGTAAGTTGTATAAAAGATATAAAGGCAATCTGTAGCCAACAGCATTGTAGTTTGAGAAATGAAACAAAAACCCATTGTAGGCATATTAAAACTCACTTCTTTAATTTTCCTGTATTCGTTCATATGATCGTGCCTGGCCGTTCTAGAAGTCTCTAGAACATTGTCGAGTGAGGCGTTGCGTTCTAGCACCGCACCGCCCGGACCCACTGTGCCAGTTAGACCTGCATTAAATGAAAAAAACTTGACCTTAGTGGTGTTATGGTATAACATATTGATTCAGATGGAAGGGTATTGTTAACAATAGGATCTAGGAAGGGGAAAGAGGTTGTTAGTAATGCAAATTACCAGTCTCATTGCTAGCAATATAGGATATTTTTTAGGTCGACGTCCACGCGGTTCACCCTGAAAACTATCGTGGTCCAAGTTCCAATTCCAAGTGTATTCATCATGATGGGTTAATTGACGCGTCTTTTCATCCTCACCTATCATCCTTCACTGGTGCCCCGCCAGCATATGCTGTTAGTGCAAACGGGGTTAGCATTCCATTATCATCCATTAAAAAAATAGGATTTAGGTACCTCATTGCTTGTAATATATTTATTTGTATTTATAATATATTATATATGTTTTTATTTGTAATACAAATATCAGGTCAACCTCCACGCGGACCCCCTGGAAAGCATCAAGGCTAACTGACCTAATATCATTCTCATCTATCATCTTTCACTGGTGTCTCCTACCATATACTGCGCAGGTAGGGTAGGTTACTATTCCATTTTCACGACGACTTGGTTTACCATCAGTAGTTGAACATACTGTCCTTTCTTTCGGTTTACCATAAATAGTATTTAAATAACAAACTTCGTCACTTATACATTTATAATATATTTTTTATGGGTGAAAATGGTAACCTCGCCTGCACTAACGGGATACGCTGGCGGAGCACCAGTGAAGGGTGATAGATGAGAATGAAAACAGGCTTAGTTAGCCCATCATGATGAATTCATCAGGAATTAACCATGATAGTTTCCAGGGAGAACCGCGAGGAGGTTGACCTGGTTGGGTATATTGCTAGCAATAGGATTCTCGGTCTCCATTACTAACAATCCCTCCCCCCCATTTATAATATTAAGTTTATATTTAATTCATAGGTCCCGGCATAAAATGGACCATCCCTTCCTTTACCGTAGGAGTCGTAAGAGACGAGTAAGGAAACTTAATGATTAAAAGATATACTGCAGCATGCTTATCGAAACTTCGCCCAAGCCTAACTTCGATTACCAACCCGCCTTCCAAACGTGGCAACTATTGGCAAAGCAAAAAAAAAACAAAAGCTCCCTCTGAGAAGGAGATTTATGTTCAGCAGTGGGTAGTTTTTTTTAATGGATGATAATGAAATTGTAACCCCACCCGCGCTATCGGTATACACCGGCGGGGCACCAGTGAAGGATGATAGGTGAGGATCAAGTAGGTCAGTTAGCGCATCGTGACGAATTCCACAAGAATTATACACGATGGTTTCCAGGGGGAACCACGTGGAGGTCGACCTAATAAGGCATATTGCTAGCAATGGGGCTGTCAAACTCCATTACTAACAATCCCTTTCCCCTCAGCAGTGGGTAGTTAACGGCTGACACGATACAATTTAAATTATAAAATAAACATACTGGAGTGGTCATCCAGGAGGCCGGCCCTGCCTTTGTTGAAGACCCAAAGTTCCGATTTCTCGACGCTTTGTCGCAGTAAGTCTAGATCCGCCTTGATCTGTTTGTATGACTCCACGTCCGCATCCGACACTAGCAGTTGTACCTTGAAATATTATAACATACATTATATTAAAAAAAAAAAAAAATTTTGGGCCCGTGTCGTTACCGTGGGCGATGAGAATGGGCCACCCCTTCCTTTCCCGTGGGTGTACTAAGAATCGACTAAGGGAGGGCGAGGGATGGACAGCAATGTCCTCTTAAAACATGCCAAACGTGGCAACTACTGGCAAATATATAAATACCCGGCATATATTCAGCAGTTAACGGATGCAATAATAAAAATAATAAACAATAGACACAAAGACAAAATAACAATGGAAAAGTTAGAAATAATAACTACTGATTGAGACAAAATGTGTGTATACCTGTTTGAAAGCAGCTAGCACCTCCTGCCGCTGACTGAAGTGTCGGAACAGCAGAGCCAGCGCCCCGGACACGAGCGCCGCGGACGCGCCCTGCGAGCACAGCTGCAGCAGCACCCGCAGCACCATCCGACCGCCGCACTCGTCCAGGTCAAGGCCGTCTCTATATAGTGTTCATTTTGTCACCATTACGTATTTGTTCGATTTGGCATTTGTCTTGGCGGAACTATGACGTCATATTCTTTATTTAAATTTTCTACTCATTCTGTAATGTTGGCAATATCTGCATTACTTATCTAATTGGAAAACAAAACAAGATCTAGATAAGATAGGCATTGCATTATTTGTCAAATATCAAAAACGTAAACGGTTTCGAAATTAGATTCGTTTTTTTTTTGGGTAAACATACTTAAGTAACAAGATATTTTCACTTATTACAAATATTATGATTATTTTTTAATTCCATGGAATTAAATTTTGAGTGGACTTAATTTAATAAATTAGTAGTAAGTTTTTTTCTGTAAAAAAAAAGTGGTAAAATTGGGACCATTTAAATTGTTTGCATGTTTCAATCTATAATGCATTATGACGTCATAGTTCCTGTACATAATTGTACTAGCGAGCTTTTTTCAACATAATTTAAAAGTTGTATGAAGTTTTATATACTGAGTACATCTATGCTTTTCATAAAAAAGTTATTTTTATAACTTGTGTGTTTAGGTTACTAAACTAAGATTTTAGCTCGAAGAAAGTGCATCCAATGTTATTTAAAACAATGTTGAAACAAACTCTTCGTCATGTACATAAGGTTCAGTATTCAAATCACAAATCCACAGATGTCAACGCTAGGACATTTCAAAGGTATGTGATACATTAGGAAATATTTTTAAAGAAAAATAATCCTAATTAGAAATTAATATTATTTGGACAGGAGTGTTAGTTTGGTTTCAAGCTCGGTTGTGCTTTTGTTAGGGTTCAATACTAGAACTATATAATTCATCACATGTCAATAGAGGGCGTTAGTGAGCAGATACATAGGAGTCTAATTATGAATGAATACACAACTATTTGCATTATACAATATTTTTTTGTTATATCACGAATGTGGAAAATAAGTACACAACCTGTTGGATCGTAAACGATCACTGTAGGCCTATGGAAGCCTGCAATACCAGGAGTTTTAGTGAGCATTACCGTCTCCAAAAAATTAATCAATATACGAAATAAAAGAACGTAAGCAAATAGATAGATAGATAGATATTTATTGTTTCCTTTAAAAGATTACAAGAAATGTTAATACTGGAAAAAGAATGGACGGCCCTATCGCTAAAAGCGATCTCTTCGAGACAACCTTTGCATGGAGAGTAGTTATAAATAGTTATAAGAGATAAAAGACATGATACGTACAACATAGGTTTGTTGGGGGGAAAGGGATTATTAGCAATGGTGTTTGACAGCCCCATTGCTAGCAATACACCCTATCAGGTCAACCTCCACGTGGTTCCCCCTGGAAACCATCGTGAACAATTTTTGTTGAATTCCTCAGGATGGCCTAACTGACCTACTTTATCCTCATCTGTCATCCCTCACTGGTGCCCCACCGGTGTATACCGATAGCGCGGGTGGGGTTACCATTATCATCCATTAAAAAAAAACTTAGGTTTGTTCAAGCTATCAGTAAATTCAATACATTCAAGGTCACCAAACATTAATTGAATAATTAAGCATACATTTCGCCTGACGATAAATAAGTACAGTTTCTGAAAGCTTACAGTGCTGGAGATATTGCTCGCGAGTAACTATTAACTATTATATCTCACTTTAAGAAAGTTAAGGTCTACATGCAAGAAACCTTACAACCAATTAACTATACCCACTCACTAGCGCCATCTATTGACAGACGAGCTACATAGTAATATCATTATAATATGAGTAAGGTAATATCGATGCAAAAGCTACGTGCTTTCTGGACAACACAAACACATTTTGATCAGTATGTTAGAGAAATCCAAAACATAAATCAATTAGAAATATCATTAGAATATAAAAGAAGAAAACACATTTAAAAATCATCAGGAAATTTGAGGGTATTTTTAATAGATTTTGTTAAACATACTGTGCTATAGTTAAGATTGCTTGTTAACTAAATGGGTAGATATTTTGACAATTTTGAATTGTATTTGGGGGTCAGTTCGTTGTATGTACGAATGGTAATAATAGTGATAGGTTAGTTGCGTTATTGGATTTAATCCTAATATGTGAAAGGTTTAACAATAACTTAATAGTTTTTTTTTTAACAGAAAACATATATAGGAAATAAAATTTTTAATAGATTTTAACCAAAACGCTTCGTCGAAAACGCTTTCGCCACCGTCGGACGTCTTCATATATTTATGTTTTTTTTTTTTAATCAAGCATGAGAATAAAGATCCCTCAAGTGCGAGTCGAGCTCGAAGAATAAGGGTACAAAATATTTAGAAAACATAATTTGTGATTTAACTACAAAATTAGGGTATTTGAATTTTTTCCTTTACTTGTGTCGTACGACATTACTTTTTGAGAATTTACATGATCCTAGGTCCACAGGAATTACATTATAGGTTTCGATTCTCTTGCAAATGTAAAAAATATATGCTATAAACGATCGTTTTGATTGCGTTGACTTAAAAGTGCGATTTCTTTTCAGCTTCATGAGATTGTAGATTAATCTTATATTAATATAACAGGAAGGTATCACGCCGAAATTAATTTGTTCCTGAGAAAAAAGCACCTTGACAGACGGACGGGCAGATGGACGACAAAGTGATACTATAAGGGTTCCGTTTTTCCTTTTGATGCACGGAACCCTAAAAAATATATATAAATATAGAAGTACCTATGTCAGTCTCATACTATTTATTCATGTTTACAGTAGGTTCTTTTTTTAATTTTTTTTTTAATATTTTTAAATGAAATCTTTTCACTACAAGAACATTATTATTTTTTATATAATTTCGAATTTCGAATTCGAGAGTGACATATATTGTTAAACCTTGCACATGGTGCATGTGTTAGTGCAGCCAACATGCACTGTATTAAAGTCTTACTAACAAATCTACATTTTTTGGGAGACAGCTGTCGGGCACAGTCTGTATCGCTCTGAAATAATTATTTCACATTAGTACTCGATGCAACATGTAAATACTAGCCACAAACAATGGGGAAATACAACTGTTCCACTATTTAGTACTAGTGATTCGCCCGGGATTCGCACGGATAGATTCAAAGATAAATTAGTATTTTATATTAGCTTTAATAGGTAAATTTTTTATACTTTCTGTAACATTATTGTAATTTTGGTAGGAATCTCTCATTTTTTTAGAAAATAACAAATAAATATAAGCAATAGATTTTTTTTTTTGAGCTTTGCTTTTCCAATTTTTAAATTTTCACTAATATTATAAATGTGAAATTTGTACTACAATTTGTTGTAATTTTTTTATAATACTATAATGGCTAACAAGCTTACAGTCCGTCTGATGGAAAACGGGGTTAACATAGTCTTTGGGCACCTGTAATACCAGTGATATCACACGCACGTACTGACACTAAAGAAATCTTTTTACACCCTTTCTGCAGACATAGAAGGATATTTTTACCATACATTTTTAATATAATATTACAGAAGGACAAGCTAATTTATATCACGATTAATCGGCCGGGGATAAACACGAATCCCCTTATTCATAAAAGCGTCAAAGATTCTCATAAACCTATTTTAGCTATTGAACTGTTTTGTCTCTTTCTTTAACACAAAATTCCCAATTAGAAAGAAAGTGACAAAACGATGTATAAGTTAAAGTAAATTTGTAGGTTTAAGTTTTTACGCATAACCCTTTCAGACCCAAGATTTTTTTCTTTCAGATTAAATATATTTTCGTGTTTTGGAGCCAAACCATCTTGCGGGCACGCACGAGACTACTGCACCACCTAACCGCTAAAATGATTTCTTATTGGCCGGTTTAGAATCTCACTATCATGTTATTTCAGCTTCGTGCGTAAAAATGAATTGCGCGCGGTTTTAGAATGTTTTAAAGTTACAACTCACGCCCGTATCGTTCAGGTCTGAAAGGGATATGGGTGTAATTATTGTATAAAAATCACAGTTGTTTCCTTATGTTTTGGCTAGTTGATATTGTGTACCATATTATAGACACGTGGACCCGTCCCACCACCGAGGAGCAACATGCGTTAGTCACTACCTTCTACAGTGTTACCACAGTCCAGGTAATGATACAAACGTACCAAGTATGAAGACGAGAGAACGTGTACGAAGAGGTAACATTTAATAAAGGTACTATTACTAAACCATTTTTGACTTCGGATTCAATGCAGTATGTTTTTTTATTTATATTTATTATTGTACTAAAATATACAGCAATAATAATAATAATAAGGAATAATGGGGGAAAGGGATTGTTAGTGATGGGATTGGGATTGGGATGGGACCCATTGCTAGCAATACACTATAGTTCCTCCTGGAAACCATCATGAACAATTCTTGTTGAATTCGTCACGATGGGCTAACTGACCTGCTTCATCCTCACTTATCATCCTTCACTGGTACCCCGCCGGTGTATACCGATAGCGCGGACAGGGTTACCATTCCATTATCACCCATTAAAAAAAAAGAAAGAAATAATGTACGCAAAAGTGAACTTATCTCTCTAAAAGAGATCTCTTTCAGTCAACTTAACTTAGTGGCATAAGAAATAGTGAGTTGTTATTGTCAGCCGTTAACTGTCCATTGCTCCCCCATAATTTGACAGTAATTGCTACGCTTGACAGGCGCGTTGACAACCGCAGTTTGGCTTTTAGTGATGTTTTAATAGGGAGAAAATAGTGCGTAGCAGTAATGCAAAACAGAAATCTTTTATACTACAATACACGAGAAAACAAGCATACGGCCTGTCTTATGGTAAACTTTTACCACCTACTACTTACGCTGCAATTTTAGAAGCACATTGTCAAATTTATAAATGTCTAAATCAAGAATTATATATATTTTTTTATTATGACCCAATGAATAAATTGACACAAATAGAAATTCATAAGTTTCCTTTTTTTACACAATTATTTTTTAATGTTGAAAACTGGCAACACTGTTATAAAAAATTACTGCATTGAATAGGAAGTCAAAGCGTAGATTAACCAGAATATTAATTGCTGAAATACATATTTTGAGAAGGTTACATATTCTTCTGTTATCCAGTTCTCTAGAGTTTCACAACAATGTATTACAGGACAGGGTATTAAGAGAATTCTAGAAAGGCTGAGATATAATGGGTTCATATTAAATAACTTTAAATAATATTATAACTAGAGACATGTCTAGTATAAAGAATATAAAACTAGAAACTGTAGGATTAAATATATCTTTATATAAAATTGTAAATATGAAAACAAGTTTGTTTTTTACCTTTTGAGACTTCAACGACTCAACCGATCGATCATTGTGAAATTTAGCACACACGTATTATTTAGTATTAACCCTTCTTTGCATAATGATGGAAATTTCCATCACAACATTGAATGCCCAAAAATTATATAAAAACAAGTTCACTTTAAGTTGATCGTGTCTGGATACCACTTTAATGTCCATTGCAGAAAAAAAACATAGCTGTCAAATTTTTTTTTTTTAACCATTTTTCCTTTAATGTTGAACATGAATTATATCATTTTGGTTTATTTCACCAATAAAAAAAAAATCATGCAAATAAGGGTTGAAATGGACTTAGGTAACTTTTTTCTTTAGGTCGACATTCACGCGGCCCTTTTTTGAAACCAACGTGACTGATACTTGGTGAATTCATCACGACGGTCAACTAACATTTTACTAGGAACATACCCTATTAGGTCGACCTTCTAATTATCCTTTTTGGAAACCATCGTTAGTTCCTGGCAAATTCGATACGGCCAACTGACCTGCAGTTTCATCCTAGCCTATGACCATTCACTGGTATCCCCCAGCGTTTATCAATAGACCAGGCGCGGTCCAATTTCATCATCACTCACAATAAAAAGATTTCATTTACCTCGCCAGCGTAGTATACAATACGTGGGGGGAGGGGGGATTATTACTAATGTTACTAACCCGTTGCTAGTACTATACCCTGTTAGGTCGACTTCCATGTGGTCTGCCCTGGAAACCACCGTGCTGGATTCCAGATGTATTCATCACGATGGGTTAAATGACCTGCTTTCATCCTCACCTATCACCTCTCACTGGTACCTCGTCAACGTATACAGACAGCGCAGGCGAGGTTACCATTCAATTCTTATTTATAAAAAATAAACGATTATAACTCTTAATACGATAGCAATAAGCGCTAACCGGCAGCTGAATATGCCCTCCGCTTGGAGACCGATCGCCTCGACGTCGGCCCGGGCGATGTTGTCGGCACCTCGGTCGCCCGCCTGCTCGAATTCCTTCTTGAAGATGGACAGCAGGCAACTGATGCGGTAGTCCAATCGAACGTCCAGTATGAACTGCGATCGATCAATTTCAAAATTAGAATCTTCCTGGCAGCAGTAATATTATTGAAAACTCAAGTTCACCATTTTTTTTTTACAACACAGGGGGCAAACGAGCATGCGGCTCACCTGATGGTAAGTGACTACTGCCGACCATGATCACCCACAACAACAGCTGCAGGTGTGCTGCCGGCCTTTATGCCGCCACCATAAGCAGATGGAAGCGAGCAGTGAAACAAAGTGGTACGAAACGATACCATTGTCTCGTGGTGAGTTCGAATATTGTTGGGTTTGGTGTTGCTAGTCTTAACAAATAAAATTACACCTACTTAGGTGTACTTTTATTTATTAAGACAATTTAAAAAAAAAACAAACTACAGTTATTACCTGTAAAATTTCTATGATTTTAAGCTTGGTGTCCATAACGAGCGGATGCTCCCGCGCCAGCACTAGTGCCGACGCGCTGCGTTGCATGCCACTACTGGCAGTATTAGTGTTACTACCCACCTGTGTGAATAACACAATGTATATATTCACGATTGTAATCAGAGACGGGGTAATTGATTGTTGCTGTTGGGTACGTAACATTAACCGTTATATGGGGTGAGTAAATTTTGCTCCATAAAAAAAGAACATTGACTTCAATCGTTGCAAAATTGAATTAAATATAATAAAATATATAACAATCATGAACCAATTGTTTTGATTTAAAAATCAAATTATTAAACCAATTTTAATGAACATTCTATGGGTCCAATCTGGAAGTACATCCTGTCCAATAAAAAAAAAAAAGATTTTTCTAAATTGGTTTATAAATGACGCAGTTCTGAGGTTTAAAATAATAGAATCAAATTGAGACCCTCCTTTTTTTAAGTCGGTTAAAATAACAATGGCCGCTTTCGGTGGCGAAATAATCATACTTGTCTATATGGACTACAGCTGTGCATACCTATTTATTTGTATATAAATAACTTGATTAATAATGATTATTATGCGATCATACATACGCGCACATATTTGTTACTAAACATAAGTGATGCAGTACGTCCAAAACTAACAATGACTTCTATTATCTTCGGTAACTTCCCGCATCAACATTACATGTTAAAGTAACAGTACACACATTTTGGTCCTTCGAGCCGGACATTGCTAATATGAATTATTTGGCTATATTGCACGACTTTGGCCGTGCCAATCAGTACATAAAATAAACTAAGTTCTAATTTAGTATTAAAACTGTGTACTGAATTTAATTTAGTACTTTTTGCGTGAAATAGTAAGATATATACATCCATTCTCACAAAATTTTAACATTATATAGAAGGATTTTAAGAGCAAAATAAAGAAGGCTTGAAGCATGCATTTTTAGCTTCCCTATTGTTATGATTATAATTATGGCGAAGAACTCACATTCCTGGCAACGGATCCTAGTGTTATGGAGGTCATCACGGCGCCCATATCGCCGATACTGCGCAGAACGCCGCCCTCCGCTGCGTATGGAATATTATTTATTTATGAGCTATTTCTCGCTACTTTGCTTGCGTGCATCTATATGTACGTGTTAAGCTAGAACATAATCCACCCGTTAACCAAATTTCAATCTAATCGGTTCAGCCGCTTAAGTGACACTGAGTATATCCAATACAAATATCTTTATACCCAACCAGGTCGACCTCCTCGCGGTTCCCCCTGGAAACTATCATGGTTAATTCCTGATGAATTCATCGTGATGGGCTAACTGGCCTGTTTTCATTCTCATCTATCACCCTTCACTGGTGTTCCGCCAGCGTATCCCGTTAGCGCGGGCGGTGTTACCATTCCATTTTCACCCATCAAAAAAACAATTATTTATAAAGTTTTACATTTATGATATTAGTAATATAATTTACTGTATTATGACCTCTTGATTGAACTTCTTTATATCGTTTAAGCAGTCATCACATCACATGAATAAACAATAAAAATAAAGATTATGTTCTTTAAAAAAAAAACAACTTCTATTAAGACAAAACCAGTTATTTTCATTTCAAAAATTAAACTATTAAACCGATTTTGATAATATTTCTATGGGATCAATCTATAAGTACATCCTTTCAGTTAAAAAAGAATTTTACAAATCGGTTTATTACTAGCGGTATTATGAGGTAACAACCATAAAAAAAAAATACAAACGAATTGAGAAGCCCACTCGTTTTGAAGTCGATTGATAAAAAGTATTCGCTCAATCAATAAAGCTACTTATTATTTAACACTTACGTTTCGTCATTTCCTTTTCTTGAGAAGCTTGAAATATATTATTTATGTTAAAAAAATAGTATTATGTAGGTACGTGTATTTATTATTTATTAACTATCAATACATCAATATATCATACATCAAATACTTTCACGTATGGTTTGCCATATACCACACTTCGTTTTTTAAAACAAATACTGCTTTCCTTTATTTACAAAAATGTCAAACAAATTTAAGATATTATTTTTTCTTTTTCTAAACATTTTACTGAACTAGTTGTAATATATTATGTTCACGAACTGGCCACTAATAAAATTGTAAGTACTGGCCAGTAATAATCTATTTATTCTTTTAATGAATGAATAGTATATATTGTTACCGTTGTTGTCTTTTTCTTTTGCAATATACACTCAACGTGAAAGAAAGTGACAAAACATCCCAATAAGTACTTATCAATAAAAACTCGATATTTCTATTCTTTTTACACTCAACATACTCACATTCAACCTCCCCGGAAAGGGCGTTTGTTTCGTTGAGTAGGTCCATAGCTGTGACACAATCCAGTATACTCAGCAGGGTCTTCGTTAGACGGAGTAAATCGCTAAAGCTGTTGAACAAGAACCTTATATAAGAAAACAAATTGGCAAAGTATAGCTGGTTATGCAGAAAAGAATCATATATCCTCGAGATCAAAATTAAAATGGTTGTTAACTCCATTATCCCTCCCCCCATTAGTACCCGTAGTTACATCAGTCCAATAATAATAATATACTTTATTATTCAGACTACAATTTGGTCCATTTTGTTAGTAACAATTTTCTTGCAAACTATATTAGTAAAAAAAGAAAAGCAAATTAATTAAAGCAGTTCACTCAGATGTGACCCAGCCGACTAGATCAGCATCTGAATGAAATGCCCAATCATAAGCCAATTACATTTCTCGCCTATTACTTTTAGAATGCTGTCGGTGCTTGCCCTAACCCTGTGTAGCAATGATGCAGTTCTCTTTCTCCTTATAGCGCAGTAATCATCTACGCGAGATTGAGCAAACATGCTAGAAGCGCTACAAAAGCAAGGCAGCCCCAACAGCATTCTAAAACTATTATTGTACTGGATTCGTAGGGCACTTGAGTGAGGCCTGCGTGCAGTTGACCCACAGGCTGCTCGTGTAGAATGTTTGGCAATATGCTTTGTAGAGTGTGATTTTTACTTCACTACAACCAGCAAACCTACGAGCCAACATGTTACATCTAACAGCCAATGCCCTACGCTCCCTTTCGACATCAGTTTGATCTTTAAGGTCATCAGTAACATAGTGCCCTGGGTATTTAAATTTATGCACTCTTTTTATATTTGGTCCGTATAATTGGATATCGGGTAAATGTCCATGCCGTTCCGTAGAACTCTTCTTGGTGCCAACTCCACTGTACCACGTCTTTGCAAGCTTTTGAATGATTGCGAGCAACACTTGGATATTCACGTCGATACAGAAGGGGATTTCTATAGGAAAGCATTGCAGTTAATTTGAATAGCTAAAACTTATGTGAAGCAATCATCTATTGAATCCAAAAAACTATACCAATGTCAAATACTTCAAGAGATTGTTATACCATATTATTGTTTATTTGTTAATTAGCACGCTGTGTTTCCTTTAAAATGATTGTACACTAAGTATAAATAGACAGTAATTTTAATATTAAATCTTATCAGTGTAACAATTGCTGGGAGACCAAATAAAGATAAAAAAATAAAAAATAAAAAAAAAAATATTTTAGCCGTTAACTGTTCACTGCTGACCTTAGCCTAAGCCTTCCCCATAAGGGGAGTTTTGCCAGTTTGCCAAAACACAATCTAACATAACCTACCTTTCTGACCAAGACTACGAGAAATCATCCACTAAACATGTCTCAATAAAATATCAATTTTTTTTTAATTTACCACATCTCTGATGTAAATAAAGAAATTTAGGAGGAAAAGGGATTGTTAGTAATAGAGACTGAGAATCCCATTGCTAGCAATATACCCAATCAGGTCGACCTCCTCGCGGTTCTCCCTGGAAACTATTGTGGTTAATTCCTGATGAATTCATCATGATGGGTTAACTGGCCTGTTTTCATTCTCATCTATCACCCTTCACTGGTGCTCCGGTAGCGTATCCCGTTAGCGCAGGCGGGGTTACCATACCATATATTTTTCACTCATCAAAAAACAAAAAAACAGCAGCGTACCTCTTAAAACATCTCCAAAGCCTAACTACGATTGTCAATCCACCTGCCAAGTAAGGAAATTACTAGCAATACCTCCCTAGGGGGAGACTTATGTCCAGCAGTGGACAATTAAAAGCTGATATGATGATGATGATGATGAAATCTAAGATTTTTCTATGTACGGGCAATTGTTGCTTTACAGTAGCCTTTCCCAATATAGGCGATAACGCCCCCTTGTGGGCGCTGCAGGCCTGCAGGGCGGTAAAAGACAGAAAAAAAAATGGAGGCATTGTGTAGAGGTTTGGGGGGTGAATTGTTGATATTGATATTTTTGGCGTGAATTTACATGACAACGCATGGGGGGTATCATGGGCGAAACAGTATACTCTGTTATGTCCACGGTACTGCTCATGTCTATAGGCGACGGTTACCACTTTCCATCAGGTTGCCCGTCAGCTTGTTTGCCATTCTAAGTTGTGTAAAAAAAAAATCTTGAAGTAATAGCGGTTTTTAAGTAGGTAAAAAAATGGGGACGCTAAAAAGTAATTTATTCTCGAAGTGGGCAGCTGCTTTACAGCAACATATACACGCTGCGTTATTACAGTTATTACCTATAGAAGCCGAAGTATATTAGCTCCCTGGCCAACTTGACGACCTCGAAGGTGAGCTTGTTCTGGTCGTGGTCGCTGAAATACCACGTACGGGTCACCACGTTGCACAAGTAGTTCTCCACGAAACGTATCGTGGATGCAAACTGCTCCTTCACTTTTTCGCGGCTCGCGTCCGGACCACCTTTCACGCATTGGTAACTATTCAAAAGAATAAATAAATAAATAATTTAAATCAATAAAAAGTTTTAGTTAGTTTTTAAAAAGTATTAAGATCGATTCTCTAAAATTAAAATTTCTTTTTGATATCACAGCCAAATCTTGGATTGTTAGTAATGCGAAGTACCAGTCGCATTGCTAGTAATATACTCTGTCAGGTTGACCTCCACATGGTCCCCTTTGGAAACACCATCGTGCTGAATTCCTGGTATATTCATCATGATGGGCTAACTGATTGACAATAAAGGGGTCAAACAGACCCATTACTAGCTTTAACTAGAATAAGCCACGTTGGTTCCCCCTGCAAAACCAACGTGGCTAATTCTAGTTGAATTCATCAGGATGGGCTAACTGACTTGCTCTCATCCTCATCAATCACCACTCACTGGTGCCCCACCAGCGTATACTGTTAGCGCAGGCGGGGTTATCATTCCTTTATCATGTATTAAAAAAAAACTTCATCCCTTATTTCTCATCCTTTACTAGTACCCCATCAGTGATACTAACATTAAATAATATAGACAGGGTTACTATTATTCACTATTCCATTGTTATGTATTGAAATAATTTAAGACTTTGTTCCACAAATAAAAAACAGGTTTCAGTCATGGCAAATCCAGTTATTTTAATATAAAAATTAAATCATTAAACGGATTTTCATTTTCAATAGATTGCAACCGACTTGAGACCTTCTTTTTCTGAAGTCGGTTAAAAACATGTTTTGGGGGGAAATAGTAATCGTATAAACAGCACAACTCACTCCTGTATGTGGATGTTGTCGGCGACCTCCGTCCAGAGGCGCGCATACTTGACTGGCGTTACGGGCTCCTGAGGGTCCCGGTCAGCGTGGAGGTGCAGCATCAGCCGGCAGAACGACGCGCGTAATTCGTATGACAGGTCCGCTTGGGACATGCACCTGTCGACACACGACACGGGAATATGAGTACGTTAGACGGGGCGTTACACATATTGGAATCTTTAGGTAACAAGTAGGGATGGGTAATATATTGAAAAATATTAATTAAATATCTAATAGCTTTAAATCAAAATTATTATAAATTTTGGGTTTGATATTTAATAAAACAGTTATTTTACGAAACTGTCAAATTAAAATATTAGATTAGATAAATGGAGCTTCAGAATCGACCGCAATGTCTCTTATGAGACACTATGAGACTTGTCTATAAATCGATTGCTTGGGTACCTATGTTCCATTCGTGTTTCAACAGTGTGTACAGAGGAATAACACCTGAGTCCTCAGGAATGGCAACGCATGGGGGGTATCATGGGCGAAACAGTATACTCTGTTATGTGCATGGTACTGCTCATGTCTACAGGCGACGGTTACCACTTTCCATCAGGTGGGCCGTCAGCTTGTTTGCCATTCTAAGTTGTATAAAAAAAAAGGAGGAAAGGATGTACTGACTTGAGTATAAGATGTATGTGCAGCTGCGGCGAGAGGCTGTTGAGCGCTAGGTACTGGCGGTTGAGGCACATGTTGGAGAACAGGTCGAGCTGGTGGCGGTAGTAGTCCAGGATGGCGGCCGACTCGCAGTTAGCGTCCGCGCGCGCCTCCGCCGCCAGCTCCGACAGCAGCCGGGAATTCTGCACACCACGGGTATTTTCCTTTATTTAATTGGAATTTATCGCAAACATTCTACACTGGCGAAGCACTAGCGAGCGATGTTACAATCAGCCTTTCATACTAATTTTACACCTGGACGCGCCAAGTTTATAAAAAAACTAAAAAGAAAGAAAGAAAGGAAAGAAGAAAGAAAGAAAGAAAGGAAGGAAGGAAGGAAGAAAGAAAAGATGGAAGAAAGAAAAGAAGGAAGAAAGGAAGGAAGGAAGGAAGAGGAAGGAAAAAAGGAAGGAAGGAAGAAAGAAAGGAAGGAAGGAAGGAAGGGAGAAATTAAGGAAGAAATCCTTAATTCCTCCCTTCCTTCCTTTATTCTTTTCTTCTTTCCCTTTCTTTCATTCCTTACTTTCTTTCTTTTTTTAGTAAAGAAGAATTTAATACAATGCCATTTTGATTCACTACTGTTGTAGAAATGACTTATGATATTTTTTAAATAACTGTCAAACATGTAAGGCACATTTAGGTATATTTCCTGTAAACAAGCATAGTTTACGATACCTACATATACAAGTGTATCTTACCTTTTTATTGTTCCACAGCAATATGACTTCGTCTTCTACTGTATATTTATTACCATCCGGATCTAACGTATTTCCCTTTTCGTATTTCGTTGAGACCAATCTAAAATAAAATATTTAATAAAATAATAAGTAATGTATGCATATATGTGGGTATATATGTATATAATTTTTATATTTTTTTAATTTGCAAAATATGCTTTTTCAATTATAAAACACTATCATATCTACTTGTACAACAATTAGTCCATTGCCCTAAGGTTGTCTTGAAAAGATTGCTCTCAGCAATAAGACCGCCTCACTGTACTTATACAATTGTATCGTTGTGTTTGTAAATTGTCTTGTTTATTTCCTATATTGTATAATGCAAATAAAGTATACTCATTCATTCATTCAAGTAACAAATGTCCCCGAGTATCCTTAATAACTCTAAGTAACAGAAGGATTCTGTATCAAAGAGTATATTACAACAACAGGTTGAATATATAATATGTTATTAATAAGAGATTTTTATTGATACGCGCAGTATTAATTTTATTTATTTATATGTCTTTGTGCATTCACTTATAATATAGATATAAGGTTATAACAAAAATGTATACAGGCGGACTTATGCCTTAATGGCATTTTTTTCAGTCATCCTTGAGAACCCGGAAGGAAATAGTGTCTATTGAATTTGTATATAAAGAATAACATATATGGTGCCAAAATAATATGATAAGTAATAAATATATAATAAAATAAAAAATATATATAATAATATATATATATATATATATATATATATATATATATATATATATATATATATATATATATATATATATATATATATATATATATATATATATATATATATATATATATATATATATATATATATATATATATATATATATATATATAACTTTGAAGGCATGGTCGGTCTGCCCCATTATGGTATTATTTGGGAGGGAATTCTAGAGTTTAGAAGCTTGCACTGCGCTTGCGCTGTGATGTGTGATGAGATTTGATATAGGAGTGGGAGTTGTGGATAGGTAATTCCTAAGTATGATATTTTAGACGACTTACGCACACAGGGATCACGGGGATGAAGTGAAATCTCTTTCGGAGATAATCTGGGACTGAAGGATCAAAGTTTTGTACAGGCAAGGGTAAAATGTGCATGTTGAGTCGATACCTTATTTTTATTTTTCTTGTTTCAAATTAAATAAATACTAGAAGAAGACTATATAAAAGTAGATTATTTAGGCATTTCTGCCTCACTCTTATTTTTGCAGCCAACCAGTAGTGCTAGCATATTGTGAGTTTCAATTTGAAGGCCGAGAAATGGTATTGAAATTACTTGGTATGGAGGCCCAGTATAATGGTTCTCAGTAATGACAACACACGAAGGTTATCTCTCATAGGCGTCACAGTATAATAATAGTCACCTGGTCTCGATGAGTATGTCCGAATTGTTGGCGCAGAGCACGCTCTTGCAGATCAACTCTTGGGTGACCGCAATGGCCTTCTTGTTAGAAATACATAAATCGCTCAGGTAGTCTAGAAACCTGGACTGCCACGTCTTCATATTCTTGCGGACTAGTCCTGGGAATCATTTGAACTTTTACACAATTGCTTAAAAAAAGAGTGTAATGTTTTTAGAGTTCATATATATATATATATATATGTGAATTTCTTTATTCCATTATAATAGAATTGAATACGTGTGTTATTGCGGGTTTGATTCCACACAATTTTATTGTCACGAATTAACATTTTTATACATTAATATGTTTGTTTGTAATCGTTTGGTTATTTTCTATGTATATGTGTATATTGATAAAATAAAATATTTAATGTATTCATAGCTGTGCGTAGCAATTAACGGTATACAATTTTAAAACAATAACTTAGTTATAAAGCTTATTACAGTCAATGTAATGTAAATTGTATTACTGTTACTGTGCCTAAATAAATAAATAGTACAAGTTCTTAGTTTGGAACTAGATGGCGTTGTATAGTATGTTTAAGTTCGAACAATAGACAAATATTGTATACAAACCAACAAATGTTTCTATCTCAGACGCGGTTATGTGTTTCTCGAGCAGCTTCCTGTTGTTGTGCAGGAGAGCTGTGATGGTGTCCTCTGCCAGAATGTCGTAGCCTATTTGCTTCTGCATGAAACCGAAGTGCTTCGCTATGTATTCCTGAAACAGGTTTCTTTTGTTTTAATTATGTTATAACCAATAAGCCATTTATTTATATTCACCAAGGTATGTATGAATAATAACTCATACTAGGAGTTTATAAACGATATATTTCTGTAAAATATTTTTTATGTAATATTGAATGCCAAACGAGCTTCCGGCCCACTTGATGGAAAGTGGTAAACGTTGACTATAGACATGAACAATATATATATATATATATATATATATATATCACCACGGACACGAAGTAGTAAGATACAGCAACGTCTTGCATCTTATTCTTTCTCATGTATACGGTGGAGATAACGAATCTACTGATAGATAAATTTGCTATTTGTTCGAAGATTGTCTCCTTCTATTTTGAGTAAAAAGATAATTTTATCACACTATACTCACTTGATTTTTCCTATAGTCCTGCTGGCTGAGCCGCAGTATTCTGTAGCACAGCCGGAAAATGTATTTATAGGGGGCGTATCGAGGGTCGTACAGCTCCTCGATTTTCAAGAACGGCTCGCCCTCTGACGTCTCTTGGAATGGACCCTGTAAATCAATATTACTAGCTGTAACGTAGGGTTTTGCCTGAACCAACCACGCGTAAAAATGAATTGGGTTAGTGTTTTTTTTTTATACAACTTAGAATGGCAAACAAGCTGATAGCCCACCTGATGGAAAGTGGTAACCGTCGCCTACAGACATGAGCAGCACCATGGACATAACAGAGTATACTGTTTCGCCTATGATACCCCCCATGCGTTGCTATTCCTGAGGACTCAGATGTTATTCTTTTTTTTTATACAACTTAGAATGGCAAACAAGCTGACGGCCCACCTGATGGAAAGTGGTAACTGTCGCCTATAGACATGAGCAGTACCATGGAGATAACAGAGTATACTGTTTCGCCTATGATACCCCACATGCGTTACCATTCCTGAGGACTCAGGTGTTATTCCTCTGTACCCAGTAAATTCACGCCATATCCCACCCTTCAAACCGAAACACAATCATGCAAACACAACTGCTTCACGGTTGAAACACGAATGGGACAGAGGTACCCAAGCAATCGAATTTTGTACAAAGTCTCCCTCTGGTATTACAACACTGACATTGTAGAGGAAATAATTCTATTTTTTGTTTGTAACAAAATTAACCGATAATATTAATTATTTCTAAATAATAAACTATATATTATGTGTGTACATTTTTGAACAGGATATTTGCTATCTCTATCGCACCTGTAGTATTTTGAACAACTGCCGCAGTATGTACTGCTCGCGCAGCAACTTCTGCCGGTCCCGGTTGGGGTTCTCAACCACCAGGTCCAGTGCCTCCGACTTGTTGGGCTCGTTCTCGAAGCCCGCTATGAAATACACTATGTCCTGGAGGAGGCATGTGAGCGCCCTGGAAATAATACATAATATAATGTATCTCACAAATAATGTCTCATATAAATATATTTTGTTTCACTGTATAATTTTATGTAAATGTTATGTTTTGTATACTGTTAACTGTTCCATATATTGTACGCTTATATAGCAGGACATGGAGATACTATTTAACTCATGTAATACCTTAATTTAACCTATGATCCACAATAAAGTCTTTGTATTTGTATTTATTTGTATTTGTCACTATAACACCTATCTCTTGGGGGACGCTTAAATATTACGAAAGGCAATATTGGAAGATTTTTATCCTCCCTCCCCCCTCCCTCATCACTAAACATTACGTAACAGCCAAGCGACCATTTTTACTTAAAAGTTACAGCATTAACGAATACTGACAACGAAGACAAAATAAAAATGTATGTGTGTAAATGATGTACAATACAGTCGATGGCCTCCTCGCAAAACATAAACGGAAAGTGTTGTCAACTTGGGAGAGCTTAATTCTAGTTTTATTATTTAAATAAAAAATAATGTTACGTAACGTGTTGACTGCAGCACCTTATTTATTTATTTAAGGAACACCAACAGCATATTGCATTATAACATATAGGTATAACAAACATTAAATATAATAGAATATTAATGCACACGTCTATTATAGGTATTCACAGCATTCACTTTAACATAGTTATACAGTGCGGGAAAATGAAGTAAATAATAAAAACAAACATGTAACCCAAGTTGTGAGCAATATCAGAAAATACGATTATGAGTGAATTGAATTAAAAAATATTAAAAAAATATATATTATGATAATTAGAGTTAATTTTCATTAGATTGTTGTATAAAAGTGCTTCAGCAATTTATTCCTGTAGGAATTCGAATTATCATACACTATATCAATTTTAGATAATTTGGCATTAATTTCATTGTAGGACGCACTAATCCAGGCCTTACCTTCCCCTGTAAAACACTATAGCGTTCCCCCTTTTACCTTATGAGACTTGGTAACCTTTTGTCCAATAAATTTCGCGAATATAAGGACACTAATCACATATAAACTATAAGCTGTTGTCTCTTAATTAGTGGTGCACGCAATTGTAAAACTTACTTCCTCTCATTATGTTCTATATTCCCGTGATGCAGCTTAGTCGACAAGACCGATAACACTTTGCACGCATCGTTCGCGAAGTCTAGGTCTCGCACCTCGCTCGGCGAGACGGATATTAGTGCGAAGGCCTCTTTGTCTTCCTTCACTATTGAACAGCCCACCTGGAAGAGGGAATAGTATTTCGCTCTTTCAGCTCCCCATCGACAAAGAGTTCACCCTCATATCTTAGGGTATGGCCTACTTGATAGTAAGTGGTTACAGTAACCTATGAACGCCTGCAATACCAGGAGCATTACATGCGCGCTGCCGATCCTGATGAAACCTCTTTATACCTTTTTTTTAAAACCCCATGCTGTAGTCTTTTCAAAAAACCTCGACAGGGAGCTTATTCCATAACCTGAGCATTCGTGGTAGAACACGTCTCTGAAATCGCACTGTACGCGACCATCTAAGCTCTAAGGTACGGGGGTGAACTCCCCGTCGATAGCAATGGTAGAAAGTGATCGGTGGGCATCAATAATATTAGATAAAACAAATTTGCTGTTAACATTTGTCATGATTGAATACAACATTTCCAACTGTGCTTACATTATCTCTTACATTTTTCATTTCTCGTAAAGAAAAAAGAACTCAAATACTGAAATTCATAAGTCTACAGTAGCCAGATTTAAATAAACATATAAAAATAAATTTACACCAATTTTTCTTCTTTTATGTTCCTATTACAAGCATTTATTAGAGAAATAATGAGATATTACCTTAGACATGACAGGTTTCTCTTCGTCCTTGTCTATGGGTATTGATGTAGAATGTACCCATGTGTGCGTGCATAAGTGTTGCAATCTGTAATAAAATTCAGTAATATATAGTCCGAAGGATCAATAAGGAACTGCCTTTTATCAGTTCCTCAAAAGAGATATTTTTAAAATTATCTATACATCTTTAGTTCTGGTGAAAATATAATAACATACTAAGATACCTAATATTGTAATACTTTCAAAATGGCCGCCGTCACAAGATGGCGGTTAACATGGCTATCATATTAAAAGAGATTCGACATCATTTTAAAATAGCCGCAGCGACAAGATGGCGGATTACATTATAAAAGCCTCTTTTTACCTGACATAGCTGCTCTGTGGAACCGGTGCGTCGGAGTGCGTCATGGTGGTGGGGTCGAGCTCGAACAGCGTCGCGATCTCGGACGAGTGCGGCACCGACACCAGCTGGTACGCCGGCTCCCCGGCCACCGGGGCCGCCTCCCTGCGGACCGACCACACGGACAACTAGTAACTACTAAATCTCCGTAGATTTTATTTTTGTATTTTTTTTTTCTATTTAATTTAACCTACCCTCCAAAAATAAGCATAATATTGTCTGGTGTACAAATTGGGAATCTGTAATTGGCTAATGTACGGTGTAAACATAATATTTTTATTTATTATAGATATAAACTGTTGATTCCAGATGTAATATTAACTTAAAGGGGGGAAAGGGATTATTAGTAATGAAGACAGAATCTCATTGCTAGTAATAAAACCAACCAGGTCGACCTCCTCGCGGTTCCCCCTGGAAACAATCATGGTTAATTCCTGATGAATTTATCATGATGGGCTAACTGGCCCATTTTCATTCTCATCTATCACCCTTCACTGGCGCTCCGCCAGCGTATCCCGTTAGCGCAGGCGGGGTTACCATTCCATTTACACCCATCAAAAAAAAAAAAACTTAAAAATAAATAAAAATTAGAGGTGGGGAGTGTTAGTAGTGGCATATACAGAACTTATTTTTTTTTAATAGAGAATGGAATGGTGACCTCCCTTGCGCTATCGATATACACTGGCAGGGCACCAGTGAGGGATGATCGGTGAGGATGAAAGCAGATCATGACCCATAGTGATGAATTCATAAAAAAAAAAACAATTAAAATGGTTTCCAGGGGGAATTTTTTTTTATATACAACTTAAAATGGCAAACAAGCTGACGGTCCACTTGATGGAAAGTGGTAACCGTCGCCTATAGACATGAGCAGTACCAGGAACGCTGCTGCCCATCCCTCGCCCCCCGTTAGTCATCTCTTACGATACCCACAGAAAAGAAAGGGGCAGCCCATTCTATGCTGTGGTACACACGGCGAAAATTTGATACACGGGTAGATTACATCCTAACTCAGCACATAGGACATTCTATGTACTAACTGATTCATGTGAGCGAAGTCGTGGGACACAGCTAGTAAAGAATATATTAAATATCGGTTATTCAATTTCTAATATCATAATGTAGAACTAGATCGAAATAGATATCCGATATAGGTGATATCGAAATGAGCAAATACAATAGGAGACTTTGTACAAAAGTCGTTTGCTTGGGTACCTCTGTCCCATTCGTGTTTCAACCATGAAGCAGTTGTGTTTGCATGGCTGTGTTTCAGTTTGAAGGGTGGGAGGATATGGCAGTGAATTTACAGGGTACAGACAAATAACACGAGTCCTCAGGAATGGCAACGCATGGGGGGTATCATGGGCGAAACAGTATACTCTGTTATGTCCATGGTATTGCTCATGTCTATAGGCGACGGTTACCACTTTCCATCAGGTGGGCCGTCAGCTTGTTTGCCATTCTAAGTCGTATAAAAAAAAAACCTATATAGAGACGGCGCGGTACCGACTTTGGCCAAAATATTCAAACAGCATAATACTCACTGTGCTCTGACGCATGACTCAGCAGCCAGGTAGTGGCCGGTAGCTAGGTGCTTGAAACGAAACAGCGAGTTCCAGTGGCCGGCGCCGCCGCGGCACGGGTCGTGTTGAACCACCTGATGAATTTCAGTTTTTAAAAGTTGATAATGGAATGGTAGCCCCGCCTGCGCTAACGGTATACAACAGCAGGTCATCAGTGAGGGATGATAGGTGACGATGAAAGCAGATCGGTTAGCCCATCGTGACGAACTTCATTAGAATTAAACACGATGGTTTCTAGGGGAAACCGCTTGGAGGTCGACCTGATAGGGTGTATTGCTTGCAATGGTTCAGTTAGATCCTATTACTAACAATCCCTTTCCCCCCGGATGATAGTGATGAATACACTTGGAATTCAGCAGGGTGGTTTCCAGAGGGACCACGGGGAGGTCGACCTGATAGCATATATTGTTACCAATGGGACTGGTATTCCTCGGATAAATTATAATTTCTCCATTTACACACAACACATAGCATCATATAGTTATTAATTAAAAAAAACATCGCCGTGTGGTCCCAGCATAGAATGGGTCACCCCGTGACTGTCGTAAAAGGAGATTATGGGAATTTAATTCTGCTGAACATAGGCTTCCGCTAAAAGGGAGGTTTTGCTAGTAGTTGCCAAGCTCGGCAGGCGGATTATCAACCGTAGTTAAGAATTTAAAGATGTTTTAAGAGGGACGCTGCTGCTCATCTCTCGCCCTCCCTTAGTCGACTCTTACGACACCCACGGGAAAGGAAGAGGTGGCTTATTCTATGCCGGAACTACACGACCAGATCTAATACATATATTTATATTCAAATCTTAACTACTCAATAGAATTACTCAACCTTCGAGTTTCCAGGCCCTCACCTCGATCTCCCACAGCGCCTTGCTGCTGGTGGCGGCTGTGGCGCTGGACCGACCGGTGGTCCTCAGGAACACGTGGTGCCGCTTCCTGTACTCGTCCATGGTGAGGAACTTCTCCTGCTCCGCGTGGAACAACCTCACCACGTCGCCGCCCTTCAGGATCTCCTCCTGATTCTCCTTGTGCTCGAGGAACAGTGTCACCTTCCATGACGTTGACGAGTTCACTACGTTTACCTGAAAAAGAAATATATAGTCACGACTTTGAACCCTACTTTTTTTTTTAATATTTTTTACAATACGAAAGAAGCTGGTTATTTTATTAAAATTATTTTGTTTAATTTTATTTAATTTTTTTTAATTGTGGAACTTCTGGTAGTAATAGCGGTAGTCAATCTTCGAGTGTTAGCAGTCACACACACACTGATGGTAGCGGAAATATACGAAATAATCCTAATCACAATACCAGTAATATGGACTTCCATAACAACTAGTTAAATATTTGCCAAATAAGTCGATAGTTCACCTGATAGAAAGTGGTAACTATCATAGACATGAACAACACAACGGATATCACAAAATAAATTGCAATGCCCATGGTGGGTGCCATGCCATTCTTGAATACTAAAATGTTATACCTCCATACTCTGCAATTTTATAGCTAAATCCCATGCTTCAAACCGTAATACAGCTGTGCTAACATAGCAGCTTCCCAATAGAAACACAGATGGGACAGCAGTACCCATGACAAATATCCCTAATATAATGTGATAGTCAGAGACATTGTTATTAAATGTACCGCACCAGTGAAAACAGATAACGCAGATGGGGTTGCCATGGTATTATCGTATCATATATTAAAAAAACATCAGGCAAACTGCATGCTTGATTTAAAAAAAAATCTATAATCAATATGCATATTGAGTATAGATTTTTATATTAAATACATTTAACCCCCGGATCGTGTTCTCTACTAGTTAATCATTGCGCATTCAGAGAAATTACATTTAGGTGTTACACCTATTTTACAATATGTTCAATTTTGTACTCACTTCCATAGAGCCAGCGTTGTCAGGTAACTCATGATTATGCGATACGTGTAAGACTTGTTGACCGGCATTTACGGGGTTCATTATCACCTTGTCCCCAACCACCACATTGTCCCCTGTAAACAGATATTTAATGTAACTTCACACCAAATTTCATGCGGGGTAAATAAGTAGAGGAATATATTTTTAAAATTTATATCTATTTTTAACGGTATCTTTATATTCTTGTCACACACACACACACACATACGCACGCACGCACGGACACACACTCTCACGTACGCACCCACGCATGCACGGACACACATTCTCATGCACGCACGTACGTACGCACGCACGCACGCACGCACGCACGCATGCACGCACACAAACACATATAAACGCACAGAGAGAAAGAGAGAGAAAGAAAGAGACAAGGGAAAAGATTGTTAGTAATGAAAATTAACAGCCCCATTGCTAGCAATACGTCCCATCAAGTTCAAGGGCGACGCCCTGATACGAGATCTCATTGTGAATTATTAATTCCGTGTCGTTATTATGGTGATGACATTGATATACAATACTTACCAGTCGATCGCAATTTATAAAAGGGCATTACATAAAACCACGATCCTTCATTCCCATTCGCATCTAAATGAACACGCATTGCATTTTTCTCTAGCAACGCTGGTAGTCTTTTATTAACCTGCAACCAAAGATTCATATGTTTATTGAAGTACTAGAGAGTACTAGAGTCCCGGCATAGAATTGGCCAACACTTCCTTTCCCGTGAGTACCTTAAGAGGCAACTTAGGGAACTTCATGGACGAGGGAAGGGCAGCAGCGTTCTTTTTAATACATCACCAAAGCCTAACTGCGGTTGCCATCTCGCTTACTACGGCAACTACTGGCAAACACCCCCCCATCCCCACCCCCTCAAGATGATGAAGAGTAATAATATCAATAATAATCTAATTTAAGAAACACAATATATATATATATATATATATATATATATATATATATATATATTAAGTTGTTTGTGAGGATACATAAATAAATATATTATTATTATATATAATAACGATATTCCTTAGTCGCCTCTTACGACACCCACGGGAGAAGAAGGGATGGCCTTTTCTATGCCGGGACCATATGAAGGAGGTATCAGTACCCTGTAATATCACTGTTATATTCATACTTAACCTTTGAATTGACACTACACACCAGTGTACATAGATTTAAAAAAAAAAAAACAATTACTTGACATGAGCAGATTGTCTTACGCTCGAGTTAATTATTAGTTTGTTTATATTTTCACTAAGTTCTATAGAAACAAAGCATATCGCTGCAAATTTTGCATTTTCCAATCTATTACTGTACCTATTATGGTCAGAGTACTCACTGTGAGGTACTTGTTGGACTTGACGTGCAGCAGTTGTATCACGCTGCCGTACTGCACGACAGTCCCAAGTAGTTTCTTGTTCTCCAACTCATTCTGCTTCTTCTCTATTTCTGCGGCGTGCTGTAGTGTGAAAAATGGCAAATTACAAAATAGAGGAAAAAATTTTGTTAAAATAACAGCGCACTATGCGTGTTACCATTGAAAACTGTCAATTTTATTAATGGTAAAAAATAATATTATGCATCTCCAAAATGGTCATCTAACGGTTTCAATTAAAGTTTTATTTTTGCTTTAGAATGGACTTTATTTTCAACACGAATTAATTTCACATTAAATCTGTTATAATATTACAATTAAGAGCTTCTTTAACGAGATGAAATGAAGAGATGAAATTTTACTTCAGTCATCCATAACAATCCAAAGTATGGAGACCTCTTTCTATCGAATTTTGTCAAAAATTTATTTACATAATTTAAAGTGTTTTTTTTTTTTTGCATAATAACTTTGCAACTTTAATATTAATATAACTTGTATGGGATTAACACATGAGTAAACCTATGGTTGACTGGGAGAGACTGCTTTTAGCATTAAGTCCGCCGTGTACACATATTTGTACTAATGAATAAATAAAAATAAATAAATAAATAAAATAAACCCTTTCACTTAAAACAAAAAATGGACGAGAGTAAAAAAGGAAAAAAAGAAGTCTTTGTCACTTGGCTCTCCTTTCTCCTTGCCTGCCTCTCAATCAAAGTACGTGGCGTGAAGATAGAAAAATATAAAAAGTTCCGTGACAAACCCACTAAAGGACGTGAGCGTGCCATCAATTTCATAAACTTCTTTTTGGTCATTGAAAATAAACCATCTTCATCTATTAAATAAGTAGGTACATTTATTTAATAGATCAAGATGGAACTTTATTACTGTTCTGTGTAATATAAAGTCCTTGATTATATAGATAGAACATCGAGTCTCAAAAACGGGTTAACTTTTTGTCGGCTAACTGTCAAATTGACAGTTAGCTGACAAAAAGTTAGCCCGTTTTGAAAAAAGCTGAATCATTTTTTTTATCAGTTTTATATATTTACGAATAAAATAATACATTGATGTATTATTTAATAAATAAAATGAGTGTTTATGCATTAAAAAGATGCAGAAATTATAAAACAAAATAAATACAGACATTATAAAGGAATCACTCGTAACTATTTATCACGTAAATTTGTATCAAAAAGTTGACCCGTTTTTCTGAAAACATTTCAATGGAGATACTTTATAATCTAAGGGTATATTCTACTCGTGAAACAAATTTTATTCAAATCCGTTTAAATGTGATTCAAAACTAAACATACAAACATTTTTACATTAATAGTATTATACAATATTAAATTTACCTAATATATAATAATTTATTTATAATAATAGGTTTATGAGAGGTTTGATATTTTTATGAATAAGAGGGTAATATATATATATATATATATATATATATATATATATATATATATATATATATATATATATATATATCGCACTGACAATTTACACGCACACACATGAGACTGATAGATTTATCCGTTGCATGTGGCGACTCGCGGTATTTGTTTGTAGGATTTTTGGAGCCTTTGCTGTTTTTAAAATTTTTAATTTTAACCGACGTGTTTATCAGTATATAGGTGAAAAAGGATTATCAATATGATTATTATGTGTATTTTATGGGATATTTTGATCGTTATTGAATCGATTTTTTGCTTTTAAGGTTTCTTAATCATTATCCTAATACAAATTCTAGATATATAAAAAAAGCTGTTTAAAATAGACAGTGTTTAGCTAAATTGCACTCTTTTCTGTCTAGCTAAAGAATGACATTTTTGATAAAATGTATCGAAAAATTCTTACAAATTTTGTAAAAATACGAGCATAAAATATAGATACGCAGTTTTTGTTATGTACAAACTTAAATTATAATTATACATATATATATAATACTCTTTATGAAAGTCTGTGGGAGAGGCCTATGTTCAGAAGTGGTCGGATAATGGCTGAGATGACGATGATGTATATATTTATATAATTACAAACTAGCTACCAGCCCCGACTTTGCGCGGGGAAAATATAAATGGAAGGTCTCTAAATTTTTAAATAAAATACGGGCTGTATGTTCCTCAAGGCCAATATAGTTTACTATGGTGAGAGAACTTTAAGTTTTTTTTTCTTATACAACTTAGAATGGCAAACAAGTTGACGGCCCACCTGATGGAAAGTGGTAACCGTCGCCTATAGACATGAGCAGTACCATGTTTTATCCATTATAGACAAAAAAATCTAATATTTCCTCTTTATTATAATATCAGTTTAAAGGGGGAGAAAGGATTGTTAGTAATGCGGATTATCAGTCCTATTGCTAACAATATACCCTAACAGGTCGACCTCCCCGTGGTCTCCCTTGGAAACCATCGTGCTGAATTCCAGGTGTACTCATCACGATGGGCTAACTGACCTGCCTTTTCATCCTCACCTATCATTCCATTATCATCAATTAAAAAAAAATCTGTTTAAATAAGTCCATGACAACTATTGTTATTTTTTTTTTTTATTTTCATTCAGAACAGTTTTATGTGTAAATTTCATATAAGAGTATGTATCTTGGATGTTTTGTACATCAATGAGCCGAAATAAAATGACATGGCAGTTTTTCTCAAATATCTTTTGGGTGAAAGGCATCCTAATGATATCATGCAAATATTATGACAAATGATTATCTGTAGTGCTATCTATCAGCAATAGTTTCATCATCATCGCTATATGTGGTGTGTCCGTATCTGTGCAACAAGTTTTGCGTGGGTTTAGGTATTAAGTGGCGATTAATTAGTTTTAAGTTACCTAATAACTAGCTATAACCTGGCGGGTTTATTTGAATATATTAGGATAAAAAGCAGTGTATAATTATGGTAAATTTATAATATAATTAATTTAAAGTCAGTTATAATCTCTCATTTAAGAGAATACTTGTAATTTTTTTTAAGAAATAAATTATACCGTAATTTGTGATACATTTTCTTTTAATCATTACTAAATAAATATGTAAACATTTTTCTAATATTTCAAGTCTTTTTTAAGCAATTTAGAATGGCAAACAAGCTGACGGCCCACCTGACGGAATGTGGTAACTGTCGCCTATACACATGAACAGTACCATGGACATAACAGAGTATACTGTTTCGCTCATGATACCCTCCATGAGTTGCCATTGAGGACTCAGGTGTTATTCCTCTGTACCCAGTAAATTCACGCCATATCCCACCCTTCAAGCCGAAACACAGCCATGCAAACACAACTACTTCACGGTTGAAACACGAATGGGACAGAAGTACCCAAGCAATTGACTTTTGTACAAAATCTCTCTCTGGTATGTAGTAATATTTAAATAAAATAAATAAAAATAGAAAGATATAACATTACACCTATTCTAAATGCTTGAACTGGAGACAGGCGGTGTAAATTGGTTGTTTTAAGTGGATGGTCTCATCCAAGTCCTTATATAACTAGTGGGTGGTTAAATGGAGTGAATATGAAACGATAAATTACAAGTAGAGTAAAATCATCCCACCTCTTCGTATTACAAATAAAATCTCCGCCACCGTACTTCAAAATCGTTAGCAGGGTTTTTTTTTTTTAACAGGTAATAATGGAATAGGAACCCCGCCTGCGCTATCGGGATACGCTGGCCGAGCACCAGTGAAGGATGATAGGTGAGGATGAAGCAGATCAGTTGGCTCATCGTGACGAATTCAATAACAATTGTTCACGATGGTTTCCAGGGGGAACCAGGTGGAGGTCGACCTAATAGGGCATATTGCTAGCAATGGGGCTGTCAAACTTCATTGCTAACAATCCCTTTCCCCCCGTTAGTAGGGATTACCATTATGAATACATTAGAAGTTTTTGCAGTAGAAATAGACGAAGCAAAAGTACAAGGCAAAGGATTCGAGTTCTCAAGGTTGACTGGAAGATAAATATTTACTTCATTTCAAAGTACACGGGTGAGTACTCTGTAAATTTTTACAACCTTTCTTTTATACCACTAAGGTTTCAAATAAGTATACAGCCTATCTGATAATAAACGGTTACCGTAGCCGCCTGCAATGCCAGGGGCATTATGCGCGCGTGACCGATCCTGAGGAAACCTCATTATCCCAATTTTGAAGAACCTGTTATTCATTTCGAATATTAGTACTGACTAATATTACAAATGTAAGTTTGTTTGTCTTTGTTACCTCCTAGCGCCCTGATGACCAAATCAATCACTATAAAATTCGTTATACCCATACTATATGGGATGGAGAAGAATATAGCCTTTTTTATACTGATCACTGAACATTTATTTATTTTTATTTATTTATTTTGTGATACATAGGTAACAATGGATGGTAAAACAATATAAGTCCTCTATGATCAACCCCATCTATCGAGGTATACAAATTTACAATTATATAAGAAAAACATTATATTATATAAAAAGAAAAATCAGCAATGTTATAAGATAAAAAACATATCCTGTTCATGCGGATGAATCCGCGGGTAAAAGCTAGTTTACTATCAAACTTCATGGTGTTAAAAAAGGTACCCGTGCAGACGTCTATAAATCTTAATATTTTATATTGTATGTTTACTGGCAATAAATGTTTCTATTCTAAAAAAAAATCTCTCGTCCACATTTCCCTAATGTTTTCCTAACAATAGTCGTCCTAAATTATAAAAGCAATATTTTTAAAAATAATGTGGCAACACGCATTAATGTCATAAAAGTATCACTGACTTATCCATTAAGTCAACTTGCATCTATCACTTTGACAGAGAATAATCACCCTTTGTTCGCGACATTATTTGTATATATCGTAATTTATAGTTGTTAAGTCCTAGTTAATCGTTTTGTATTCTGTTATTTTATATAGATTTGCATAGATTTAAGATAGTGTAAGTTAAATAAAGTATTTCTTTGTGTGTTGTCATTATTACCTACTAATAGAAATAGAAATTGTAACAATAAATAGAATTAAGAAATTGTAAATTGCAATAAATAAACGCTATAGAGTACCGATCTGAAGAGACACGCGTCTCGTTCTTTCTCGCCCCGTCCCGCTCGCGCAGATCGCTGGCGCGGGTTGGAGATGTTATCGTGC